TGTTATGTACCACTGCCAAACACTGCCCAATATGCTGGGTTGTTTGGGGGCCAAAAGGCAACAATCAGAACTTGTAAATATCAGTTTTTCAACTTGATATATAGGTATGCTTGGTCTATCTTCAATTTGACATATTTTTGCACCCCCAGTTAATGTTTCCATTATGAGTATATATTTTTATAAAGTAGACATCAAAGGTTATAGAAGATGGCGTGTTTTGACTTCTTTCCCCCAACCATTTTGCCCCCCAAAGAAAGTGTAGTGGTAATTTTTTTTTTAATTCTGGTTTTGACCAGCTGGTTATGTGTTACTGCCAGAAAACTTGTTCGACCAAATGTACATTTAGCAGCAATCTTTAAACTGACTCCTGCAAATAGAATCTAACTGGAGATTTGGGGGAAGGAAACTGACTAACAAAAAATGGCTGCTTTCCAAAGAAACAAAAAATAAAAATTCAGGAACACTTCTTACAACTGTTCTGTGTGGTACAGCTTGAAACATGTTCCTACACACAGTCCTGGTTTCGAAGGGCAATCGGGACAGTGAAAAGGGGTGTCTGTCCTTTTTCCAAACTTCTGGAATAAAAGGGAATCTTGACATGTCATGTGTCCTTAAGGGGTTAAAACAGACCCGGCAACGTTTCTGGGGGAGGGGGAGGGGAGGTTTCTAGCAGTTGTCGGTAACTTAAAAATAAAATGTCTGGACTCAGCTTGCACTGTTGTTGGAACTTGTCCATCTCCAAAAATTGTTAAAAGAAATTATTTTCACCTGAAATTGGAGAAAGGTGGTTTTCCCTGGATTATTTTTTTTTTTTATTTATTTTTTTTTTTTAAAAGCAAAAATTAGTTGTGGGTTGCTATTTGCATCATATAGATAGCCACCTTTTTATACCATGCTTTGGTTTTTTGCAAAATAAGATATGACTGCATCAGCTGATCAGCCAAATCAACACCCCCATGTACTTATTATACGCCCTGATGCAAATCGGTTTGGACTCTACTCTACCCTGGACAGAGACGTCTGACATGCGTTCGTCATGGATGGTGGTTAGCATGTTGACATCCTTCCTGTCCCTAAATCTTAGTGCAAGCACTTCAGCTTTGCGAAGTTCTTTACATTCGCCTTTTTTTAATTTTGCCTCTGAGAGATTGTGGAAAGTCTTTGGAATTTTTTCTGGCAGTGCCGCAGGCCAGTGTCTGTAAACCATAAAGTGTTTTAAACAGACGGACACTACTTTAAAAATTATCCACATAAAGGTGGTAACCTTTATTAAACAAGGGGTTTAGTAGATCCCATACAAGTTTCCCACTTGTCCCCAGGGAGTCAGGAGGGTCCAGTTGACCATCTTTCCCCTCATATACATGAAAGGCAAACGTGTATCCACTTTTACTCTCGTACAGTTTTATGCCATACCTAAAGTGCTTTGAGGGGATGTATTGTCTGAACCCTAATCTCCCTTTGTATTTCATTAGAGATTAATCTATGGATGAATTTTGTTGGGGGGTATAAACATCCAAAAACTTGTCCTGAAAATGGTCTAGCAGTGGGCGTATTTTATAAAGCCTATCGTATTGGGGGTGATCTCTAGGGTGACAGAGGGTATTGTCACTGAAATGTAAAAAATCTCTGCAGTAACTCGTATCTGGCTCTAGGCATGGTTTGGGAGAATACTGGACTAGACATTATTGGGTTGGTGCTCCAGTATGAGCGAATCGATGGCTTCTTTATAATCCCCATGAGCATTGTAAGAGCCCAGAATTTTTTAAGCTCTGGGACATCTGTGGGATGCCAGTCATGCTCCCTGACTCTATAGCTACCTGGATTGTTATCAATACATTGGGTAGCATACAAGTTAGTCTGGGAAGCAATCTCCTCCCAGATGGTATCCCCTAAAAATAGTTCTACATACTGCATTGGGGAGAAGCCATCCACATTAACATTAATGCCTGCTTTGGCACTAAAAGGGGGGACGTTGGGCTCGGCTAACTGTGGAGGTACCCAGTCCTCCTCCACATTCAGCGCAGCAGAGGAAGCACAGCTTCTTTCTTCAGCCGGCTCACACACAGATGACATGTCGTCTTGACTAGACGTGTCAGAAAACTGACTTGGGTCAAAATCTGACGCAGTGTCAGTGGCATCAGTCTGACGCCAAGAAGGCATATGCCTCCTGCAAGTTATGCATACGCTGCATGTTTTACACACGACTAAAACAAATTACAAACACACAAATTCTTTTTTTATACTTTGTTTTAGTAAAAAAAAAAAAAAAAGACTAAACAGCAATCCCTAAACTAACTCCTGTCACAAAAATCTAATGGAGATTTGGGGGAAGGAAACTGACCACGACACAGATTTTTAAAACAAATTTAACCCTTTAAGGGCAAAAAAATACAGACCGTACAAATGCACTGCTGTAACAGATCTGGCAGGGAAGAGGTTAAAAAGGATTTTTTTTTTTTTTAAATTCACTATAGATACTGTATAAAGCTCTGGAACACTTCTGCTGCAACAAACCATCATGATCTGTCTCTCTCGCCTCACAAAACGCTGCAGAGATCACTGTCAAAGTGAGTGTTTGTTTGTAACACCCACATTGGCTGTTACTATCTGCCTGGGATGTCTGGCAGATAGTTAGTGTTATACTGGCAGGAGCGATCTTTGATCGCTTCCCGCAGCCCATTTTTCGCTATGACGGTTCAGGACCGTCAGTGGTCCAAACGCAAGTTTTACCGTTGACGGTCCTGAACTGTCAGTGGTCCTGAAGGGGTTAAGTTCAGTCAGTGTTTGATTATATAACAGTTATTGGAAGTTGTAGAACTGTGCCAGCACCATTTAAAGGTCCAGAACAGTCTTTTTTAAAACACAAAGTCCAAATGGTGTTTCTAACTGGCAAAATCTCCCAGGGAATCATAGTTATACGGCAAGAGGCTGGTAATTAGTCCTCTCCAGGCACAAGTGGCGAAGGGCACTTCGTCACAATTGGTAACTTCAGAAGCATGTCTTGCACTTATGGACACAAGCAATTTTTGCTGTTTGTATTCAACCGAGGTTTGCATTTTTCAAATTTATTGCACCAACACAAATAATATACAATTTTTTTTAAAATTTTTTTTAAAAGGACAAATGGGGACTTTAATTTGATATAACATATGCAGAAATAAATTAGCATTTATTATAAGATGCAAAATCAAAACTTTTTTTTTTTTTACAGTTTTGGCAATAACTTATACAGAATATATCTAGCTTAAGAAAAGTAATTCAAAATAAATGTATTTGTCCTGATTTACTGAGTATATAATATGTCTAGGATGTCAATTTATTTTGATAGTTAAAGTGGTCTGCCCATTGGAGTGGTCTGGGTGCCAACTCCCACAACCCCTAACCCTGCAAGTATAATTATTGCAGCTTTTATAAACTGCAATAATTACCTTACAGGGTTAAGTCTGATAGTCACTAGAGGGGCTTCCATGTTCTTAGAACACAGTGTTTTAAGCGACGCTGGACGTCCTCACGCTATGCATGAGGACCTCAGCATTGCCAGAATCCCCATAGGAAGGCATTGAATAAGGGGGAGAGGGGCACTGCAGTGTCCCGCAGTTCCAGGAAAACTGATGTTTTCAGGCACTATAGAGTCCCTTTAAATCTATGTTCAGGGAACGTTCCCCGAACATAGATTAGATGGAAATTTACCCAAATGTATACATACACACTGCCTCTAATGTATGTACGGGGAAAAATCCCCGAACATAGACCAGCTCTATGGGGAATCCCTTGAATCCCCACGCTAGAGAATTGGTCGTAAGTGTGAGCCGTCTTGAAACCGGTAGGTCATAAAGTCAGGACCACCTGTATACAAATGATAGCCATTGTTTAGGAAAGGGTTGACTAGCTCTCATTCAATTTTCCCACTAGTCCCAACAATATTAGTTCAACCTGGAGGATCCCGGTGGCTCTTTTCCTTCACACACTGATGGTGTGCACATAGCCACTTTCACAGTCTTTACATATTTATCCCATACTGGTATGTACTGTTTGAACCCCAGTCTTCCTTTATATTTCATTAGGGACTCCTAAATGCCTAATGGGTTAAAGGAACACTCGAGGCACCGCAATCACTAGTGCACTTCAGTTGTTATGGTTTTTAGACTTTGTCTTTTACCTTTCTCTTGTACCAACATGCCCTGCTATTAAACACCAAATTGGGAAGAAGTCCCTGTAATTGATCCATGTTGTCCCTTCAGTCAGGTAAAGCCAAATCCAGTGTTGAAACTGACCAATTTGTTACATGCGCTATGCACATATTGGGAAAAGTTGTGTATCACTGATAGGGTTATTCACAAATAAGAGAGTTGACTGCAATTGTAAATTAATTTCCAACTTAAGGCCAAAGTAGCCAAACTGAAAGCATAGCTGACTTGGAGAATATTTTCATGTTCGGCTAAGTTTGCCTGAAATAAGAAATCCATTTTAAATTTCTGGTAATTCTTGCAGGAATCTTAAGATAATTTACCATTTCTGGCAAAAATAATATTGTGCAAACGTGCTGCCATATCATTTACCCAGAGTGAGCTATACCCCCTATTGCTGCCATCACCCCTCTCAGAAGTGCAATAGATACATGGGAAATCCCTCAACTGATATCAGTCACCTCACATGGGCGTTTGTATGACTGCTCTGTCCTGTATCGGTTAATGGGTGTCTGCATACTGAGCAGCACAGGGCGGCCCTCCCCGGATCACTGTATTAATCACACACACATTGCCCTGAATGCAGAGCAGAGGTGTGCCTCGAGGCCCCGCCCCTTCTCCCCACACACTTCCTCAGTGTCACAACATGCCACGCTGCAGACGGAGCGCCAGTGTCCGGGAAACGCATGACATTCATTGGAAGTCGTTCTTTGACGTCAGCAACCCGAAGGCCAATAGCCAAACGTCTTTCCGCCACTGCCCTCAGTGCCACATTGAGAGCGTGTGATGTAATGCGCTAACGCCTTTCCAATCCCAAGATGGCTGCCGAACGTCAATAGCGGTACCATGGAAACTGGACCTGTAGCTTTTTTATGGGCGTGGTCAGCTGCAGCAGCCTATATAAAGAAGCCGCAGGAGGCACAGGGAGTGTGAGAGTGAATAGTCGCTGAAGGCGAGGCTGCAGTAATCTGGTAATAAACTGTGTGCTAGGTGACTGGGCGGAGTGCTTGCTGAGCTGAACACGTCATGTATAGGGTGCAATATGGCAAGCCCATGGGTAGAGCAATGCAAAGGCTAAGAGGGCAAGAGGCACATCTGACGCTCATGCTGAACTCCCCCCTCAAGGCTGGCCAAGCATCATAAGGGTTGTAGTTATAGAACTTCCTGTGGGCTCGTGCTTACCTTGTGGCCACTCTGGGTGAGGTGTGGGATGTCTTACAGGGGGCTCTGACTCTCTGGGGGGGCTTTCTCTGGGGTACAGTGAAGGGGTATCGGATTTTGGTGGTTGTACAGTAAATGTGGGGACTCTTACAGCTGCTGCAGACTAGGTTTACCATAATGCTCAGCCAGGTTGCTGGCTGAGTGTGATTGGAAATGTATTCCACAAAGGCAGGAGAGAATCACTGGTTTAGGTCAGTTAGCAGGGATTGCCTAAGGATTGAGCGTCAGCTTTTGCTGTATGACTTCAATTGCTATGGTACAATGCATCATGGTTCTATGCTTTGGCTGTATAAGGTTCTATGACTACTTATAAATGAGTATGGTAAACAGGGATAGTAAGTAAGCTTTTAAAATAAAACCAATGGATAACTAACCTTAAATACCTTGAGTTACCTTCGTTGACTGAGCTTTGAGTGAAACCGTCCAGACGAGGTAACCAATCAATATTGAATCATCCCTAATCTAAAACTTGAAATAAATGGGGGATCTGGGATGATGGTATGCAAGGACATAAGACATTAATTAGCAGATGGACAAGTAGAGTTTGGGTGAATCCATAATATCTCATGTAAAAGAGGACATTTGTTTCAATATTCTGTTCGTATAGGTTCCATTAATATTCTGTTTTCATTGTCCTTGGTTTTTGAAGGATTGCTGTTCTGATATTTCCTGTGATAATGGATGTTGCTACCCTTCGCCGTTCCCTGTCTGAGGCTGGCCAGGACCATGTTTTGCAGTTCTGGGATGATCTATCTTTGGAACAACAAACCATCCTTCTGGAGGATCTTCAGAGTTTGGATGTTAGAGAGCTAAATAACTTCTTTCACAAGGCTATGGATGGGTTCTCTGTCTCACCCAATCAAGAGAAAGTAGATGCCAGAATGGAAGCTGTGCCCAGAGATGTTCTTGGGAGTGTTACAAGAGATAGAGAGCATCTTCGGGACTGGGAGGCTCAAGGTACTTTTATACATGAGCTTTAGCCTATTGTGTAGTGATCATACTATAAATTGGGAATCTGCTTCTGTTTTGAAATTAAAAAGAAAAGCTTATGTTCACATAATTTCCTGACCCTTTTTAAATGTACTTAAAGGGACACTATAGTGCCCAGAACAACTATAACTTATTGAATTTGTTCTGGTGAGTAGAATCATTACTTTCAGGTTTTTTTCTGTAAACACTGTCTTTTCAGAGAAAAAGCTATGTTTACATTACAGCCTAGTGATCACTTCACTGGCCACTCCTCAGATGGCTGTTAGAGATCCTTCCTGGGTCATGGCTGCCTAAAATGCATCCAAACATTCAGTGTCTCCTCCCTCTGCATGCAGACACTGAACTTTCCTCATTGATTCAATTCATCTCATCTCTATGAGGAGATGCTGATTGGCCAGGCCTGTGTTTGGCTCTGCCCCTGATCTGCCTCCTTTTCAGTCTCCGTCAATCCTATGGGGAAGCATTGTGATTGGATCAGGCTACCACTTCTGATGTCAGCAGACTGCTTGTTTTTCTGAGTCAAACAGCATGCAGAGTTACAGCTTCAGGCCTGAATACAGTAAGATTTTGCTATATTTATGGAGGTATGAGGGGCCCAGGGGGGCTAGATTGTGGTTTTAACACTATAGGGTCAGGAATACATGTTTGTGTTCCTGACCTTATAGTGATCCTTTAATGTGTTTTTTTTTTTTTTTTTAAGTTTCTGAAAAAAAATATAAATATAGAAGAAAAAAAAATTCCTTTTTTATTTTAATCTGCTATCTTTGCATATATGTTTCCAGTTAACTACAAGTCAGTATTTGGTGAATAAATATCAATGAGTTGTAGTGGAAGCCTCGGATAAGCTGATACACAACATCCTTTACTGTAGTAGCACAGTACAAACACTGAGCAAAATATAATAAATGCAAAGTCTTTACACATTAGTACACTGCCAGATATGATTTTTTTCTTTGCCATAGATTGACACACGGCTCAAAACAGAAGAGCAACTTGGAGCTCTTTGGCCAGCTCTGCATCATTGCTGGTGTGCTCTTGTGGAATCATAGGAAACGTTGCATAATTAATCTGTATAGATACTATAGGACCAGGCAAACAAAGCTGTATTCCTGTCACTATCACTCCACCTCCCCCCGGTACCTGACCTGAGGGACATAGGCTCTTGGTGAAAGCTCCCCTGTCCCGCAACGAGCGGGCTCTAATGTGCATGCGTTGAATCAATGCTTTCCTATAGGGAAAAATCTGACCTGCAGAGCGCGAGGACGTCCAGCGTCGGATACCGGACCAAAGGTCTGTTTCAAACCAGGAAGCCCTCTAGTGGCTGTCTGATAGACATGTACTAGAGGCTGATTTTAGAGCTACAATGTAAACATTGCACTTTCTCTGGAACAGCAATGTTTAATATTGCAGCTCTAAGGGCAATAGGGACACTGTACCCAAACCACTTCAATGAGCTGAAGTGGTCAGGGTGCCTACAGTGTCCCTTTAGTAGCCTTTATTGGGATAAATAACAAAGCAACTGTCAAAGTGACAGCTACCTCTATTAAAAGGACCATTTTCTCAATGACTAAAGGATTACTGGTTTGTAGGAGTGAACTGTCCGCTATATAATACACATTGGAACACTTCTCATGGAGACGTTAATTTGCTCATAGTATAACTTGTCCCTGTAGCATATTAGAAATGGAGGGGTTTATTTACCTTTCCATGTATTGTATAACATCTAGTTTCAGTAAACTGCAAGAAAATATATATACAGCTCTATAACAGGAATTTCTGGTTTGCTGACAGACTAAGGTGTATGGCTGTCGTAACTCTCCTATTGTTTACTTACACCAAGGGCAGTTCATGATGTATGGTAGTTATGCCACTATTGCAATTGCACTCTCTATATTTACATAAAAAGCACATTCCAAGAGAGACTTGCATGCATATAAAGAACAAAGCTTGTAATTGTGGGGTTCTAATGGCCAAATTGATAAAATTTGTGTAACTCAATCTGTGTTAATGTAAAGTTTTTGTGACTACATCTCTTCATCTTTTAACATATAGGTGTTAAATCCTTGTATGTGGCATATTATCTGTCAGGCAAAAATAAAAACAAATTAGACCTAAAATTGTACTTTAAAGTTGTTTCCGGATTGTGTAACAATTGGTCACATTAAAAATAGTACTGTCAACATGTGTGTTTGTTTGTTTGTTTTTTTTGTTTGTTTTCCTTATCGTGAACAGCACACAATTAGTGCAGAACGTTTTTGAACTCGTAATATGCACCAAGGGCACAATTTAACCCTCTGCTTTTAATGCACCAACTGGATTGTAGAACATCATGACTGCAGCCCAGTTATGTTTAAATGACACAAATTGTCACATTAGTAATATGCAACCTTGCCATACATCCATTTAATGTGTTTGGTTTTTCTATGGAACATTTTCTCATTTGCACTTTTACTTTTCCTCTTTTTTTTTCTTGTCCAGGCTTTAAGCAGATCTCGAATGGTAAAGTGGCCGTTTTGTTGCTCGCTGGAGGACAAGGGACTCGTTTGGGGGTATCATACCCAAAAGGAATGTATGATGTGGGTCTTCCCTCTCACAAATGCCTCTTTCAGATCCAAGCTGAACGCATCCTTAAATTGCAGAAATTGGCAAAGGAGCGATATGGACTGCAATGCACAATTCCTTGGTGAGCAGAGTTCCCCTTGATTTCTCTCATCCAAGGCTCATAATTTTCTCTCACCCACTACCCATTGGCAAGTGTAAATTCAGTCCTGACAACTATGCAATTGGAACATGGGTGCCCAATTTTTTTTTATTTTTTTTTTCTCTTTTAACTTGTTTATGCATTACACCAGGGGAATATATTGTTCAGCACTCCATATATTGTGGAGCACATCTACCCTGATTTACCAGCATTATGGGAGGTGAAGTCTACAGCATCTGGAGTGCTGAAGGTTACCTGCACTATAGGTTTTTTTTTGTTTGTTTTTTATAGTAAAGCTAAATTAGTATTTTTTTTCATGATAGGTACATCATGACTAGTGGACGTACCATGGAATCCACACGGGAATTCTTTCAGAAACATCAGTATTTTGGGCTGAAGGAAGAGAATATAATTCTTTTTCAGCAGGCCATGCTGCCAGCTATGAGCTTCGAGGGAAAGATTCTTATGGAGGAGAAGCACAAGCTATCTATGGCTCCAGGTCAACTTTTTAAAGTTAATGCATTGTATGGTGATCTAAAACTCCCATTCTAGTTGCTTGCCAATTGTGAACGTTACATTTAGACATCTGCTGGGAAGCCACTGCTTGCTTATCACTGTCATGTGACATTTATAACCAAGCTTCTCTTTTTCTGCAGATGGTAATGGTGGTTTGTACAGGGCATTAGGAGCACATGGTATACTGAAGGATATGGAACAGAGAGGAGTGGAATACATCCACGTATACTGTGTAGACAATATCTTGGTGAAAGTAGCAGACCCTGTGTTTATTGGTTTCTGTGTGGAGAAAGAAGCCGATTGTGGAGCAAAGGTAAGCAGTTGGGGGCAGTAGTAATTATTGTAAATCTAATGGATGTGGGGTATTTATTTAAAGTAGCTCTGTGAATTCTAACTATTTCATAAAAATAATATATTAACTACTCAAACTGAATGAGGGGGTATTTTCTTTAAGATCGTAGAGTCCGGATTATCATATGAGCAAATCTTTGAATGAAAAATGACCGTTTAATCCATCAATGTGTCCTTTCCCAGGAGAGAAATGCATAATTTTGCACATTTCTCAATGTGTTATGTAGGCTCTTGAAGCATTTTCTGTAGAACTCTACTTGGTATTTTTTTTCTGGCAGTATACCTTGCTTTAGGTTCGTCCCAAGGCTGACGCACATAACGAGTGCATAACACCTTGGGAGGTCTGAAATATTAACATACGTGGGTACCAAGGATGTGAAAAATTCCAAACATTGTCTCCTTAAACTTAATCCATATTAACAACCATAAGCAGTTTGTTAGTTTGACTTCGAAGAAACAAAGCAAACATTTTAGGTGCACAGTGGTACTAACAAACAAAGGAATATCAGGAGAATTAAAAGAACTATAAACGTATAGCATATCCACAATTTTAACAGTCTTACAGACTTCACCACTTGGTTAGATGTACAGATTAACCATACATATGCAATACAGTGAACTGTTTTTTAATGCACATATTCTATCTTTGAAGCCATACACTGTGGGTTGTTTATCACTGCAGGATTGGCATGGCCAACCATACCTTTCCATTTTTCTTACAGGTTGTTGAAAAGATGAACCCCACAGAGCCAGTCGGGGTGGTTTGCCGTGTAGATGGTTTGTACCAGGTAGTGGAATATAGTGAAATTTCGCTTGCCACTGCCCAGAAACGAAGTGCTGATGGCCGACTCATGTACAATGCAGGCAACATCGCCAACCACCTCTTCACTCTGCATTTCCTACAGAAAGTGGTGGAGTAAGTAGTTTATTTGTGTTAACAACAAACCATGTGGGTGCTTAAGACTGTCAGGAAAATTAATTTAAAAGGGTCTTGGTGGGTAGGAAACCTTTGTAATTGTTCGCTTCTTCTATTAAAGAGAAAATCTGTTTTGGAATTACACTGGGCAAGGAGATAGGTGGGGGTTTTTTTGTGTTTTTTTTTTTTTTTTTTTTGTTTGTTTTTTTTCTCTCCATTAGGAAGTGCCTCTAGTACATGTCTGATGGCTACTAGTGACATTAGCTGACACATGTAAACTTTGCCATATCTTAAGGTTTTAGTGCTTTGATTTCAACCTGACAATTAAAATTAATGTCAGTTTGACTTGAAGTATGCAAATATGTACTAAGATGTCATTGTTTCTAAAAGTAGACTTGCATCATGATGGTTTACACACTGCACACCTAAACAGTGGTTAGACCTGTATGGGCCTTTGTCAGTAACGTGAGTGGAGATAGCACATGAATGACTGGCCACTATATATTTCATAGTTTTAGTGTTAAATGCAGTACTATAAACTGTTTCATGGTTATACAGTGTAAATAATGCATAAGCTTAAATGTCATGATAAACTATAGCCCAACACCCAAGTTAACCGTACAAAAGTCATTAGAAAACAGAATGCGTACTGCCTAGTCTTAGAGTGGCCGAACTTCATGCACAATCGTGCCAAGGCTAAGGAGATCGAATATAACAAGTTCAGGGACAAGAGAATGGAAAATGGTCACTAAGCAGGCAGAAGAGTTCAGAAAAGCCAATGAATACTACAAGGAAAAAAATGCACTGTCGCTTAACCACTAAATGGAAGCCATGACCGAGCACAGTACAAGAGCTAAAATGCACTTCTATAGCCATAAGTGGGCAGGGATTGGCGCCACTGTGACGCCATAACATGCATGCGCATCGTTGTAGCAATGAGGCGTGGACGTCCGTGTCCCAAACTGTGGAAAGGACACCAGAAGGAGGCGCTGCTGCAGAGAAGGTGGTCAGGGAAAGCACCTATAAGATAATGGACCGCACAGGGACACATTTCACATGACCACACCAAGCGGTCTCTGTGATAAATTGTATGTTATGCTAATAGAACAGCAGGAACATGAGATCAGGAATAGGCAAATACAGCTTTGATTGTTAGCTTTATTAATCTGTACTCTTACCTTTGTATTTATACCTCTTACATATGCATAATCCCTTTAAAAATACTCATCGTTCAACCTCAGGTATATCACTTATTTTATGTGTCTTTGTTAATTCATGTCAATGAGTTTTAGTTGGTTATCCTTTTACATTGTATAATTCTTTATATTCTAACCAAATTTGAGTCTGTTTATAATTTACACATGGTAAAATATTTTATAGGGTTCATGAACCTCAATTACAACACCACGTGGCCCTAAAGAAAATCCCGTTTGTGGATACAAACGGTTGTCTGATACATCCAGATAAACCTAATGGGGTGAAGATGGAAAAATTTGTCTTCGATATCTTTCAATTTGCCAAGTAAGTCCGTATGGAGGACTCCTTTCCTCTTGGGTCAAACCAGAAACAATTTTTACATACGGTCAACGCAGTGTATGTGTGTTTTTTTTTTGTTTTTGTTTTTTTTTTTTTCTCCTCTGTTAACGTATATTTACTGTGCAGTGACTCTTTCAGTAAACCATGAGCTTTGGTGAAGTGACATCTAAGTTGCTAAGATGACTAAGAGTTGGTAGTACTATTATGCATGTTCTGTAAATTTGTTTTTTGTTTATATCCCAATTTTTAACTGTCTCCATTTTTACAGTAAGTTTGTAGTATTTGAGGTGCTGCGCGAGGAAGAGTTTTCACCTCTGAAGAATGCAGACAGCCAGAACGGTAAAGATAATCCAAGTACAGCCAGGCATGCTCTCATGTCACTGCATCATTGCTGGGTTCTGAATGCTGGTGGACATTTTGTTGATGAGAATGGGACCCGAATCCCAGCTATCCCACTGTGAGTATCATCCGGTCTTGTGTGTAGCATGTTCACCAGGGGTTACAAAACTTTGGCTCTCTAGATTTTGTAGACAACATCTCCCATAATACTCTTACAGCCATGATGCTGGCAAAACACTAGGTAAAATGTAGTCCACAACATCTGCAGTGCCGAAGGTTTTCTACCCTGATATAGACTAAGGGGGAATTAAAAATATTTAAATAACAAGTTGTAGCATTCTGCAATATTTCTGTCTTCTATTGGTCCTTGCTTAAACGGAATGATCACTGTATGTGTGGCGGTTGTTAGTTGAGGGTTTTTGTTTATTTGTAAAAAAAAATTTTTTTTATACATTTTGAAAGTAAATAATGACTATCTTAACTTGCAGTCAATGCCAATGTGATATTTTCTATATTATAGGCTTAGTTGGCCAAGACCATCTTCACCTCTTTTCTCTCAATATTCTAGTCTGCAAATGAATTAATTTTTATAATAGTGGTAACTCGCTATGGAAAATGTTGGTGCAGTATAAATTCTAATATAATTTTAATTCAATATAATTTCCAAGACCAAACATGTAGTTTGTGGTTTTTTTTTTTGTTTGGTTTTTTTTGGAGCTAATGTACACTGCATCATTTTACAATAAGGATGTATAAAACAAAAGTTACGGTGAAGAAAAATGAGGTGAAAATTACAGCTGATCTAGAGAAAGTGGGGTATAAAAAAAAAAAAAAACTGAAGTAAAGAGCTACATTTATAGAATGGTGATTGCCAGATATGACCTCGGCATCTACTGGCCATATATGTAAATTTAAAAAAAACTACATGTGTGCATGGAAAGGTGAGGGCTTGTAACTACACATTACAGGAGCAGACTACCTCCATCACTTTCCATGATACAATCCTGGTAAATAGGCTTCCACCCAGTAGGAAAATACACTGGTTCAGTTCTAATACATGCACCACACAGTCAAACTGACTCCCTTCCTCTTGACAGGCCAGGATCTTTCACCCAGATAATGACATCAGGATCAGCAATAGGTATACACTTGAGTATTTAACCAGGTTATATTGGCATGAAGAGCTACACCCAAAGTTACGTTTTATGGCTGAAGTTTTTTGTTTTTTAGAATGGTGCCTCAATAGTTTGCAACTGGCATACATCTCTTAATACACAGTTTTGCAGGTACAGCTGATCAGACTTGAGAGATGCAGATCATTTTGGAAGGTACTTGCTATTTTATGATCAGAAAGGCACCCTTTGGGCAGCTGTTGGATGCCCTCAGTCCTTAGTACCCTCAACTCCAAGCTTTTCATTCTTCCACAGATATATATCCTTTGAAAAATAGAAAACAAAGTACAGCAAGAGGGGAAAGAACTGGCTGCGTCTACTAATAGAATATTATATTAATATAAGAGTCCAAGGGGGACAGCCCAAGATTTGGGTTATAAAGCACTGGATATAGGATACAGTATTTTACTCACTTTTTTTTTCTACCTGCAAATTACGCAGGATAGCTGTTCACGATCCTCTAGGTACTGCTCTAAAAAGGGAGTAAAAGACTATATCCAAGTCCATTGCTTTATTTCATTGAACACCATCCTTCCTAGGGCAGCACAAATCCTAAATACTCCACTGCACACACTTCTGTTACTGGAGCTGGTTTGAAGCTCCATATTATGTGAGTGGGAATTTGTCACCTAAGAATTGTGTCCTCCCTTACAAAAAAAACCTGTGGTGTATTAAGTGTACCCATAGTTAAAGAATTAAAAGCCAAAGAAATCAAGATCACTTGGTGCATACCCCAAAGGATTCTTTTCTATTTTTATATAATATTTGTTTTATCTTGCTCCTCTCTCTCAAAAGAAATCACACACTTATTTTTTGTTTAGTTAACTGTGCCATATCGCTTACCTAATTATTTTAAAGAGCTTTTCTTAAAGTATGTAAGCTGATGACCCAAACTCTGTGCCATGTTTAATTTTAAACAGCCATGCCAATCGAGTGAATGGACCTACGCAGGATCACACCCAGAACAAGTAACTATGGGTGCATGGTGCAGGGTCTACTACTAACATGCATTCTTGGTGGTGGACTGACCTTTTAAGCCACAGTAATCCATTTTTACTTTTTCATTACTTTTTGTAAAGATGTCTTATTCTCCGTTGTGGCTGCATTTGAAACGTACTAAATATTCTTGCATGTGTTCTGCTGACTAAACAGTCTTCCCTCTATTCTATAGGTATACATAAATCATTGCTGTGGTAGTCTAAATATAAATTCCTTTAAGTTTAAATATGTATAGCATGAAAAATACATTATTTGGCATCTGTATAATTACATGATTTGTAAGATGGAAAATTTAGCTCCCTTTGGATTGACTGCTGGGTAATTTCAGCATATCTTTGGAAGTCTTACAATTTGTAGTCATATGCTACTAACCGTCTGTTAAAGTACTTGCCACTGAAAGCCATAGTATGCTCTACAGTAGTGAATTTCAACTTGCCAGGTTAAATTTTTCATTATATAATTTAATTAACTGCAAATTTACTGGGATGGTAACTGATGCTGGATGCCCTCATGTAGAGCATCATGCATAAGTCCCCATAAGAAAGCATTGAGTCAAGATTTTCCTATGGGAAGGGCCTAATGCACTCGCTACGCATGTCAGATGACATCGGACGAGGCGGAGCACCCCATGGACATCATCACTGGAATTGGGTGAGTCCTTGCCCTTTATCTGCCATAGGGATATTCAGAGGGAACTATAGTGCTAAGAATACAACTTTGTATTTCTTTAAATCTATTTTGATCACTTGGCCACAGTAACATTAACCAGACTATGTGACTGGAACTCCCTGCTCATAGCCGCTGCAGCATAGCTACTCTTGGCTTACAGAATGCTCCATTAGTGCTTTTATTGATGGACCTATAAATGCTGTGAAAGAGCCAGAGAAGCAAAACTAGCATAGCTCTTACAAATCTTAACTGTAATAAGATTGCAGCGATCTATAACCCACAAAAGCATAAGTTGTTCTAATGCTTGTAGGATCTTTCATTAGCAGGGCAGTAAAACCTACAAAAAATGGCTGGATCTGTTCAGTGTGGTGTTCAATAACCAGACTAGAAACTACAAATCTAATCCTTTATATGTGGAATTATAATGCTATAGCGTTCCTTCAACCACATATCTACGTGCACCTTTTGCTTGCTATTTCAATGAAATTCATTAAAAGTGCATTTTATTTTTCTGTAGGCTTATTTCAACATTTTCTTTAAACTAGAGTAAAAGCAAGTATGTTGATCAGAAATCATGAGCATTTTATCTGATATGTGTTTTCTGCTAATTAAACATAATCTAGGGTGAGTCAAAATTAGGAACCACTCAATTATCTGAAACTTAATGCTCGATAATGACTATAAGGAGGACATTTATAAAGGCAAAATAAGGGCAATTATGGGGCAAAATGCCAAAAATGGAGCAACAGCCTTGGAAACCCATATGTTTCTAAGCATTTTGTTCTTTGCACCCCATAATAGCACCTGTATAGCATTGGTAAATCTCCCTCTCTACGTTTTGCAGTTAATGTTTGTCATCTTGTCAATCAGCTGAAAATGTATCTGGGTAGTTCCTTACTTTCAGTTCACCATATATCTATCAGATTGCAATCTCTCAATACTGCCAATGACCACCTCCAGTGTTCCCTCTAGGTGAGGTAACGGCACTGAAAGTGATTTAATACTTTTTACATAAAAAGAAACACAAAGTGAAACCACTCCATAAGGTTTTGTTACCTGTTTATGTGCTGAGATCTTTATAGGGAACACTGCTCAGACATTTGACCAGGGACTTGATGATCGTGCTCTAAATGACATGTTCACACATATGTATATATTATTATGGATATCTACTTAATGTATGTGTCTTGTTATTTCTCCCCCAAGCATGAAGGATGTTGGTGACTTACCAATTCAATGTGAAATTTCACCTTTGATCTCCTACGCTGGAGAGGTAAAACATTCATATGTGTCTTCTAAAAAAATGTTAATTCCATTAGTCAAAAATTTAGAATTACTGCTTCATAGGTCTCTGAGGTGTTTTATATGATAATAACAATTTTACAGATTTATTTTATTTCTGTCTGCATACTCCCTCTTTATGGCAAGTCCATATACAGAACTCAAAATGTCCAAATTATCTGGACATTCCATACTAGCATAGAGTATTTAAAGGAACACTCTGTGCACCAAAACAACTTTAGCGCTGTGCAGATCATGCCCCTGCAGACTCACGGAATTTCGAATGTAAACTTTACTACTCCAAAATTGCATTTAGATTTATCCTTGATCAGTAAGTGTGTTTTCAAAAACAAATACATTGTTTAAATATGTCTATTGTCAAATGTATTTTATATCTAGTTTTTTAACCTTTTTCATCTGTCAAAACAGGGCCTGGAGCATTACGTGCAGAATCGAGCGTTCCAAACACCACTTACAATAGATGAAAATGGAGTCCATCAATTGTCCGTCAGCAGGAATGGCATCTGTCTATAACAACTTGTGTACCTAAAGGACTATATATTTTAATGATATTGGTTGATGAACATTTGTAAGGTACACAGACATTTATTAATCACCGGGTTCTTCCTGGCCAGCTACTGCCAATACAAAACAATATTTCTTTTTCTCTTGTATCTATTTTAAATGCTATAATGTAAGAAGAAATTGTATGCATATTTATAACAAATTGCATCCTAAGGTACGTGGTATCTATTTTTTTAAAATTGTACATAGCAAACTCTTGTACATTTAAACATATTTTAATGGTACTGTACACCTTTTAATTTTTGGTTTATATAATTTTTTTATTTTTTAAATGTTTGATCTTCTATTTTTTTTTTTCTCTTTACTGATCATTATGAACTGTTGTAGATGTTATGGAACTACATCTCCCATGCTGCTTTGCCATTTTAAAGGCATTCCAAAGGCATGCAAAGCATCATGGAAGTTGTAGATTTAAAACATGTGAGGATCTACCTTTTAGGCACCCCTGACCTAGATGTTTCACATTCCCTTCATCAAAGAGCTTACAGAATCACATAATGTCACTGGTACATCAGAAAACCCTGCATATGGTACAATAACTGCATTGGCCTCCTTGGTTATATTATTATAACCACAACAAATGTATAGGATGGGAACACAAGGAAACCAAAATGAAAGGGGTTTGAAAACAATGTCAGGAACTTGCTTTTGAAAAACATTGTATACAAACCATAGGGAAAACAAACCCAATGGATTGTTTTCACCGCAAGAGATCTTAATCTTTTCTGTGGAAATTGCTCCATCTACTGAATTAAATATTGAAGATCATAATTCTGCTCTTTTAAATGTACAGTGCATTCAGAAAATATTAATACTTTTTTTTTCTCCTACTGTTTATGATTAAAACATTGATCTACACTCAATACCTTATCAAGACAAAACAGATTTTTGAAAACTTTGTAAATGTATTAAAGGGACACTAGTCACCAAAACAGTTTTATCTTTTTTTTTTATTTATTTTTTTATTTAAAAACTGCTTTATTAAGCTATCAGTTTTTATGCTTAGTGTTACTTTTAAAAAGAAAACAAAGTATTCAGACCCATTGCGACACTTGTAATGTTAGATCAGATGTATCCCCTTTCTCAGAACGCTCCAGACCTCTGACTGGGCCAAAGGTTCACTTTGTAAAAGGACAATGACCCTAAACATACAGCCAAGACAAGGCTATAGTGGGTTAGCGCAATCCGTCATCCCTCTCAATGTGTTTTGAGTTCTGAAAAATAAACATCTAATTATAGTAGAGAAGTCAACTTAAAGAAAAATCCTTGCTAGTGGCAGTTCCTCTTTAAAAGGAACATTCCAGCAGCATAGTAAAAGTGAAGTGGGTTAATAAAAAATTGTATGTATGTATGTATCTATCTCACCATCGAAAAATGCACATAAATCCTATATATCCCGGTCCCCACTGATCTACAGAGAGCACTAGTGCGCAGCCTTCTGGATGTACCTGTGGGATCTCAGTGAGCAGCACATACCCTCAAGATGGAGACAGGGACTCAGCCTCATGGGCTCGGACTGTTGCAGTTCGAGCGATTCATGCAAAACCTGGAACAGACCTTTGACAACTGGCTCCATTAGAGGCACGCCAAGCCACGTTTCCACTTTGGCCACAGGAGAGAGGCCGGAAGGCTGAGGGCCAGGAGGTGAGTGGGCCTACCTTGGGCACTCCATTTCTGCAAACACCATGCACTTCAGTAGTTAACCCACCTGGGCCAAAGGCCAATAGGGGCAAGACCCCATGGTATCTGCCACATGAACTGAGGACCACCTGCAACAAGCGGCATAATACCATCTGGCCTGTTTTTCTCACCCCTGGGGGGGGAAGCACTTGGACTCTGGAAGCCCAAAGTCTGTGTGGCTTATCCATAAGCCTGAGGCTGGAGGGATGCCCACCATCGTAACCTACAAGCTGCAACCTTGCCAATCTTAGCACTCAGCACTTATCACATATGCCTTCTGGATGTACGAATAGGCTGAATGCAAACCTGACACCCTGTGTAGTAATATAAGGGATCTTGTCTCAACTGATAGTACCCACTACCCACAAGTTTAATGTTTTTTTTGTTTGTTTTTTTTTTTGTTGTGATCTTTTATGCTTGTTTTATTTTTCTGGGGTATGGCTTCTTGGTTTTATAAAACACATACCACAGTGCAGTAACTACAGCGTAGCAAGAATCAGTGGTATTCCTCTTTTGATAATCACCTGTCTAGTTAAACAACTTGAAAACTACCATGGAACTCGAGGTCCTGGCTTACCACTCCAGTGTATGCTATTGCTCACATTTATGCAAGCATAGATATGTTTTTGCTAACGCTTACTTCCTTGACCGACGTCTCTAATACCTAGATTAGTTTTTCATTCAGTATAGTACACCCAGCTTGTTTCTTTATTCTGTAACTTACAAAAATGAGGCATGTCTATCCAATGTATGTTTGAGTGATGCGTGCTTATCTTTAATGCCTTATGATACTCATTGTATTTCATTGCATTTACTGTAATTAAGTAATGAACCAAAATGTGAACACAAAAATACTTATGGGCAGGAGCAAAGTAGTAGTTTCTTATGAATAATGCAATGGGAATTGCATAAGATCTAAAACCAATAAAAAACATACATAATGTACTCCTGTATAGAAAAGTAATAAGTTAATGAAGAAACAATACTTACAGATTTGAGAGCCATACCAGACTCTGTAGTATACGCCCCAGGCTGGTGCACGTATCAACACTGAAGATGACTGCCATTTGATGGACTTGTGCATGGATTTAGCAGTGTTTTTTTTTTTTTTTATATGCTTCATAGCTTGTTTTCACTGCACATACAGGTGATACTCAAATATTAGAATATTGTGCAAAAGTTCATTTATTTCAGTGCACCTCATGAGCTGTATCGCACTTATGACAAATCACGGCTTGAATGATCTTGCTTTGCATGTAATGTGGCTCTCCTATATATATTTCCCCTTTTACGTTGCATTACTGAAATAAATGAACTTTTGCAAGATATTCTAATTTTTTAAGTATAGCCTGTGTATAATGTATATTTAGTCCATTTTTTTTTTTTTTTTCAATTTATTTGATCCAGTTCTTTTAAAAAAAATTTTTTTTCATGATTCCTGCATGGCACCTGTCAAGTTATGGGATATCAGGCAGCAAGTAAACAGTTATTGAACTTCATTTGTTAGAAGCAGTAAATGTTGACAAGTGAAAAGATCTGAGTGACTTTGACAAGTGATGGCTAGGCGACTGGGTCATCTCTAAAACAGCAAGTTTTGTGGAGTGTTCGTGGTATGCAATGGTTAGTACCTACCAAAAAATGTGCGAAGAACAACCGGCAAACCAGGGTGATGCGCACCCAAGGCTCATTGATGCATGTGTGGAGTGAAGGCTATTTCCTCTGGTCCAATCAAACAGCTACTGTAGCTTAAATTGCTGAAAAACTTATCCCTTTCTTATACTATGTTGAAATTTATTCAACATATTTCACCTCTGGCAGGCCAACGTCTGTGTTTTTTTTTTTTCTCTCTTGAAGAGTACCGCCACTGTGCAGGGTGCCAAATGCAAACTTTAATTTGTATGCAGGATTCATATTGGGTACACGAATGCTTTGCTAAATATGCTGTATAACCAGTTGTATGTAACACTGAAACATATTCTATGTTTGTCCAGCTATTTTGCTTAAATTTTCAACTTAGTTTTCAACTTGTTTAGCAAATGAACCGAGCAGTGATTTGTCTTGTAGTACAAAGATTGTGTATGATTGGACATTGTGTAAAATGTCATACTTATGACTTAAGACCCTGTGCTGTGTATAGTGGTGTTCCTTTAAAAATAAGGTTTTGTAGCAGAACGTTGGATTTCATCTCTAGGGAATACACTTGCCCACCACATAGGACTACTCAAACAGAAAAACATGGCTTGGCCCTGGTTCAGCAGCAATGGTACGCCTGTTTTGCCATTATCAACTTGTAATCTTGATTCACTAAAACCATTAAAAATATAAATGAATTTCTAAAAGTTCTCTTTTTATTGCTATTTTATTTTAGATATTGCAACTCTCACCTCACATGTATAAATTCAAGTTTTTGTGATTTTTGCAATCGTTACAAATCTGCACATTTGTGCTGGACCAGATGAATCAGCACGATGAGGGTATAAATGCAGTCAGAGATAATGTTTCTGCTCTGTTTGCTTTTAAAGGGTGGGGACAGCTATGTCACTTAATGATCAGGATGTTCCAGTTTTGTCTGTGTGTAATCATTATGTCACTGAATTGAATGTAGAGCAGACAGTTAATCATAGTGTGACTCAATTTGCTCTGGTGTCACGGTACAGGTCAATGACTGGTGGTTGGACTCTGCTGAGCTCTAAAGTTTGTTAAAAAAAAAAAGTTAAACAGTTATCAATGAGGACATGAAAAGAGAGTAACACCGTAATTTTTTAAATTTTTATTTATTTATACTAAATTCATTTATTGTGCAGTTTATGTATAAAAGATTAGAAAGTATAACATTGCTATAAAATATAAATAGAGCATATATGTTCTCTAAATATTTCTAAAATCAGTCTGTACATAAAGCTATCGATGATAAAAAAAAATATTGCCCTTCAACATGTATCACAGTTCTCTGCAAACATTTTATTCTCACGTAGTCCTGCCAATGACTAGGACACATGCCGTAACTAGCGGACTGAGTGACAGGCAAGGCACAGCCAGAAAGTGACACTGCAGGAAAAGTAGGATTTTAGAACAGAAGCAGAACATGACTGACTGGACAGAACTGTAACAAAGTGTCTCCGGAAGAGATTGCAGCATGTCACTAGAACAGTGCTCAAGGATGCTTCATGACACTCTTGATTCTAAGGGACAACTGTCACATCACAACATTTAATATAATCCTTTTATCAAGTTTTGAATAAAAATATACTTCATAAAAAAAAATAAACCACCGCTCGTCCCTAACTCTAGAATATGACGTGATCCTTCAGTCATGTACATTCACATTTGCTCAGACAGTCTACATGATGTTCCCAGCTTCACTCCTTGCAAAGAAGCCGGGAAAACGAACCAGACTGTCTGTTTTGAGTGGACAGTTGTTCTGTAAATGGAACACTGGTTTTATTCACAAAAATGGAGTTTACATTTACAATCAACTTTCAAAATTCAAGTGAAAATAGCACAGTCAGGAGAAAAACCTTCATAACTGAGCTGAATATTTTATCCAACTGCGATGTAAAACTTAAAGTATCTATCTTGATTGGGAAAGGTACTTTTTAACATTAACTTTAAATATGTTGCTGTAAAAAAGACTCATATTTGGGTTTCATTGTACTCACATTAAAAAGCAGCGTTGGCTATAACGGAACTTCTCATTACAGCCAATACCCCACCGTGAACACCAGAAATATTGAGCACTATAATTTTGATCTTTATAACCAGTAGAAAGTGTGTTATCCATGTAGGGGTTGGAAAACGTGGCTCAGAATAACTGTAATGTAAGTCTATGGCATCTTGAGTTCAGGTCCATCCTCTGCTAACGTGGCATTCTGAGCAGTGCTCTAATCAATGCAACCCCACTAAAGTGTCACTCAAAGCTGGATATTTTGAACATAAATATTTATCATTTCAACATCCAGCAACATTAAAGGACCACTACAGGCACCCAGACTACTTCAACTCAATCTAGGGTTAACCCTGCAGCTGTAAAAATAGCAGTTTCAGAGAAACTGCTATGTTTACAATAAGGTTAATCCAGCCTCTAGTGGCTGTCTCACCGACAGCCGCTAGATGCACTTCTCACTGTGAAAATCAGTGAGAAGACGCCATCCATAGGAAAGCATTGAGAAATGCTTTCCTATAGATTGATTGAATGGGGGCTCGGCTCTTGCCGCGAATGCGGCGGAAGAGGGAGGAGAGTCCTAAGTACCAAGGGAGCCCGGCGCTGGAGAAAGGTAAGTGTTTAACCCCTCTTGAGCCCGGCGGGAGGTGGAGGGTGAGGGGTACCCAAAGCCCCTATAGTGCCAGGAAAACAAGTTTTTTTTTTTTTTTTCCTAGCACTATAGTGGTCCTTTTAGTTTTTGTTTTCTCAGGCTCTAGGACCCCTTTTTAATATGGCAGTACTTATTAACCAATGCATGTGTTATCATAACCACCACTTGTATAAAACTGAAACAACTCCATACCAGGGAGAATGTGACTGCAAAGTATTAGAAATATTTCCTTTATATTTTGCTACAATAAAGAGTTGCATGATTTTTAGAATGTACAAAAGGATAGAAAAGAGCAGTGACAGGGAATGTCTTTTTTACACATTTAAATCTGATTGGCCCAAAGGGGAAGGAAGTCTTAATTTTAGGATAGGTCTTTAGAATAAATTATTATAGAGTCACTTGCATATGCTTCTACTTCTGGTTATCCACCAATTTACTCCATATTGTGTGCGCTTCAATATTAAATGAGACTCTTGTATCTCATCTGCTCACACACAATCAGTTAATAGCATCTAAAGATTATTTTGGTAGAACAACCAGCAAATGTACAAATTAGCAGATATTTTAAATTTATTACGTTTTAGCCTCACTCATTGTCCTTTGTAAAATGTTTTGAGAGAAAAGCATTTAAAGATAACCACACAGGAGTTTGTGGACTAGGAATACAATAAATGAACAAACAAGGCCTTACAAAACAGCAAACAAATATTTCTAGGGAGTTCATCAGACATTTTTGTTGTATGGTGTCCCAGCATCCAGGGATATCTCAAACCAGCCAGCACAGTGCAAGCTAAATATAAGATGCACACACTGTGCACTAGGACAAGGTTTGCACTGGATGGGGTCAGCCAGGTGCCTGTCAATCAACCTGACTTGCATTCAGACCAGGCTGACACGTCCCTTTTGTTTTGGGCATAACCAGTGAAGTAAATTACCGTATTCTTCGCTCCATAAGACGCACCTAGTTTTTAGAGGAGGAAACCCAGAAAAAAAAAATATTCTGAACAAACTGTCCCATAGTGTTTCTTAACGCCCCCCCCTCCCCTCGTCCCATAGTGATCTTTAACCCACCCGTCCCATAGTGATCTTTAACAACCCCCCTCCCCTCGTCCCATAGTGATCTTTAACAACCCCCCTCCCCTCGTCCCATAGTGATCTTTAACAACCCTCATCCCATAGTGTCCCTTAATTACTTTTAGGATTAAGATTCAATTTGCTGAAATTTTGTTAATTTCAGTCCTTTTGAAATAGGCCTATTTTAGCTTCAGTGTTGCAAAATTTTGATTGAATCCACTAACATTCTGATTTTAGTGAATAATTCTGTTGGAATACGTAAGTCAAAAACAACAGTGATTTTACATAAATATCTAAACATTTAGAATGCTAATTAGTATTTTGAATATTTAATGCCAGGGTTAATCATTTGCAGTAAAATAGTTTCTCCCCTCCCCCGTGTTCCTTAATTACTTACCTTTATTGGAGCGTGGGCAAGCAGAACAGCGCACACCGCGGTACAGGAACTTAAATTTGCGCACTTCCTTTCAGTCCGGCTGGAAACCAGAAACTGAAATTTAAGTTCCTGTACCGCGGTGCGCGCTGTTCTGCTGGCCCACGCTACAATAAAGGTAAGTAAAGCTTCACATTCACTCCATAAGACGCACAGACATTTCCCCTCACTTTTGAGGGGGGGAAAAGTGTGGCTTATGGAGTGAAAAATACAGTACTTTTTTCTACAGTGAAAAAATCACAAATTAATACCTCTCATCTTCATTCTTGTAGATATACAGTGCTACTTTAAAAAAAGGTTATGTCAATAATGCATTGGTTCCGTAGCGTCACAGCAATTGCATGCACTACAGGATTACAATGTTATATATCACATTATTTTGCAGTGGTGAGTAACATTTACGGCTAAATATTGGTATTGGAATTTACATTTTGAGCCATAAATTATTACCAAATGTTTTGATTACCGTGTTCTCTACAGCAGTGGCTCTAAAATACAAATGTAAACTCCTCATGGATTCTTGCGTCTGGATGTAGAAAGATTGAACTACAAGTAAATTAGCAATAGCAAAGTAGATCAAATGCGTAGTGATCTCAGCCTTTAAAGGGACACTGTAGGTACCCAGACCACTTCAGCTCATTGAAGTGGTCTGAATGACAACTCCCATCACCCTTAACCTTAGAGTGGTAATTATTGCAGTTTTTATAAACTGCAATAATTACCTGAGGGTTAACTCTAGTAGAGAGCCACTAGAGGGACTTATGGCTTCTTAGACGACTTTTGGTCCTTCAGTTCGACGGGAGGGGCCTTCACAGAATAGTGCCAGGAAACAAGTTTGTTTTCCTGGCACTATAGTTTCCCTTTAAGGGTCAAAGCATGACCAACGATGAAACCATTAATTTATAATTTAATAACTATTAAGAGTCACTGAGCAATGCACTAAGCACTATCCTAAAATATTGGTAAAGGACACTAAAGGCACACAGTCTACTTCATCTTAAGGGGGGGCCCGGCCGCCCTGCGACCGCGGGGTCTGCTGCCATTTGTAGCGGTCCCGTATAACCGCCGGGGCCACACCTTAAGGGTCCCATCGGGTGGCCCATGCTGTTAGGGCTACCTGATGGCTATGGATTTCTAGGGGGATCAGTCAGAGCTGCGGTACTTTAACAGCGCGACCGGGCCCCGTTTGATGAGGTCAGAGGCTGGGAGGAAGTGACTGCCCGGTCACTTCCTCCCAGCAACCACCAGGGAAGTCACCCTCCTGCATCTAAAAGGTAGAAAACAGAATGGTGACTAAAATATTTTGTGTATGTGTGTGTCTGTATGTGTTTGTATGTATGTGTGTCTGCATGTGTGGGGGTAGACTTATTGGGGTGGGTGGTCCTGGGCAATTTTCGCACCAAGGCTGTGGTGGCCCTGGATTGGCGCACTGGCCTCCCAGGTTGATTATCTCAGTCTAGGAGACAGGGCGGTCGCAGTGAGACCATCACACTCAAGATATAAGTTAAGTAAAGCTTACGTTTTAAACCTTTATGGGGAGCACCTAAAAAAAAATAGGGCAACACTATAGCATTGTACTCCTAACACTTCAGTTAAAAGCCGCTGATGGCAGCTTAATTTAAGAAAATGGATAAGATGTATGAAACAGGCTATTCAAGTTAAACTTTGCTGTGAGAACCCTTGTTGCAGCAAAACTTTCACACCAAATCAATTTAGAAAATCTAATTAATGGGGCACTAGTGCACAAAATCCAATCCAAAATAATTAAACCAACCCGAAATAATTAAAGAACAAGACATTCCTTTCATTTTTGCAAATCGCTACAGATTAGATCATCAGCCTTTAGTTTTACTCACTCCAAGAAGCAACTAGAAGCAGAGGCCCTCTCAATCTGTCTGAGTCTGAACTGTTGGACATGTTTAATTCAGTGTAGGCACAATCCATTTGCTCAGAGACTTGCAATTATGAATTCTGTCAGTTGAGTTGCAACTCAATTTTCTGTTTAAAGGAAAATTATATATAAATGGCACAAACAGATAACACCAGTGAGGGATTGTCAATGAGATATTGGGTGTGAAAGAAAGGGACAAGCTAAGATACTTTGGCAGGGAAACTTAATTCTTAAAAAATAAAAACACACGACATGATACAGTATCATTATTGGCATATATATAGCCAACTTATTCCACAGCAGTTTAAAATATTACAAAGAGGGTAATTGAACAGTAAATGAGAATTACATGATACAAAAGACTTCCTGATGTGAAATGCATTGGGCATATCTGATTTTCTATAGACTGCCGTACTGAAACAGAGTTTATCAAATACATTTTCAAAGGTGTATTTTTGTATTTACACTAAATATATGCACTTTTGTATACACAGTATAAATTAATTTATATATAACTAGTGATGCAGCGGTTCTCATAAGACAACACTATAAACACAAAAAGTGGTTACGAATCTGGATATTTTCCTGATACACACAATACAACATCCATAATGTTAAACTCACATTCGGATGGCTACTCTTGGGAGGATTCTTCAAGAACTGATCCCATATTGAATGAAAATCTGATATACTGGGTAATATACCTTTTTATGTGCACTTTCCAGTACATTGTCTACAGTTCTACAACTGGTGTGTTGCATATATGGCTATACACGTATGTAGCAATTCCAATTTAGTGCATGATTGTATAGATTCCAGTACTGTCCACACATACACGCATATTGCTAGCTAGCCAATACATTTCAATAAATTCCACATAACATTTTACTTGTATCCTGTCATTACTCAATACATATCCTTTTCAACACTGATGGGCCATTAAAATTGCATGTACAACATAATCCAGATTATGTATGAGCGGTAATAACTATACAGTTGTGGACTGCTACTTATAAAAAGATTCAGTGTTTAAGGTATCTTGCCTGTTCTGAGAGATTAAAACATTTATAAATAATAGCACAATGAAAATGCCTTCTACAGCACCATACATAATTTAGTGCCCTCCTTTTCTGAGATCAGTACATAATCCCTAAAACCAATAACTGCCCAAATGTTGACTGTACAATCTAATGCATATTCTTTTAATATTTCAATATCAAACCTTAAGATTCTAAAACCGTGGGGAATATTTATCAGAGTGTTATGAAAAGTATCTGTTATGATCTAAAAATGTGACAGCTTTTGTCATAGTAAAATACACAACTTTTCGCGCACATTTCCATTTGAAAAGACCGCCAGATTTAGTGGCGGAAAAAAAGTGAATCGGAACATTTTTTGTCTGCAAAAGTGGCTAAAAGAATGATAAACTAACCAAATGCCATTTGCCAAAAATGATAGAGTGAAAAATAAGCAATAAATAGAAAAATGCAAACATAGTCAAACAATTGTAATCAATTGCAGCAAAAATGTACTGTGAATTTGACATAGGAACCACTGGAGGAGATTTTTCCAAGTGGTGTTTGACGCCTATGTTGAGACTAAAAATCAGTCTCCATGTGCTCTATATCGTGGTTCACCACTGGCTAGAACAGACTGATGATATTTATCAGATCAATGGGCAACAGCCCACAAAAAAATTGTTCACTGTAGTAGAACTGCCTTCTCCAGTATAATGGTATCCCAGATGACAGTGGAAATAAACCAAGAAGGGTGTTTTGCATTTGAAGAATTGATCACCAAGATAATGCCATGTACAAGATTTGTATCCATGTCAAAACAGATAAGAACCACAATCTAAAAAGCATTTTTAAGAATATATATCATTGTTAATGATTTTAAACTAGAGCACTAGTTTTATAGAATGTTAAGTCTTGTAGTGTTTAACACATTTAAAAATTCTGAATAAACAATATAATTTAATGACTGTTCGTTTTGCCTTGACAAACAGAGCATGTATAACGTTTTGGCCATCTGCTCATTTTTCTGCACAGACAAACAGTTTCTGACTTTCATCCAATGGAACCCTTTAACACTCTTTATCCCATTATGATTTCCATCTTTTGAGGCTTTCACATGCTATACAAAACTTAGCTCTATCTTCTACAAAAAATATTTGAAAGTTCTAAAATTGTGAATTTCCTTATCATAGTTCTGAAAAATTCAAATTACAAAAGCAGCTAAAATAAGTAGTCAAAATGCTTTAAAAAATAAAATAAAAAAAAACAAACATTCTGTTTAGTACTTGACCTTGAAATGTTTAGCAGAACCTACGGGAATACGACAGGTAAGTCGATGCTTTGTTTATATTACACAGGCGATACAATAGTTGCATATAAGTTTTGGACAAGATTTGTGAAGGCACTTAATGGGTGAATTCTATTTAAAAAAATTGCCATTGTTTACACACTACCTGTATTGGGCTGGTGAAAAAAAGTTTCAAGGATGACAAGGCCAGCGAAACGGCAATTACTGAAGTACCCCACAGTAAATTGTGAGAATGTTTAAACAGAATTGACAAAGTGTAGATCTCGGTTTCCAGTTAAAAGTCAAAGGCCATTTCAAAACTATGAATCTACTCAAAGGACAACAGGTCTGGATGTTTACTTTCATTGTCCATGCTTGAGGTTCTTGGCCATGAAGTATAATCTGAATTTACTTCCTCTTCCCGTAACTCATCCTGACTACTGCAGATATTTACATCAATCTTAACTGGCAATTCAGCAGTGAGGCTTGCCTCCAGGTTTTCTTTGTGAATTAGGTCAGGTACAGAAAAGGCAACTTCAGAAAGCACGCCTATTTGTTCCTCAGGTTCAGGTTGGTGTTGTGAGTCTTGTGAATGGTTCACTTCAATGGAAGATTTATTCGGGGTTTCACTTATAACCAAGATAGCAGAAGGGAAGCTAAGATGATTCTCTGCATTATTTATCACAGGGTTTGCTGAAATCATCATGTCTTGTGTTGTTTTTAGAGCGCGTGGGGTGCGTTTTTTCACAACTGGTGGTGGTGGTTCAAGGCGAGGGAACCCATCCAACTTTGACCTGAAACATTTAATGGAAGGATCTTTTTAAAAAATGCAATAACTGGAAAAACATAGTCCACTTCACAGAAATTCATTTCTAATTTTTCTAAGTAAATAAAACACAAAAATAAAAAAAATAAAACCACTAAACAATTTGAAAAGTTCTTCAGGAAAGAAAAGAGGAGCTTTACATTTGAATTATAAACAGACATATTTATATTTTTACCCTGGTAATGAATACCTTTTTTTTTTTTGTTAAACAGTAGTTGCTCACCACATGTAGTACACTTCACATGTAAACATCAGTACAGGTGATAAATCAAGTACTTTAAAGAAAACTATACTAGAACTCGATGACAAATGTTAAAGGGTTACTCCAACACGTTAACATGGTTTATTTTTTAAAGGGTTACTCCAACACGTTAACATGGTTTATTTTTTAGGCTTAGAATGTCCTATTGGGCATTGTTAATAGGTCCCCCCTTAAAGCTTACAAAAATAGTAGGAGTAGGTGTGAGGGATTAAATAAACCAAATATACAAGCAGTGGATGGAGGTGGGGCACATATGGGGGAGAACAGAGAAGGTGTGCGCCAACGTAAAATTAGCACAGACTTGACATTTTGCAGTCCGGAATGCGAGAATGCAAGTGTGCCTGGAATGTAACCTGGTACATACAAGTGCACATATCTCTAGATGTGCAGAGTTTAAAACGGAAATGTGGCACATCCAGACTCCTATCACCATGACCATTTCAAATACCTGAAGTGGTCATAGTGGTTGGACACATCGCAGTAGCTACAATATAATGGCCTATGCAATTATTATTTAGCCCCTTTCCATTTAGTATAGGTATTGACACTTTCTCCAACCTCCCCACTATTTTCTTTCTTCACGGATCATATGGTATGACCCTGTTAAACTGTATGTGCTGTATTACTCCAGTACCTGAAAACACAGGGTAATTTTCACACTCACAAAAATATTCTTAAAGCCGCTGCAAAGTATTTAATTTCAATGTAAATGAATAAGTTCTCTTTCTACAATCATTCCACAAACAGTTTAAAAATAGACACTTCGCCTTCTCTGCTCTTGTCTCTGGACGTGGAGAGGCATTCAACAGGATGGAGTGGCCATATTTGTTCTCTCTCGAGGCACTTTGTGAGCGCAGTGGGGGTCCTCTATAGGGACCTGAGGGCACGGGTAATGTTGAAGGGCGATGGTGACAGTACCTTTCCCATCAGCAATGGTACCAGATGGGGTTTCCGCCCTTCCCCCTCTTTCCCCTGTTATTCGCTATTGCATTAGAACCTTTTCTACAGCACCTTAGAGAGTTCCCGCGGGTGAGGGTCGAAGGGGGTGAGGGTCGGTGGGGACCTATGCCAACATGTCATACCTACGATATCAGACCCGCTCGTGTCTTTACCCCCTCTGCTCGGACTGATCTGGAAACATGTCCTAATATCTGGCTATAAAGTCAGTTTAATAAAGTCTAGCGCTATGCCGATGCACCTGTCGGCCGCCGCCGAAAAGACAGTTAAAACCACAATGCAACTCCGTCTGACGGACTCAATCAAGTATCTGGGTATCATGGTTACCAAGAGTAGCCGGACCATCTACAAGGCAAACTATTAGTCCCTGTTTCACAATATAAAAAGAGACCTGGGGGTCCAGACTGATTTCATGGATAGGACGCATTCATAGCATAAAGATGAAGGATCAGGCATAAATATGACCTTAGCTCCAACCCCTCCTCCCTGACCCCAGTATTACAGAATAGAGACTTTCCTCCTGGCATGACCCCCCAAGGTTTTGGAAACCTGGAAGACGCAGGACTGCAAAGGCAGTGGCGTACATACCAGGGTCGCAGGGGTCGCGGCTGCGACCGGGTCCGGCCCACCAGGGGGCCCGGCCGCCCCTGCGACCCGGTATGTAGCCACAGGGCAGCCTCTTCCCCTGGGGGGCCCAGGAGGCGGCCACCTCAGGGCCCCCCGAGGCTGGCCCTGCTGACCCCAGCAGGCGGGTGGTCGGGCGGGCAGGCAGGCGCGCGAGGGAGCACTCAGTGCTTCCTCTTCCGCTCCCTCGCGCACCGCACTGATACCGGAGCCGGAAGATGACGTCATCTTCCGGCGCCGGCATCCCTACGCGGCGCGCGAGGGAGCGGAAGAGGAAGCACTGAGTGCTCCCTCGCGCGCCTGCCTGCCCGCCCGACCGGACACCCGCCCAGGAGCCCAGCAGCACCACTGGACCCCAGGGAATCCCCCCAGCACTCCAAAAGGTAAGGAGGCTGGGGGGATTAAATTTTTTAAAAAGTGTGTGTGTGTTAGAGTATGTGTTTTAGTGTGTGTGTGTGTTAGTGTATGTGTGTGTTAGTGTATGTGTGTGTGTGTGTGTGTCAGTGTTTGTGTTAGTGCGTGTGTTAGTGTGTGTGTCAGTGAATGTGTCTGTTATTGGGTGTGTGTCTGCTAGTGAGTGTGTTACTGTGTGTGTCTGTTACTGAGTGTGTTGATGTCTGTTAGTGAGTGTGTGTTTGTCAGTGAAAGTGTATGTTTTGTAAGTGAGTGTGTATGTATGTCTGTCGCTGAGTGTGTCTCTGTCAGTAAATGTGTGTGTCTGTTAGCTAGTGTGTATGCGTCTGTTCGTGAGAGTGTGTGTGTGTGTCTTCAGCATTTACCTTTCTCCAGCGTCGGACTCCCCAGTGTCCGCCACTCAGCTCCGAAATGCACATGCGCGGCAAGAGGCGCGCGCGCATTTAAACCGCCCATAGGAAAGCATTAATCAATGCTTTCCTATGGACGTTCAGTGTCTTCTCACTGTGATTTTCACAGTGAGAATCATGGAAGCTCCTCTAGCAGCTGTCAATGAGACAGCCACCAGAGGCTGGATTAACCCTCAGTGAAACATAGCCATTTCTCTGGAACTGCTATGTTTTCAGCTGCAGGGTTAAAACTAGAGGGACCTGGCACCCAGACCACTTCATTGAGCTGATGTGATCTGGGTGTCTGTAGTGGTCCTTTAAGTGTGTGTGCATACCGCGGTCGCGGGGTCGCAACCCCTGCGACCAGGTGCCCGCCACCATGTGTTGCGACCCTGACCCGCGCCGAGTAAGCGCGGGGGTGGGGGGGCCCACGGATCAATTTTTGCACCGGGGCCCCATGGGTCATGTGTACGCCACTGTGCAAAGGTATTTGAACTTATGGGATGGAGATAAGTTAGTGACTTTCGACACGTTGAAACAGAGGCCCCGACTTCCGTTATCTTCAAATCAGGGACTTTGCCGATAGGGAGGAGGTCACAGGGTTGAGGGGCACCACACACACTCTATTTGAGAGACTAAGTTACCATGGAAAGCAAAGGAAGGGGCTTATCACAGACATTTACAATGAACTATGCTTGACTTCTAAGGCTCGGAGCCCATTACGATATGTAGAACAGTGGGAGAGGGACCTGGGGGAGGAAATTGAGGGTGATGAATGGCAGGATATGTGGGAGGCAGCGGCGAAGGTTTCGGTATGTGTGATCTCCCAGGAACAAATGTACACAGTCCTCTTCAGGTGGCATACCACTCCAGTGCAGTTGTATAGGATGGGCGTACGACCCACGGATGATTGTTGGTGTGGGATAAGGGGAACATATGTCCTCATATGTGGTGGTTCTGCCACACCCTGACACAGTTCTGGGGGGACATCAGCACATTGCTTAGGGATGTCTTCCATAGACAGATCGAGCTGGACCCCTGGCTTTTTCTACTATCCAAACCCCAGGAAGTTATGACCTACAGGTATCAAAAATTACATAACAGAATAACTCTGGCAGCGAGACGAGTCATTGCAGCACACTGGCTACAGCCCTCCCCGCCACCTCTAGGAGAGGTCAGGCCAAGAGAGAAGAAAATCATCTCATGAACCAACTAACGGGAATTTTAGAACACCCTTCTCTTGTTCTCTAAAATATGGGAACCATGGCATTAGTATAAAGATAAAACTTAACTAGGCATTTATGTACAAGGCCGAGCCATCTGGGATTCATATGTGGGCCCTACAACCCACTGAGATACACAATACTTAGCGAATTTCCCACGGGGGGCTTCCTCAGCTATGGGAGCTCTAGCAAGAGGAGAAGAAAGGGGAGTGGAGGAAGTGGAAGCTGGGAGAGGGGAGGAACTATGCCCCCTATCCCAGTAAACAGAATCCCAAACCCCACTCCCAGGGAGAAGATAACGAGGAGAAGCAGAGCACTTCCCCATTACCTTCCTTTGCCCCCCTTGTTCCATCTATGTATTTACTTTTTCTTGTTAATCAGTTGGGCCAGTACCTGTAGTTCCATCCGCTGCAAGATACAGTGGGGAACACAACCAACTACTTACAAGAATGTTATGGTACATACATGATCGCCAAAAGCAAGAGGGTATGACAGGGCTGGTTAAACCTTTGTTTGTTGGTAGTATGGTTACTACCACTGTTAAACTATTTTCATATATAACTATAAAAACCTTGTTGTCGGATGAACAACTGTTCCTACTGCTTATCAGAGACTCTGGTGTGTCACCGTGACTACATATGAGCTACCATATTTTACATTTTGCTGGAACGTCAAATGTGTAGATGTTATGCTATGTACCTATTGTATTGAACTGTGTAAGACTGCAATTTAAAAAAAAAGAATTAAAATATATATAGATACTTACATTTCTCCTTCTGGGACATTTTTATGTAGTGATCTCTCGCTGCTGGACAGCACTGCAGCTACTGTCTTGTTGACTTCAGTAACGCCTATGTCTCCCCGATCAGTGTCTCTTCTACGCAAGAAATCATTCACTTTGGCACCAACTGCTTTGCCCAGATTCTTCAGGTGCTGGGTGCTGCCTACCAATATGCTGACTCCAGCAGGATCTGAGCTGCTCTGGGTGGACTTTGTTAACTGGCTGAGAGAGCGGCTAGGCTGTAGCTTTGGTTGGATTGCTGCACTTGTATTCTGGAACATGCTTTGGTCAACTGTAAAATAGACAGATTATAATGAGCTTTGAATACGATCATCACCAATGTATAAACTATGTGCATGTTTTCAATGTCAACAAACTTTAATTTATAGGGTAATGTATCTTAAGTAAGTGACGCACAGGTTACTGAATAGCAGAGCTCTCTCATTGGGAGGAACATATTTTAGTATAGAAGTGGCCAATGCAGCCGATTAAAACACATCGATCTTCAAGTTAGACATGATCTAGAAATTAAAAAAAACAAAGCCCAATAGCCAGATATAACACTCTATTCTTGCATAGCCTGAGCCACACTGAAAATCCCATGTGTTATCTTCAGAACAAGACTGCTGTAAAAGAGTTCTAGAATTCTGAATGTTATACCTCAAACCAATAACTGCACAAATTCTAATTGCAAATATATTATTTAAAGGTAAAAATAACTTTCTAGGCTTGAAACTAGTGTCCAGTTTGGTATGTTGCTCTAATTACTGGTATTAATAACATGATGTATATGTAAAGAATATAAAGTAATTGACACATGAAGGGGAAATACAACTACGGTCTCGATTTTAATATTTTCGGATAAGCTTTTCAAATTATTTAATATTTAGAAAAATACTTTAATATTTTTGAATAAATTTTTAAAATGTTTTTCAAAATATTAAAATATTAAAATATTACAAAATTAAATAGTTTGAAAAGTTAATCCAACAATATTAAATTGAGGAATGATAAATGGATGGATTGGGCAAAATAATCTAGACCTGGAGAGTGGAGAAAATTGAAATAATGGGATAGGAATAAGTAAGTAAAGGGTCTCTACTAGTCAAGATAAGCCCCCATAAAAGCTCTTGAAAGTAAATACATAAAAGGAGGTATAAAAACCTACACGTACCAGGAGATCCCTAAACCAATAAAAGGTGAAGTCTAATATACAAATAAATAGCTATAATTAGACTTCACCTTTTATTGGTTTAGGGATCTCCTAGTACGTGTAGGTTTTTATACCTTATTTAAATTTTAAATTGAGACATATGTAAGAGTTTGTTTCAAATGCTTGAAAAATCTGTATCTCTATTTTTTACAAATGGAAAAAAAAAAAAAATATATATATATATATATATATATATATATATTTATTAACATAAATGTTTTCAAAGGATTACCAATGATTCCAATTAATATTTTCCAGCAAGAGGAAACATATGTTAATTTCACAATCAACTGGGTGCAATGATTTATTAACCCCTTAATGTTACGATGTTCCATGCCATCCTCCACAGAGTGGGCTTAACACCATTAGGACAGTGGGCACGGTAAACGTTTGGTCCACACCAGAAAGACCCAGATATCAATCAATACATCGGGCTCCCCTCTGTCAGCTGGGGACATATTACGTTTTCAATAAGAGTGCTGAATCTAGCCCTTAAAATCAATTTAAATCACCACGACAGAGAGATCTCCCTCAGCCGTGGTGATTCGCTGTTTGCAGTGAGTCTTAAAGAGACTGGCTGTGCCAGTTGACCATCACAGATTGCAATGCAAACAGCAGAAACAGCATGTCGGGCAGGGAGGTCTCCCAGTCAAGCTGTAAAACGACCACTATATGGCAGTCACAGACCACTCTTTTAGCTTGAAACTCCCTTTGCGGACATCAACAAGGGAAATACCTTAGGAAAAGGATTCATGTGGTTTTAGTTAAAATTAGTGTAAAGATAAGGTTGGGAAAATGGGCTGGCATAGGGTTAGCTGACAAAAGATGTATTAGATCCTAGACATATGAGATAGTTAACAAACAGGACTAATACTTGAATCTACTTTGCGTTCTTTTTCTTTAGGTGTACTTGATGTGTAAACGTTATTATAAAGAAATTTTTTTTAAAGTGTGAGGGGTTTTCTGCCCCATTTTTTTACATTTTGGTCATACTTAATGTTGTGTTAGGTATAATATATGATATTTTAAAAAAGCACTTTGTCATTTAAAAACAATTTAGAATATAATCGAGTGCACTAAAAGAAACACTTCAATTACAGTGCAACAAAGCAAGCACAAGTTCTGGAATTTCTATTCTGGTTTGGTTCAGATGTTGGACAACTCCCCCCGTCCTTAAAAATTGTAACAGACATAATAGACAAGGCAAAATAACACGGCTTATACTTCCTTTTACTTGAACCAGTGTTTTTTGAACAACATGTACTGTAAATATATTATTCCAATAATAATATTTTAAGATTGGAGGAAAATAGGTTTTCCAAATCAGACAAATTCGACAAAGCATGTAAACACAAGATAGTACACATCATTCAGAATAAAAAACATGAGTACTTTTAGCGGATTATTACTTAAATAGCTATTGAAACTGTTTATTTAAGTGTGTTTCTATTTCAAAATGACAAGAATATCCATTATTCTCACATCATACCAGTTGCCAACAGCAAAAAATCCTATTTATTGCCTTGAAATGGCAACAAAACCACAACATCACAGTCAAGACAGAAAGAATCACCCTGTTACAACACAACAACGGCATATGGACATGGCATGAACACCAGGAAAACAAATAATGAGTGTCAAGGATTGAACAATGAAATTAAGATCAGAGCAGAAAAACAGGACTTTTTTTCTGAAACACATAATACAACGCAAGAAGGAAAATGAAACCACATTAGTTTGACTACCAGGTGGAGGGAGACATCAAGTGCTTACCTTAAAGGGAAATACTCGGACAGCAAATTATAAAAAAAGGAAGACATAGAGATCATTTTCAAACCTAGATATATGTATATTTTTTTTTTCTCATGATTTTCTGAATGCCAGTAGAATCAGATTATTGGTACTAACAGGGTGTTGAAAAATCTGTGTGCAGATATCACACTCATGCCAGACAATTTGTACAAATAGATAGAATGCGTCTGTGTAATATAGTTTTTTTTCATTAATCAAAGGTTTTTTAAGACTTAATGTTAGATGAAGTATTGTAGAGATAACATTACACACATTGCTGAGAGGGATAGATTGTATATAAACTCACACAGGTCTTTGTAATGTGCATATGAATTTGTTGGAACTTTATATAAAAAAAACAAATAGTACATAAATATAGGTAATATGAGTAAAAATAGAAAGCAAAGAATACAAGAGACAGGAGAAAATGCTAGAAATAAAGGTTTATTGTTATTTAACAAAGAAAAGGTAAGTGCACTTAATACAGACAAAAGGATTTTCTGAATTAACCAAAGAATTACCGACACAAGGATTAAGGGCAAAGTGTCTGTGTCCTCACTCAGCAAAAATAGCCGCAGAGCCGTACACAGACAGATTAGAGATCCAGAATTTGCCTGTATCAAGTTTTCCTTCCATTGCCTTTTTTTTTTACCCACACAGCTCCTACAGATGCATTGGCAACTGCAAGAATGTGCAGTGAGCCTAATCTAGCACCACATAGCTTACCAACTGCTGTGCAAACAGTATACATTCTGCCTAGGATTGTTGGATGGGCAAAAATATATATATACACATGACATTTAACATACTCATACTGAATCCTGTAACGGGATTACAGTGGTGCATTTAACTGCCTCTCTGAAGCATGTAACATATAGTACACAAGGATGTACAATTATCTTTCTGAACCATTTGAAAGAAATAAAGAGCGCCATCTACCAGCAAATATTCTAATTGAAGAAATAAAAACACACACATTAAAGGAATACACTAGTGAACCTCCACAAGTGTATTACGAAGATAATGCTTTAACACTATGCAATAAATCAAAACGGAGGGGTGGATACTTATCTTAACAAAGGATAAAGGAAAACAGCAATGCAGTCCAGGAGCCCAGATGCAAATCAAGGGCTCGTGGGTTGCACCCCATGTGACCACTTATAGTGGAGCTCCTAGGATGAGGGCAAAACCCTCTAATGGTGTAAAAGTAGGAAATATAGTGTCCCACTGAGGGAGACTAGAGGCAGGGGCTCAACTAGCATAAAAAAAAGAGAGGTAATCAATCTAGGGATATGCATAAAAGAAAAACCTGATACCTGGTGAGGTGTTAAAGGAAAAAAATCAAAGTTCGACGCGCGTTTCGGCACGCCATCATCAGGAGCATAAGTGTAGTTAGCACAATTTTCATACCAATTTGATTATCTTCTTTTAGGGTGGTTTATTTCACATTTTTCTTTTTCTTGGGCAAGTTGTAATAGGGAGAGATGGTTCAGGTAGACATTAGTGGCTTGTCCACGGTGTTGAGATAATCTAAGGGAAAGCCTTTTGAGTTTGTATTAGGTTTGATTAGATTCTCCAATCTCCTACTTATCTTTCCCTCTTACCTGACATATCTACCAATCCATTTAGTCGGTTGCTAGAGGGAAAGGGGGACTTTAGCACTTTAGTAACAGTAGTTACATTTTTTATACTATATTCAAGAGCTAAATTGTTTTCCTCTGGTTCCCACCATTCCCTGTGACCTAGAGCACTCTAGATCACATCCCCGTTGCACTGTTTAGCTAATCTCCCCCTTTTCCCTTTGGCTTCCCTTTTATGCATATCCCTAGATTGATTAAAGGTAGGGTTTCCTTCCCTTTTCCCTCTCTTTTTTATGCTAGTGAAGCCCCTGCCTCCAGTCTCCCTCAGTGGGACACGATATTTCCTACTGGATATTTATCTTTAATAATACTAAAATTGCAGCACTTATGCACACAAGTGCAGCAGCTGCTAGAGCTCCTCTAAAGGGTCTGGTGCGATCCTCTAACCCCTGTCCTATTGGTGTTTATGAGAAAGTAGTTCAACCCATACTCCCAGTTACAGGTGTAACTAGGGATGAACATGCACAGGTTAGATGGGCCTTGCCAAGCAAATGAAGAAATACAATCCCTCTTTTGATGGCATACAACCATTTTATATTGTATCTCTGTAGTTATAAACCAGTCTAGACTAGGAGCAAAACTGCACCATAACCGTTGAAAAGATTCAACCGTGGGTGCTTAGAGTAAACCTTTAACAATTGGTCACATATCACAGGATAGGGGATAGAGGATCAGTCTTCCCACTTTTGCAATACTCAATTTAAAGCAGCTAATGATACCTGTTGGTACACAGTATCAAGAATACAAAAAGGGGGGGAGGGGGAGGAAAGAAAACAATACAATATCTATTTGGTAATAGAGGCTATTATCCAATTTAATGGTACTAGTTTTATCCACCTTTCACTGATACAAGGCTTATATTTTCCTGCCAGAATAGAACCTGAAGATTTTAAGTTTGAAAAGATTGTTCAGTTGGTGCATTAACCAGATGATCTATCATAACTAATTCTCAAGATAAAATGTAATTCTCAAGATACAAATATGGGTCCAACCCTATTCATGGGGTAGGATAAGCACTCTTCGACTTCATTTATAAGTAAACATTATTCAAAATTGGGGAGATGAAAAAATTATGAAAATGCTCCCACTGGCTCCCACTGATAGAAACTCAGAAATTTACGGTTGTGTATCACCTAATATCCCAAAGCAAGCCTTACAAGTAGCAAAAAAAAGATAGAGTTGATAAATGGCTAAATCCAGGAGGTAGAGAACTTACACGTTCTGCGCATATCTCCCCTCAGGGGTATGTAAGTGCAATCAGTGAATAAATCTTTGTTACATTTTACAGTATTATACTACCTGCACTTTTCTTTTTATTCTTTTGAGGACTCCGCTTATTGGAAGAAGTTTTCCACCACCTAACAGATTACCCCTAAGGAGAGATATGCGCAGAACATCTATGTTCTCTTGTAAGTTCTCTACCTCCTGGATTTAGCCATTTATCTGTATATACTTCACTATGTGTGATTTTATATTTTCAGGTCTCTATTATTACATTCTGTTTATTTCAGGTTGTATCCTCTATATACTTTTGTTCTATATCACCTGTTTTATACTTTTCTACGGAGTTGTATAAACTATATCTTGTTTTTCGCTACTTTTACATGTGTATGTGAGGTACACAGTCCCAGGTGATAGCGCTGTTTGTTGTTGTGCCACATATATAGTACACCTTCTATTTACAGGCAGACCTTTAAGGTTTGCTTTGGGATTTGATAAAAAGACCTTTCACCAAGTGAGCAGTTAACCAGGAGCTAATATTTAGGACCGGTCACTGCAGCATTACTACATTATATGTTATAGCAACATTCAGACTAGATTGCTACATTTGTGTCTTATGATTACATTTTGACACTACAGGTCACCATTACCTTGAAATATTTCTGGACCTCTAATTATTTTTACTTTATTCATATTTATAATTATACAATTTGCATGTCATGTCTGCATTTGATCAGTTTGCTATGATATGACATTTTAGCTAAATATATTTTATATACAGTTTGGTGAAAGGTCTTTTTAGCATTTTGCATATAGGGGTGTTTGATGTATCCAGAACAAGTGTTCAGCGCTATTTTGTTAACAGTCCCCTACTACCTTATTTCTTATATGTCTAGATAAGTTTTTTGCTTTGAGATTTATATTTGCTTTTGGATATGTGGATGACTTACAACATTACATTTCACAAATTCCTCTACAATTCTATTTTTCCATGACAGTTACCACCTGTGTTTAGAATATGAAAAATACACAAGTCTAGATCTCATGCCAGGAAATCTGTGCTGATATGATACGCAATATAAATGGACAATAACACAAAAACAAAACAAACAAAAGATTTAAAACTCCGCCAGGCATTTTTTTTGTTCTGTTTTGATTTTCCTAATGGAAATAAAAAGCTGTTTATCAGAATCATGATGATTTTTCCAAAATTAAATCATTTAAGCTTGTGAACGTCAGAATCTACTCCGTCCTGGAAATACATTTGTTCAAAAAAAAAAAAAGGATACTTTAAAAAAAAAAAAATAATAATAATAATAATACGAATTCCTGGAGTGAATGAGTAACTTGTACTTGTCACACTTTTGTATTCACTAATGACAGAACTGGTAAAACTACCAAGTTATTATTTGTTTGTCTGGATTTTTTTTCTGAAACGGTTTCTTGGGTCTGGCACACCTTTCACAAAGATAATGCGAAGTACGTTGATAGCTGCTTCATTTAGCTCTACTCAAGAAAACTGAAGTTAAATCCAGATATTTAGAGCATGGAAATGAATAGGGAAAAGACAGGCACTCTGCTTTTGACAGGCTAGAGGTGAATTGTGAATTGACCTAGCTCTCTAACCCACAAGGAGAGAGTTGTCTCTAAACTTCACACTAATTTAGTTGGAATAGTAAAATATATATACAGTGAGTTAACTTCCTGAGGTTTGGTTATATTGTTGTGGTTCTCATCAATCATGTAGAATTCGTAAATACTTGCATCATTAGCCAGACTTATTTGAAAACCTTTTGATTTAAGGCAGTGATTCACCAAATGGTTCTCAATGACCACTATCATTTCACGTTTTACCGATATCTCTGTTGCAAGACAAATGGTTGCTGGTAATTGAGCACAAGTTTGTGAATCACCCATCCAGCAAAGAAAACCTCAAAGAGAAAAGAATCAAAATAATCTGCCACCTTTAAGGACAAGACGCTCATTGTTTCCATCTTAAAAGGAGCTGCAGAAACCCTTTCAACATTGCATATTTTTCATGTTTTCAAGACCCTCGGCATTTGAGGAACTAATTTTTGAAGATGCCACCTGAAGTGACAGTATCAAATGCCTTAATATTCTACATTGGCACAAACTTACAGTAGACAAATATGTCTAAGTCAAAGCTCAGCAAGTTTACAAAACAAAATTAAGACCTGGCTCTAAGAATCTGTTTCCTAGCCAATCAGAACAGATCAAGAGATTTATCTATAGGCTGCATGGTAGTAAGTTGTCTCCGTACACTGCAGTAGCTGTGACAGCTTCAGGGCTCTCTTGCATTCTCACAGAGCATCCCAAATCTCAATGTGCCTGAATACAGTGCCTGACAGAACGAGGAGCCCTGAAGCTGCCCAACAATTCTCATAAACAGAGAAAAAAAAAAAAAATTAGCATTTTTACATTTATTTTGGATACATACAGACAAATGGTGCATTAAGCTGGGTAACGTGTGTCTAGTCCTAGTGTTACATGCAATATATACAGCAAAGACAGATGTCAGTAATGCTGTTATAATGCCACATTGCTTTTATACAGTGTATATATAAAGACCGAGTCAGATGGCACATACATTATATACATACACTGCATACAGATTACCAACTACATGATGTACAAAATATCTGGTTTAACAGACATAATGTACACTACAATCACACATGCATTACATTCACTGTCCTTAGCAGTATGTAATATGTAAAGTAAAGTTCATTCATAGTTTTGCAACAGCATTGTGCAAGATGAGTGTGTTCTTTGCAATACAGACATTATATATAATGAAGAAATAGGCCTAACCAAGTGGCAGACATTATGTACAGTGGGTTGTGGATCTGCTGAATTTTATGTACGATATCCACTGATCCTTTACTACGTGGAAGAGTTATTCGAAGAACCAGTACCACTTCAGTGATTTGAAGTGGTCCTGGTGCCTGGAGTCCATATGTGCAGCTGGCTAATGTCAATTTTTGTATTCATTGGCTGAGAGCAGGCAGCTGTAACTAATGAAAAATGTGCGCTGGTGTCACATAGTTTACACACAATATATAGAAACCTGACATGGAGTCCCAGACAATAATTACATGGTATAGAAAGGACTGTCCTGGTATCAGATAGATGTACAGTTTATGTACAGGCCTAGCCTAGTTTCAGAGACATGTAGTGTACGTATAACCTGTCATGGTGTCAGACATGTACAATGCACGTACAGGCTTATTTGACAACAGATCATTTTACATATTCAGTATCCACTAATTATGAAGTATTTAAGTGTATGTTTAAGTGTATGCTTTAACATGAAGGTGCATCCATAAAATACACAAAATACAATTTTGTATTCAGTTTTGTTCCCTGAGCACTACCCGTGCTCTGTACCAGGGTTTGTAGAGAATTATTTTAAAATTGCTACTATTTGGCCTAAACAGCACAACTGGACAGAGAATCTACAACTTCTCTATTTAGGCTGCAAATAAAATACATCCAGAAACCACATTCCATATAAAATACCTTATTTCATCAGTACAGTATATAGCTACAGACATTGATCCTAAAATGAGAGACATACAATTCATACATTTGTTTACTGGTCATACCACACAAAATAGAATTCTGACCAGTCAATATTATATAAAACTACACACAAATACATCCTACTGTACTGTCTGTATTTGAATAAATCTAATCACCCAGACAGGAAACAGTTTGTAAACACATCTGAATGACCTGACATATTTAAATCTAGTTGTCAGGATAACAAAAGCAATGGATGAGGTTTACAAATGTTGCTAAGTGAAAAGTGAAGCCGTCACCGTAGAAACTAATGATATAAGCAATTCATTAGATTTCACAGTGACTGCTCTACTTGTTGAACTTTGCAACACTTCTATTTCAACTTGTTATTCTCCCCCCCCCCCCCAATATGTGAACATGAATGTGATTGTCCTAACTCCAATAGTGTGATGAAACAACACACTATGTGGTCATCAAACAATGGCAGGGTTATTCACAAAGCAATGTGAAACCTGAAAGGCAAAATTAAGGTAAACATAGCAGATCCTCTCCCTTAGATACAGTCACGACGGATTATTTTAGCCTTTATTTTGCAACTTGGTTCCTAATTCACAGAGCTGTATTCAGTCTGTGAGTAAACCCCCTTCCTTATGCAAGTATTTGCAACCACGTGTATAGTATATTAATATATCCAGTCTTTCAAAATCAGAGACATATAATGTATACATTTAGCCAACTATTGTGATATTTTAAATACAGACAACTTCCTCTCCGTTGTATACCCGACTATTCAATTGCTTACACGGCAATCTCATCCTCTAGACTGTCACCCAGCATGTCCCTATGCAAGACATGTGCCAACCTACCACCCTCATCCTGTGCCCAGGATTCCCTCTCCTCGCTATCATCTGTGTTAGATTCATATTCAGAGGCAATTCCAGATTCTCGGAATCTGTAGAGCTCCAGGCTGCCCAGCAGCTCACCAGTCCCATGCCCCTCGCCTGGCACAAAACGGTAGCACTGCACCTTCACCAGGCAGTCTGTCCTACCTAAGGGGCTTCCCAGTTGGTAAGATGAATCAGACTCCGTCAACGGTGGTAGATCTTCTGGTTGTGGAGTTGTAGGATCGCACAGGACTGGGGGGACACTGGAACGGAATGTAATCTCCAAAAGACTGTCTTGAGATCCCACTGCAAATATACAAAGACACTATTCGATCCATACTAGATCCATATTTACATTCAACACAAATATCACACAAGCGGTAGCTAGGCAAGTACTTTTGCTATTACAACACAATGGCTACAAATCTCTGCATCACCTTGACATCCAGAATACTAGACTTCTGCAATTCACATAGAAAACAATATTCATCACTGTGATCCCACAGCTTGGAAACATATCATATAAAGATGCTCAGCATGGTTCTTACTTGTATTGTGTCCAGACAATCTGACCTCCAGTTCTTGGACTTGCCTAACCAGCAATGATATATGCTGTAGTAAATCTTTGTTCTGCAAAAGGAGCTGATGAACCCTGGCCTGGGACTCTAGCCGGGCCGCAGCTTCAGCAGACAGCTGGTCTTTGAGTAAATGAACCTATGGAGGAAAGAATAGAGAAAGTGGAATTAATAAAGATTTTATAGCGCGAAAAAGGTCAGGAAGCACTTTAGCATGCTCAATAACTTGATTAAAACATTCTCACCTGAGCCACTGCTACTTGGGTTTGCTGCTGTTGCTGTTGAAGTTGTTGTTGGAGAAGCTGAATTTGGTGGTGCAGAGATAGTGGGGTCCCAGGGGGGAGTTGACTGCCAGCTGGAAGCAGCATTTTTGGTGAGGCAGATATTACCTGGTCCTTCGCTGAGGTCTAAAACAAAGAGCCGGTTAACATGTCTTGTAATACAAGAGAAAGATTTGTTTTCAAATTGTATTTTAATCTTCGCCTACAGTTGCCAACAGAAAAACGAACATGGTAAAAAAATAAATTATATATATATATATAAATAAAATTTATTTTTTTACTATGTTCGTTTTTCTGTTGGAAACTATATATATAATTTAGAGTTATAGTAGTCCTGTTTTAAGTTGCAGTAGACAGTTTTAATATAAATCTCGAGAGAGAGAGAGATTTATATTAAAACTGTCTACTGCAACTTAAAACAGGACTACTATAACTCTAAATTATTTTGTAATGTAATTCTCATTTCATTAAAGGACCACTATAGTGCCAGGAAAACATACTCGTGCCCCCACCCTCAGTATCCCCCTCCCGTCCGGCTCTGGGGAGAGGAAAGGGGTTAAAACTTACCTTTCTCCAGCGCTGGGCGGGGAGCTCTTCTCCTCCGATCCTCCTCTTCTCCTCCCATTCAGCTGAATGCGCACGCGCGTCAAGAGCTGCGCGCGCATTCAGCCAGTCTCATAGGAAAGCATTTACTATGGACGCTTGTGTGTTCTCACTGTGATTTTCACAGTGAGAATCACGCAAGCGCCTCTAGCGGCTGTCAGTGAGACAGCCACTAGAGGAACTGGAGGAAGGATTAACCCATTTACAAACATAGCAGTTTCTCTGAAACTGCTATGTTTATAAAAAAATGGGTTAACCCTAGCTGGACCTGGCACCCAGACCACTTCATTAAGCTGAAGTGGTCTGGGTGCCTAGAGTGGTCCTTTAAGTTTTGAAAGAAATATATATATATTTTTTAAAATAAAGTATATGTAAAAAAAAAAAAAAATTGAAAAATGTCATCTCTACATATACTACAGGATAGGATCCTTGAGCCATGTACATGCACCTTGGGTCAGATAGTATTTGCAAACCCATAAATTAATCTCTGTATATGGCTGAAGTATCCTTTCATATACTAAAGGTAGGGATGAGTTTCTCTTTTTTCATATAGTTGATTTAAAAAATGCAATTTCCTTTCAAAACTCGATGAAAGGTTTAAAATATTAAAATAGTTTTAGGTGACAGTTGCCCTTTAAGTTAGTTAGAAAGATTGTTAAGTATGCAAATTTACATTCCAAGGTCGGATGTATCAAGCAGCATACAGTGGTAATATCAGTTCTCTTACAATCATTGCAGGAGGAGGGGGGAGTATTATATGGTGTATAGTTATTTAAAAATATCATTAACCTTGCTGTCCTTTATATGATCACTTTCTACATGTACAGCATCCAGGTCAGTCACTCCTCGGCTGAATGCTGGGCCTTCTCCACTGGGGAGAGGACTGTCAAGAGCATCTATATCAGTCTCATCAGCAGCATGATCTACACTGGCAACGGTTTGTGTCACTGGAAAAGGCAAAGGAAGGCCATGAGAAAGTTAAAGTAGTACCATATAAGAGCATCAAAACTAGTACAGAAAAATCACTGAATGACAGTTCTCAAAATCAAGTAAAGTTGAGGAGTGAGCAGAAATAAAAAATTGCCACCTGGTAGAATGAACAGTATGAGGATCGGGGTGTACACGAGTAGGAGAGATGAAGTGAACAAGAGAGCTAGCAGTGAAGCAGACAAACATACAAAACAAAACATTGGTCAGTGCTGTGCAAGAAAAACTTATTTCCCACTGGGTGGCACTGTTTGTCACATGTAAATAGACAAAGTAATAATAAAGTTAATATAAAAACCACAAACATCTATTAAAATTACTCAAAATAAAAATAGTCATAGATAATGTCCAGTGTTACCAAAACTGGAACGAGAACAACAGATCTAAGTAAATGTGGAAAAAAAAGCACATAGAAATAAAAAGAAGGATGTTAACTATGGAAATGAGAAGTAAACTTTAGAAAATGGGATCACTTAAAAGAAAAGCATGATGTGAATAAGACAAGGAAAAAATAAAAGCACCGAGAGGTTGTGAGTCAAATAAGTGTCACACTGTGAAATAGCAAAGTAACAGATAAAACCTGTGACAGGCTCACAGTCAGATTTGCCGGCATATGCGCTATTAAAGTCTACATCCCCCCATATACATAACATACCCCTGGCAATGACCCCACAATAATAACAATAGATAACATTAACACAGAAACTGTCCGTCCAATATGACATTTTAAATTGTAGGGGTGTACCAAGACACCGCTATCCACCAGATCAAATGTAGGGGTGTACCAAGACACCGCTATCCACCAGATTAATTGTAGTGGTGTACCAAGACATCGCTACCCACCAGATCAATTGTAGGGGTGTACCAAGACACCGCTACCCACAAGTTCCAATGTAGGGCTATACCAAGACACCGCTACCCACCAGATCAATTGTAGGGGTGTACCAAGACACCGCTACCCACCAGTTCCAATGTAGGGGTGTACCAAGACACCGCTACCCACCAGTTCCAATGTAGGGGTGTACCAAGACATCGCTACATCCCCAGGTTCGGAGCCACGAACGGCTCAAACCTACCAACCTTGTGTAACACTGCCTAATCCACACTAAACCTCAGGATACCCACTTCCTCCTCCATCTACACCCCGATTTAACCTGACCATTCCCCACTGCTGTGAAAAATGGGAAAATTATCTAACCTATCCTAACCAAATTCAGGGAGGGTGGGAGGGACAACTGACAGGTAAGTTTAGGTTCAGTTAAGATGGCCCCTTCATAAGATGGCCGGTATAAATACTCCCCTCGTGGCTCCACCCCACCCAGCTTGCTAGCTGTCACTCAACTTCCTATGGCTGTTATGCCTACCTCCTGGCTCTGTCAAGGCCCACTCCCCAAGGTGCGCTGATCCATGGGCTACACGATGACTAGTTAAAAGAAAGCAGACAACGTCTAAGAGGCACAATAGCTGTGATGGCATTCAAAACAGGATGAAAACATTGTAAAACGGGACAAACGGTAACATTCTGTCTCAGCTACTGTAGGAAGGTATCCACCATGTCCTTTTTGTTGACCTCATACCTGGCACACCTGAATCATCTGTGCTCTCTTCACTTTCCACATCTTCTTGCCCATCCCTGCTGTCCTCAGTATGCTGCAGACTCAGCTTGTGACAAACCTCAAAGGCCTGTCCTACTGTTCGGACGACTCGCATTGCTTGACTCTGTCAGGAGATAGAACAGTTTACTTTAAAAATCAGTGCTTTGACCCATGCCATTCTTTGAATCAATTTCCCTATCTCTTGAGTAGGTTGTCTTTCTAGTTTTGAGACTTTAAATTAAAGATTTTGGATGTTGTAAACAAAAATGTTGGTAAAAATGTGCTGATTTGGTTGGATCAGTGAACACCAAATAACCCCAATAGCAATAAAATATCAGCAGTTCTGATTTACCTTACAAACCTAAGGTGGGTCTACATAGGAGCTTTAATAACATTTAGTGGAACATGCTTACATTTTTCATAATTCTCATGGTATTTCTTTAGGGCTGTTATTTAAACTGTTGTATAGTCAACATTCTATATTGTGCAGAATACTGCACACTGATTAGTAATTATGTTCATTTTATCTTTAACTGTTGAAATGTCTATTTAACAGAGTGTTGAAAGTGGACAGCATTATTGCATATTCAATTCGAAGAAAAAAGTTTTTTATGGCTTTAATATTCATGCTTACTCTTGTCAAAGTGAGGCAATAAAGAAAAGTTGCTGTAGGGCCACCAGTGTCCATCATTCAGCAAACAAAAAGTCTTGAAGAACAGTAATATATAATATCCCAACTATGTTCTGCTTCAAGGAGCTTTCACGTTAGTAAAAGGAAGTGAATAGGTAAAAATAGGAAGTCAAGTATCACGACCTATGCAATATAAAAAGGCCCATTAGCTTATTGAAAGGCCAGATATACTCACTTATTCACTTTATTATGTCCCTTTCTACACACCTAGATGCAGTATTAGTTTAATTATTAAATGTAGTGTATCTTTGACCGCTAAATGGCAAGACATGTCGGTGAAGGTAGCTGATCCAAGTAATGAGTGACAATAATAGACATGGTATTTGAAGTAGTGCTTGCGGTTTTCTGGAGCACAGAAAAAGGCCCAAAACAGAGAGAACCTAGAATCATTTTTATTATTGCCCTTCTTAGTTCTTAATGTGGTCTATTTTGTCAGTAACACTTTCTGTATTTTCCCCTTGTTTTGTATGGGAGACCACATGAGGAAAAATGAGAGATCCAGATTGTACAGGAGACCACATGAGAGACAATGAGAGACCCGCACTGTACAGGAGACCACATGAGGGACAATGAGAGACCAACTCTGTACAGGAGACCACATGAGGGACAAGGAGAGACCCAGACAGTACAAGAGACCACATGAAGAACAAGGAAAGACCCGCACTGCACAGGAGACCACATGAGGGACAAGGAGAGACCAACTCTGTACAGGAAACCACATTGGGGACAAGGAGAGACCAACTCTGAAGAGGAGACCACAGACAGACGAAGAAGAAACACACAATGTACAGGGTATCACAAAAGGAAAAAAAAAAAAGAGAGGAATATCAATTTGAATTTTTAACTGGTTTTATACAATTAAAGATAAAATATTGCCATTTAGATTTCAGTTTGTCACAATTTAGACTTTTGCGAATAAAGTACAATGCGTCTTATCACACCCTATACATAGGTACATTCCTTTTGGTGTACATCATTATAAAATGTTCCCCACACACTATGCTCCCAGTGTAAGCACAAAGCACATTGTGTGATAATAAAGAAGGTGAAGAATTACGGTTTTAATTAAATTCCACAGAGATTTATAAATTGTGACAAGGTTACATTTCTGGGTTTTTTTTGTTTGTTTTTGGAGCGCCAATAACAGCAGCTTTATATTTTAAAATCAAACAATGAGGAAAAAAAATACTTCAGTTGATAGCAGAAGTTTTCTTTCCATCTACAGTCTAGATTTTCAGATATTGAAATCTCCATGACAACGTAAATAATAAAAGTCAGCGGCATAGTGATCCTTCATGTCATGGTCTCTATAGAGCCCTGGTCGTAAGACAATTTGGAGCCCAGCAGACGGGGGTTACTTAGACAGTGGGAGATGAGGAATAAAGATGGGGTGACAGGTTAATCTAGAAACGGTTTAAATGAGAATTTAAAGTTCAGCTGTCGTCCACAAGTGTATGAATGTCTAGGTCTAAACGTAAGGAATACAATTTAATTCCAAAGAAAATCAGCATTAAATATATAGGTTAAAAGTATAAGACAAACTTGACAGAAACTGCTTTTAGTGTATGTTGTGTGGTAGAAAAGTACACCACACAACACTTCTTGCTTTGTGCCTAGTCTGCTTAAACAGCATTCTGGGATTAAAGAGTAACATGCTCAACAACCACTTTAGTGATTTTAAGTGAAACACTGCACATCAGATTTTACCCTTTTTGGTGCCAGCAGTATCATTGGGGTCAGGGCCAGATTAAGAGCCCAGTGGGCCTGGTGCTGACAATTATGACGGGCCTAATTACAGAATCATATCTACCAAAAACAGTAAAACACTCCAAAGCATCATGTATCTGATGGAGATGGTGCTGGAGAGAAAGAAAACAGCAGCTATAGGAAAACACATACCCTAGGCTAATCTCTCACTAATTTATGTTTTCAGCTTTAAAGTAAATCCATAACCCCTAACAGCAGTGTCCAGTCAAGCAGGAAGTCAATGGGCATGGTAAAATGGTGTGCCACTGACACAAATCACGTAACCTGCCAAAAGGGGCGAACATACCCAAAAAGAGGACATGTCTGCCCAAAGAATTAGAAGGCCAGCCTGGCATGAATGCATGTCAGGCTGCCTGCCAATCATGCAGCTGGCCAACTAAGGGCATATTATGCAGACAGCACCCTGAGCTTGGCATAAATGCATCTAATGATGCGCTCGCTCAACGCTTTCTAAGGACTGTCCCCTAGCACTCGCTGGTCCACTTGTCTCCTTACCTTCTTACTAGCAGGCAGAAGCTCCTGGTATATAGTCTGGGACAGAGAAAAGCTGTATGTAGTGAGTGTAGAAGAAAGGGAACATGCCACAGTGTTAGAGAGACCAAAATCAGCATTACCTTAAAGGATCACTATAGGATCAGGAACACAAACATGAATTCATGACCCTATAGTGTTAACACCACCATCTAGCCCCCCCCTGGACCTCTCATGCCTCCATAAATATAGCAAAATCTATATTCACGCCTGAAGCTGTAACTCTGCATGCTGTTAGACTCATACAAACAAGCAGTCTGCTGACATCATTAGAAGTGGTGGCCTCATCCAATCACAGTGCTTCCCCATAGGATTGGCTGAGACTGACAAAGAGGCAGATCAGGGTCAGAGCCAGTATGATTCAAACACAGCCCTGGCCAATCAGCATCTCCTTATATAGATGAATTTCATTAATGAATCTCTATGAGGAAAGTTCAGTGTCTGCATGCAGAGGGAGGAGACACTGAATGTTTGGATGCATTTTAGGCAGCCATGACCCAGGAAGGATCTCTAACAGTCATCTAAGGAGTGGCCAGTGAAGTTATCACTAGGATGTAATGTAAAGACTGCATTTTCTCTGAAAAGACAGTGTTTACAGCAAAAAGCCTGACGGTAATGATTCTACTCACCAGAACAAATTCAATAAGCTGTAGTTGTTCTGGTGACTATAGTGTCCCTTTAACTATATTCATTGTCAGCCAGTCCACACAAGTTTTGTTCCCATACATCCCACTTAAGTTTCCATACTTAAGTAAGAGTATGTGAAAAGTAGTTAGGGTTGCCACCTTTCTTGGAAAAACATACCGGCCTTGCTAATTTGCATAATTAAATATGTATGGGTGACATCACATGATGTAAATCACAAGGAGTGACATAAGAGAAAATGCTGTAAAATCACCAAAAAACTATAGTTTGATTCTGCTGTATAGATGGATTCCTCCCAGTGCCCTCATGACTCAGTGCCCCCATGTGTCGATTACTCCAGGTCTCAGTGTTCCTATGTATCAGTGTCTCAGTGCCCCATGTCTCCCAGTGTCCCCTAGTGTCGTGTCCCCAGGTCTCCCAGTGATCCTATGTATCACAGTGTCTCAATGCCCCATGTCTCCCTGTGTCCCCATGTATCCCAGGGTCCCCATGTCACTAGGACACTAGGAAGACGGGGAGACCTGGGGACACGGGGAGACCTAGGGACATGGAGACACCAGTGACACTGGGAGACTAGGGGACTCTGGCTGGGACACATGGGGACAATGGGAAAATAGGGGACACTTGAAGACATGGGGATACAGACACTAGAGGCACTGGCTGGGGGACATGGGGACATTGAGACATGGGGCACTGGGAGACATGGGGACACAGAGACACCAGGGCCACAGACACTAGGGACACTAGCTTGGAGACATGGGGACATTGTGACACTTGAGGCAATGAGAGACATGGAGGCACTAGAAGACATGGGGACAGTGAGACACTGGCCGACTGGGGGCACTGGGAGACTAGGGGTCACTGGGAGACTAGGGGGCACGGAGACACCAGGGACACTGGCTGGGAGACATGGGGACACTGTGTCCCCATGTGTCTGTGTCATAGTATCTCCCAATGTCCCTTAGTGTCTGCCATAATGTCTCCCAGTGCCCCTTAGTGTCTCAGTGTCTGCCATAATGTCTCCCAGTGTACCTTAGTGTCTCAGTGTCTGCCATAATGTCTCCCAGTGTCCCTTAGTGTCTCAGTGTCTGTCATAATGTCTCCCAGTGTCCCTTAGTGTCTCAGTGTCTGCCATAATGTCTCCCAGTGTCCCTTAGTGTCTGTCATAATGTCTCCCAATGTCCCTTAGTGTCTCAGTGTCTGCCATAATGTCTCCCATTGTCCCTTAATGTCTCAGTGTCTGCCATAATGTCTCCCAATGTCCCTTAGTGTCTCAGTGTCTGCCATAATGTCTCCCAGTGTCCCTTAGTGTCTCAGTGTCTGCCATAATGTCTCCCAATGTCCCTTAGTGTCTCAGTGTCTGCCATAATGTCTCCCAGTGTCCCTTAGTGTCTCAGTGTCTGCCATAATGTCTCCCAGTGTCCCTTAGTGTCTCAGTGTCTGCCATAATGTCTCCCAGTGTCCCTTAGTGTCTCAGTGTCTGCCATAATGTCTCCCAATGTCCCTTAGTGTCTCAGTGTCTGCCATAATGTCTCCCAATGTCCCTTAGTGTCTCAGTGTCTGCCATAATGTCTCCCAATGTCCCTTAGTGTCTCAGTGTCTGCCATAATGTCTCCCAATGTCCCTTAGTGTCTCAGTGTCTGCCATAATGTCTCCCAATGTCCCTTAGTGTCTCAGTGTCTGCCATAATGTCTCCCAGTGTCCCTTAGTGTCTCAGTGTCTGCCATAATGTCTCTCAATGTCCCTTAGTGTCTCAGTGTCTGCCATAATGTCTCTCAATGTCCCTTAGTGTCTCAGTGTCTGCCATAATGTCTCCCAATGTCCCTTAGTGTCTCAGTGTCTGCCATAATGTCTCCCAATGTCCCTTAGTGTCTCAGTGTCTGCCATAATGTCTCCCATTGTCCCTTAATGTCTCAGTGTCTGCCATAATGTCTCCCAGTGCCCTTAGTGTCTCCGTGTCTGCCATAATGTCTCTCAATGTCCCTTAGTGTCTCAGTGTCTGCCATAATGTCTCTCAATGTCCCTTAGTGTCTCAGTGTCTGCCATAAAGTCTCCCAAAGTCCCTTAGTGTCTCAATGTCTGCCATAATGTCTCCCGATGTCCCTTAGTGTCTCAGTGTCTGCCATAATGTCTCCCAGTGCCCCTTAGTGTCTCAGTGTCCCCATGTCTCCTTGCAGCCTTTCCCCCATCCCTTACTTCCCTGAGCTGTAGGCTGTCTCTGCAGGGTGGGAGTTGCTGTCTGGACTTTCTGTAGCTGCACCCCTGGAGATCAGTGAGTATAGATAGGCAGGGAGGGATATGCTGTAACTTCCTATCCCTGCCTCTCTCCACATACAGCGACCCCTACTGGCCAGTGCTGGTATTGCAGAGTAATCTCTTGTTTATACTGAGAAAAATACCAGCATTTGTATTGCCAGTATCACTGCAATATTGGCACCAGCCAGGAAGCCTCAAATACTGGCTGTACCAATAAAATAAAAGCCAGATGGAATCCCTAAGAGAAGTGTGTGAAAAAAAATGTAAAAAAAAAAAAAATTCTTTTTTTTTTAAACTCAATGGGCCTATTCCATGGGCCTGGGCCTGGGCCTGGAGCTGCAGCTCCATCAGCCCCTATGTTAATCCGGCCCTGATTGGGGTGTCATTAGTCAACCTGCAACTATTGTCAGTCATGTGTATATTGTACGTCTGACATCTTACACACACACAGCATGCTGGTGACAGACGTCCAATGGCGACATGTTCCCTATATTTGTGCCTCCATGTCATCCCCTCAGCCCGCCCATGACATCAGCAAATGAGATCTGGCTGAAATGAGAACTTGAAATGGAATGGAGGGAAGTTTTAGCTTGTTTTAATTTGTTTGTGGGATAGGAGGTAGCGTCAGCAGGATAGGAAGGGTTAATCTAACCAAAAAGTGTTTTACCACCTTACAGAAAGCTGTCATGATCAAACGTAAAATGAGAATGCCACTTCAACTTGCCTTTATGTATAGCATTAGTGGTACTGTGAATTTACGGATTTCTCTATACCACTGTTGTACTATGATGCCATTTTTGCAACTTGATACGCATTGTTACCTTTTGCCATCACAAACCGAAGTGTATCTCGATGTATGTTTAAAATTTATACCCCGACATGTCTCTGAAACTCAACTTTAACACAAATTATAACACTGTTTTCTGGTTGAACCCTTTAAGCCACTAGTCAAGTGGGATGTACACCGCACATGAGACTCTCACAGGCTAGCATAAATAACTTGATACGCAGGAAATTAATAAAATCGGGGTATAATATTATATGATAAATACAATTTGAATATTATATACTAGACTGCTGGCACAATATTTAGGTGAAAATGCATTTCATACAAAGTACACTCGTATAAGTTTTGCATTATGAATGCTTGAATGTTATTTTAAGAAATAAAAAATAAATAAATGTACCTTTTAACCCCTTAAGGACACATGACATGTGTGACATGTCATGATTTCCTTTTATTCCAGAAATTTGGTCCCTAAGGGGTTAAAGGTAACCTTTATGCTTCTAGAAGTCTGATACATTTGAAAGAATGTTATTTACTGCACACTGACTGAAGTGAAAATCAAAAGGCAAAATTTCGGCTAAAAGAACCAAGCTGTGATTATAATGCTGTTACATGAACCTTTTTTGTAACCTTGATTTGTGGAAACACAAATTAAAGGACCACTATAGGCCACTATAGGCACCCAGACCACTTCAGTTTACTGAAGTGGTCTGGGTGCCAGTGCCACCTAGGATTAACCCTTTCTGCTGTAAACATAGCAGTTTCAGAGAAGTTGCAAATGTGAAAAACTGCTATGTTTACCTATGGGTTAATCCAGCCTCTAGTGGCTGTCTCATTGATTTTCGCAGTGAGAAGACGCCAGCGTCAATAGGAAAGCATTGAGAATGCTTTCCTATGAGACTGGCTGAATGCGGGCGCAGCTCTTGCCGCGCATGCGTATTCAGCCGATGACGGGGAAAGGAGGAGGAGAGTCTCCAGCACCAAGGGAGCCCGGCGCTGGAGAAAGGTATGTGTTTAACCCCTTCTTCTCCATCCGTCCCAAATTGATGTAGTTTAGAGTACTGCATTTAGTAAAAAAAAAAAAAGAAACAAGATCTCTTTGTCAAACTTCCTTTTTGAGTTATCCATCAAAAACACCCTATTTGTCCTTTAGATTGTAATTTTATTTGGGCAGGGCCTTCTTCACCTACTGTTCCTGTATGTCATACGTGTTATGTTAGAATTAAATACTCCATATTGTACAGCGCTATGGAATATGTTGGCATTATATAAATATTTGTAATTGTCTATTAATGAGAAGTTATTAAATTGTAATACTATGGGTGTTTTAGTGATTAAATACATTATTGTTAATTCTACTTAACAGTGTCAAAGTGCAAGGGTCATTAAAGGATTACTGCTCTGGAAACACTGTATTTCTGGATTTTAGGAATGCAGTTTGTGCCAGGCAGAACCACTAACAAATGCTCCATCTGGTACAGTGTATGGCCTTTGAGATAAGAGTCTGCAGCGGATGCTTCTCAGATTTCATCTGGGCCTCTGCAGGTACCAGTCTTCTCAAAGATCTAACAAAAAAAAACAACTTGTTTCTGTTTGTGTGTTTTTTAGTTTATTTTATTGATTCGTTTAAAAGGAGTTATGAGGGGATTTTTTTACAGAAAGTCACCGTTTTAACACAGCAATAGTCTCTTTCTCTTTCACAGTCATAAAAATACGGTTGTGGCATTCTCGGTCTGAAGAGATGGTTTTATTAGAGTTTATACGGATGTTTAAACAGCAATTGCGTAAATACTTGCAAAATCATAATATACATTTTAATTAGTGGGGTAATAGCATCTTGATCCAAGGAGATAGACTGCTATTTTGGGGGTCAAGGAGGATTATATCCCCCTAGTTTGTTGCAAAATTGGAAACACTTCAGACTGGATTTTTTTGCCTTTTTTGGATCAACCGCAAAAACAAATGTGAGTAAAGAAAAACTTGATGGATGCATGTCTCTTTCCAGCTATGTAACTATATTGCCCCATTAACAAAACTGGGCCTAGGGCTGTGAAAATGGCAGGTGTGGTATGGTGACTATCAGTTTATCAAGCAGTTCCCTTATCAAATCTGTGACTTGAAGCTGAGAAACATATCCCATAGACCGCTGATTAAAAGGAGTTCATGAGACAAGAAAAAACCTGCAGACAAGAATGCAAGGCTCGTGATTTGTGGTGTTGCTTCCTGATCAAACAGGGATCAGTTTGCAGTGTGATAGCAGCAACAGCAGGTTCATTGTTTAATTTCATCTTTATTTCATTCATATCAATGCATTATACACCATATAACACATTGAAAGGTGTTCACTGAAAGGCATAGAGTGTCCCATTAAATGCCATGTGCAACAAAGTGTGTTATGCTAGTAAATTCATTTTATCTGCCATTGCAATCAATCATGTTATTCTGTTGACTGGTTTCAGATTGCTAAATGCTTTATTTCTGAGTTGTTTTAGCTTGTCTCCCCAAAGATCTTCATTTAGTCATTATAGAAATCCACCCTTCCTCCAAACCAAAAAAAATTGTTCATGGCAATGAGTCAAGTGCTAAAAACACATGGAAAAACTGCTCAGTAGTGATGTCCCAAACTGTTCGAACGGTACGCGAACGGTTTGCCATGGACTCATCATTGAGTAAACTTTGACCCTGTACCTCACAGTCAGCAGACACATTCCAGCCAATCAGCAGCAGACCCTCCCTCCCAGACCTTCCCACCTCCTGGACAGCTCACTAAGAATGCAGCTTCACAATGGATGCTGTCCAGGAGTTGGGAGGGGCTGGGAGGGAGGGTCTGCTGCTGATTGGCTGGAATGTGTCTGCTGACTGTGAGGTACAGGGTCAAAGTTTACTCAATGATGAGTCTGTGGCGAACCGTTCGGGACATCACTACTGCTCAGGAGTTAATACATTGTATTTCATGAAAACTGAACTATGGAACCGTGAACCAGCTACTTAAAAAAAAAAAAAAAAAAAAAAAAAAAAGTTTTTTTTTTTTTTACCTTTAATATTACAAAAGATTTCAATAATGTGTATTGGCAATTAATAGATTAAAGACATAGATCTATGGAGGTTTGGTAATGGGTTACCGAAGTGCCCGATAATGGAGTAATAACCATGGAATTGTTTAGTTCTGTATATATAAAAGCACACATTACCTTCTTCTTCGATTTGAAGACATTGCAGCGGAATACATTACTGGTTCCATCTCTGGCAATGTAGCTGAAGATTTTGAGATCTTGAGAGTCATGAGAAACGTAGAATATCCTTTAGGTAAATAAACAGGTTAGAAAAAGGGATAAGCAATAATAAAACCACATTAGGTAAAAGGAGAAGAAACACAATATACAGTCTCCGTAAGTAAATCCTGCCAGGTACTGCCATTCCTAATTTATTACATGAGAAATGTGAATACAAAAGGCTGCAGGGATTGATGTCAGGAGGAATGTACCTTAAAGGAACACTCCTGGCAGCAAGAGAACTTAAAGTGGAATTACAACTTCTCTGAAAATTACACCATTTAAAAACACATTGAAAAGGATATATAATCTTTGACTCATGTTTTAATAGGATAATGTAGCACACAACCACTGATTTGCAACTAGACACATGAAACATTTTTAGGTTCCCTACTGGTGCCCAGATAAGGTTTGTTATATGGAAGTGTCAGGCACTACTTCCTCGGTGCGGCAAGATCATGATTTATCACTCTATGGAGCTCAAACAACCCAATATAAATAGGCTAGTGTCGGGCTATGTGGCATTCAGTGGATGTAACCATGATAATGGATATAAAAACTCTCTTTTTATTGGTTGTGAAAGTTCTTGTTCATTCCTACATGCTAGTTTTGCTATTTCAATACCATTTTTTTTTTCAGGTAGAAATGAAAATAAAGATTGTAAAAAAAATAAAAATAAACCCAGACCCCATCCCACACGGCGTATCCTTCTTATACAACATGCTTCAAACCGAGACCCCTACAGCACAACCCCTCTTCATGGGAAGATAGAATGATAGACAGGGCCCTGCCACGCACCAACATGCAACATTGGGACCAACACCTAGCCACTATGATGGTCCCCCCAAGCCCCCACCCGGGGAACCAAACACCCCATCCCCCCATACACCTCCAACCTAGCCACAAAACAATATTGCACCTACATAAGACGCAGAATAATACCAATGCTTATGTTATATTTATGCTCAAACACATAAGGGACCTGCGAGTCCAACATGAGTTTTTCTATGCTAAACAATGAAGACCGGCGAGTCTCAGAAATCGTGCTCAAACTAACGTTACGGAGACCTGTGCGTCTCTTCAGCTGGACCTGCGAGTCCCAACCTGCATACAGTTAACCAATATCAGTTGACTATTGAAAATAAAAACTATATTCACAAAAAATTTTTTTTTTAATTAATGCTTACAACAGTGGAATTCCAAGAAGAAGAGAGATCACTCATTTTACTCTCAGTGCTTCCTTCTACGCTACCAGAATCACGTTAAGATAGGGAAAGGACCCGTGATTTGCTAATTGTTGGCATTTAGTGTGCTTCCTTGGTCAATGCCTGAAAATTCCTGGTACAGTAAACACCCTGACAATTGTATTTGACCTTCCTTGACAAATGTAAAACTCAAATTCAACAAAAAGAACAAAGTAGCTGAACAGTGTAAATCATGCGTACTAACCTGTAAATAGGATCCTGCATAACTAGCATCTTGTTCTGATCCCAGGCCCACTCCTTTTTCTGCAATAGGACAAACAGTGTCAGGAACAGAATCTTCTTCAAGGATACAAATGGAACTCAGACTATCACGTGCATGAGGACAAATAGGCAACATAATCTTGGACGTAATTTATGCTTTAGGTTAAAGGCACACTGTAGGCATCAAAACAACTTTAGTTTAATTAAGCCGTTTTAGTGTATAGATCATACCCCTGCAGAATCACTGTTCAATTCTCTGCCATTTAGTAGTTAAACCACGTTTGTTTCTGTTTATGCAGTCCTAGCCACACCTCCTCTGGCTATGACTGACACAGTCTGCATAAAAAAAAAAAAAGGTTTCATTTTCAATCAGACTTTAACTTGCTTTGTTTGTATCTCCTGCTCTGTTAATTGCACTTTATTCACATACAGGAGGCTCATGTAGGTTCTAGAAGGCTATACACATAGCAGGAGATAAGAAATTCTAGATAAACAGATTCAATACCTGAGTTTTTTTAGTTTGTGCAGTAGAACGTTGTGGTCTACTGTGTCAAAGGCCTTTGCAAAATACATGAACCTAAAATCTATAGGTTCTTTTTCAGAAAGTTTTTAGGAAAGCTATGCAAGTCACATGCAGGGAGGACTGTATAAACAAAGGGATTTGACCTCTAAATGGAAGGAAACTGAACAGTGGCATGATCTATACAGTGGCATGATCTATACACCAAAACTGCTTAAGTAAGCTGAAGTTGTTTTGTGCCTATTTTATCCCTAACACAAAAGTTTGTTATGAATATAAAATATTTTACCAGGAAGGATACGTTGAGATTTATCTTGTTTTTAAGTATATCCCACAAAACATTGCATTGATACAATAGGGTACAATATAATACAAAAACAATATTAATACACAATATATACAAAATTTTATATAGAAGAGGTAGGAAATATATAGTCAACCATGACAGGTGCATTCTGTTTTGAGATATGTAGAGAGGGATCTCAAAGGATTTTAGGCCTGGGAAAGATTTAAAAGTGTGCGGGAGGTCGTTCCATAATTGCGGTGCTCTGTAGGAAAAGGAAGACTCAATAAAGAGCTGGTACTGGATGGGAGGTTATAGGAGGTGGGAACAGCCGGGGAGAGCATTCTGCTCAGGTAGGGTAGTTTCCCAGAAAAGCTCTTAAACACCGGGCTGGAAAGATGAAGGGTGCGTATGGATTCCAGCGACAGCCTGTTTAGTTCTCTTAGCATGTCACAATGGTGGGTCATGTAATTACATTGGAGCAGAACACGTTATGCAATGTATTAAGTTTATTAAGGTGGGTTTGTGGTGCAAGTGCATATACTGCATCCCCATAATCAATGATTGGCATCAGCATTTACTGAACAAGCTTTTCCTTTACTGTAGGGCTTAGGCAGGATTTGTTTCTGTACAGGGCACCTAGTTTTGGATAAAGTTTAGATGCAAGTTTTTCTATAGGGTGGAAAAAATATAGATTGGGGTCTAACAACGTACCCAAGTATTTGAAAGACTTGACTGCGGTCAGTGTGCTATTTGATTTTGTTTTGATTGATAGATGGGAATTTTGTAATTTGTGCAATTTAGGTACTGTTCCAAAGATCATTGTGACAATTTTGGCAGTGTTTAGGAAGAGTTTGTTTTTTGTGATCCACTTTTCTACCTCTGTAAACTGGTCTTGGAGCACAGTCTCGGTAGATCGGATTTGCTTTTATAGATGACGGTTTCATCTGCGGATATGTGTAAATTTGAGGATTTGCATACATTAGGCAGATCATTTACAAAAAATGTGAATAGTAGGGGGCCGAGAATGAAACCTTGGGAAACACCACACGTGACTGGGAGAGGGAGCGAGTTGCTGTTAGAAATGGACATATATTGTGATCGATCCGATACATATGATCGAAACCAGGTTAGCGGACCATCATCGATACATGAGTTTTTTAGTTTGTGCAGTAGAACGTTGTGGTCTACTGTGTCAAAAGGCCTTTGCAAGTTCAAGGAAAATAGCTCCAGTTAGGTCTCCTTGTTCCTTAAGGGCATTTGTAGTGGAGTGATTTTGGAAAAAACCTGATAGAAACATTTTCTAAGTCTATTACCGGATCAAAGTCAATTATGTTTTCAGTTTGACTATTTTACCTTAAAGGGATACTATAGTCACCAGAACAACTACAGCTTAATGTAGTTGGTCCTAGTGAGTATAATCATTCCCAGCAGGCATTTTCATGCAAACACTGGCCACTCCCATGTAGTGTCTCCACCCTCTGCATGCAGACACTGAACTTTCCTCAGAGATGCATTGATTAAATGCATCTATGCGAGTAGATGCTGATTGACCAGGGCTGTGTGTGATTTGTGCTGGCTCCAGTGGTGTATTTTGAATCTGTGCTGCCCTAGGCTTGACAAAACTCGGGCACCCCCTAATTTACATTTGCCCCACCCCTTCCTGTCAAAGCAACACCTCTTCCTGTTAAAGACTAACACACACTTTGACTGACAGAAATACACTCTCAGATACACTGACATACACACACACACACGCTCCCTCATAGAAACACACACACACTCACAGGCACACACAGTCACTCAGACACAAACACACACTCACAGTCACACTTACAGACACACAGTTACTCAGACACACAGGCTCGCTCACAGACACACACATTCACTGACAAGACACACTCACAGACACATACACTCCCCCTCACCCCCCTAAACACTCACAGATTTTTTTTTTTAATTTTAATTTAAATCTACCCAGCCTCCCTACCTTTGGGAGAGCTAGGAGGATTTTTTACCTGGGACCCAGTGGGGCTGCTGCCCGGGCTGTTTGGGCAGGCAGGAAGGCAGCTAGTTGCTCTCCAGGCAGGCAGCGAGGGAGTACTGATTTGTGAGCTCTCCCTGCTCAGCTCCCTAGTGTGCTGCAAAGTGATGCCGGGAGCCGGAATGGGACGTCATATTCCGGCTCCACTCTGCAGCGCGTAAGGAAGCTGAGCAGGAAGAACTCAGAAATCAGCGCTCCCTCGCTGCCCGCCTGGGCCTCAGCTAGCTGCCTGCCCCAAGGCTAACAAGGCATTTGCCTGGGCATTTGGGGGCAGAGTTTTTTGCCGCCCACTTGTTTGCCTTGTGGCAAATACAGCACTGGCTGGCTCTGCCCCGATCTGCCTCTTTGACTGTCTCATCCAATCCTATATGAAGGCATTGTGATTGGCTCAGACCACCAGACAGGTCAGAGGCAAACAGGGGCAGAGCCAGCAGCTGTAGACTTGAATACAAGTAAGATTTTACTATATTTAGGGAGGCAAGATGATTCTCCTGGTGTATGTCAGCCCAAGGTAGTGTGGATGCGACCAGCTGGAGGAGCGTGGAGCCAGAAAGCTAAGGGAGCAGAAATCTTCCTGCAGCAGTTGCAGCAGAGCAAGAAAAGCTTGACGATTACACAAGCTCCACTTGACCCAAAGGAATGGATCCATTACAGCTCTCACAAAGGTGGGAAAGGCTCTGGTGATGTAAATTGAAAAAGTAAATAAATAATTTGTGAGTGTATGAGAAAATGTGTGTGTCAGTCAGAGAGTGCGTTTTTAGTTAACGTGTCGTTTCTTTCATAATTCACTTCAAACTTGTTAATTTCTTCCAATAGGGGAGTTAAAGAGGAGTTGTCCTTAATGATTAAAAAGAGCAGATCAGTTGGGTATGAACTGGCTTTTATTTCACTATTTACTAATGGGAATCCCTTAAATCCCTTCAAGATGTTTTCCTGGCACTATAGGCTTAAAAGGTGCCCCCTTACCTCGCGCCCCCCCACTCCCGTGGGGCTGAAGTTGTCTGTCAGAGAGTGCATGTGTTTTACCCACTTACCTGAATCCAGAGCCGATGTCAGGCTCCGCCCACACTGGGTCAAGCTCCGTCCATGCTCCTCTCCCCCGCCGTCGTAAGCTGGCGGGGGAGACCTAATGCGTGGCAATGGCTGCGTTCACATTAGCATTTTCCCATAGGAAAGCAATATTCAATGCTTTTCAATAGGGAAAAACGGACACTGGAGGTCTTCATGCAGAGCGCGAGGACGTCCAGCTTCAGATAATGGACCAAAGGTCTGTCTTGATTCTGGAAGCGCTCCAAGTGGCTGTCTAGTAGACAGACACTGAGGGCAGACTTAGAGCTGCAATGTTTTACATTGCAGCACTAAGTGCAATAGGGACACAGCACCCAGACAACTTCAATGAGCTGAAGTGGTCTGGGTGCCTACAGTGTCCCTTTATTATTAAGTCAAGTCTTTGCTTTACATGTTTTTATGTCCTACTCTCTAAATTGAACTTTAATCATGAACAGGAGGCTCTAGAAGTTTATTAACAGAGCAGGAGATGAATGTTAAATTAAACATAATTTGCAATAAAGGAAGTGTAAACAGGAAATAACTTTACAGGAAGTGTTTAGGAAGACTATGAAAGTCACAGGCAGAGAGGTATGAATAGGGTTGAAACGACAGAAATGGCAGAGAATTAAGCAGTGAGAATGGAGAGGCTGCTCTATACATCAAAACTGCTTTATTAAGCAAAAATGGTTTGGTTCCCATAGTATCCCTTTAACAACCTTCAAGATTTTAAACTAAATCGGTTAAAATGTATAGGGACACTATAGTCACCTGAACAACTTTAGCTTAATGAAGCAGTTTTGGTGTATAGAACATGCCCCTGCAGCCTCACTACTCAATCCACTACCATTTAGGAGTTAAATCCTTTGTTTATGAACCCTAGTCACACCTCCCTGCATGTGACTTGCACAGCCTTCCATAAACACTTCCTGTAAAGAGAGCCCTATTTAGACTTTCTTTATTGCAGGTTCTGTTTAATTAAGATTTTCTTATCCCCTGCTATGTTAATAGCTTGCTAGACCCTGCAAAAGCCTCCTGTATGTGATTAAAGTTCAATTTAGAGATTAAGATACAATTATTTAAGGTAAATTACATCTGTTTGAAAGTGAAACCAGTTTTTTTTTTCATGCAGGCTCTGTCAATCATAGCCAGGGGAGGTGTGGCTAGGGCTGCATAAACAGAAACAAAGTGATTTAACTCCTAAATGACAGTGAATTGAGCAGTGAAATTGCAGGGGAATGATCTATACACTAAAACTGCTTTATTTAGCTAAAGTAATGTAGGTGACTATAGTGTTCCTTTATTTATTTATGCAATTTACTTATATAGCACCAATACATTCTGCAGAGTTAGATACAGTATGTAAAAAGGTAAAAGAAAATTTAAAAAAATAAATAAATAAATAAAAAACACCTCACTTATACAGCAGATTTTAAAAGCCCTGATCACAATCTGTAGCTATTTGAATAGATTGACATAAAGAACAGGAAGTAGTTCAATTCTAAAATCTCTTTGAAAATACCCTTTCTTAAGTAGGAGATAAGCAACCATCCTCCATGACATCTGTTAAACTCTCTGCACACAAAAAAAAGCCAGAACATATAATTCAGCTCTTTATTTTAGCAGAATGAATGCATAAAAAAAGTTAGTACAATAGGAACACATTGTAATCAAAAGAAACAAAAAACTAATTTTTAGCACACATCTATTCCATAATATGCAGAATTTACATGTACAAATAAAAATGCTTTGGTCATAAAATACGGGGAGAATGAAACAAGCTTCCGAGTAACTTTATGTAGCTATAAAATAATTTATTTTGTTGCAACAAAGTAAAAAAAAAAAAAAAGCAATGCTACATCATGAAATTCAACCAACAGAGTAGTAATTGTTTTTAATAATAACCCGAGGAAAAGAACACTTCACTTGGAAAAGGCTCAAAACCTAATGGGAGAATTACCATCCCGAAACAATGATAACACCAGGAGGCATGTTCAGCTCGAAAAGACATTCTTTTTAGGTTATAGCTGCCCTCTGTTTCTATGTTCTAATGTGTGATAGAACACCTTCCCCAGTAATACAACCATCACGACCTCACTAAAGGGAACACTTCTAATTTAAAGAAACACCTCCAGAACGTAACAATAACCTTTAAAAACAATAACTACTGTTGAAATTGGTTGGATGGTTGACCAGTTACGGTGTTGGTTAGGAGGGGATTGAGGCCTTCGGAGAGAAAAACGGGTTGAACACCTATCACCATGCCTTAAAGGGACACTATAGTTACCAGAACAACTACAACTTATTGTGTTTGTTCTGGTGAGTAGAATCATTCTCTTCAGGCTTTTTGCAGTAAACACTGAATTTTCAGATAAAATGCAGTGTTTACATTACAGCCTAGGGATACCTCCACTGGCCACTCCTTTGGATGGCTACTAGAGGCGCTTCCTGTGGATATGCTGCACAGTGTGCAGCACTGCCATTCAGTGTCTCCACCCTCTGCATGGAGACACTGAACTTTCCTCATAGAGACGCATTAATTCAATTCACCTCTATGAGGAGATGCTGATTGGGCAGGGCTGTGTTTGACTTGTACTGGCTCTCCCCTGATCTGTCTCTTGACAGTCTCAGCCAATCCTATGGGGAAGCATTGTTATTGGCTCAGACCACCAGTTCTGATTATGTCAGCCAAGCATGAGAGGGGAACAATGTTGTCTAAAATAACATTATGGCTAGAGGTCAGACTTGTATACCTATCTCCCTGCACTGGGGCTGGTGGGAGGGCAGTAGTGAAAATACTAAACACATGGAAAGTTTCTAACGATAGATCTGGTCAGTGGCCAGACAATACTGTGGCAAACATCAGGAAATAACCACTATGTATACCAAGAGCAGGAATGCCAGCCCACTGGGAACTGAAACGATTGTTGACCAGTGGCGTACACATGACCCATGGGGCCCCGGTGCAAAAATTGATCCGTGGATTCCCCCCCCTCCCCCCCCCTGCCCCGCGCGCACTTACACGGCGCGGGTCGGGGTCGCAACACATGGTGGCGGGAACCTGGTCGCAGGGGTTGCAGGGCTGCGACCCCGCGACCGCGGTATGCACACACACTTAAAGGACCACTACAGACACCCAGATCACATCAGCTCAATGAAGTGGTCTGGGTGCCAGGTCCCTCTAGTTTTAGTGTGTGTGTCACATTCACTGACACACACACTAACACACGCACTAACACAAACAAATACTGACACACTAACACACACACACACTCTAACACACACATTTTTTTTTCAAATTTAATCCCCCCAGCCTCCTTACCTTTTGGAGTGCTGGGGGGATTCCCTGGGGTCCAGTGGTACTGCTGGGCTTCTGGTCACTGGGTGGGCGGGCTGCATGGCCAGCCGGCGCGCGAGGGAGCACTTTCCCCTGTGTGCTCCCTCTTCAGCTCCCTCGCGCGCCGCGTAGGGATGCCGGAGCCGGAAGATGACGTCATCTTCCGGCTCCGGCATCAGTGCGGTGCGCGAGGGAGCTGAAGAGGAAGCACTGAGTGCTCCCTCGCGCGCCTGCCTGCCTGCCCGCTGGGGTCAGCAGGGCCAGCCTCGGGGGGCCTGAGGTGGCCGCCTCCTGGGCCCCCCAGGAGAAGAGGCTGGCCCTGTGGGTATATACCGGGTCGCAGGGGCGGCCGGGCCCCCTGGTGGGCCGGGCCCGGTCACAGCCGCGACCCCTGCGACCCTGGTATGTACGCCACTGTTGTTGACACTTTTCTAGTAAAGAAGTTTTGTGTGAAAAGACCCGGGAGTGCAGATTTTTTTTGTCCTGCATAATCAGTGCAATCGAGCACCGTGTTTCAAACAACTGAGTAGGTGTGCAAGGTCTTTTTTAATTATAATATACACTTATATATGAAGCACCTATAATGATCTAAAAAAAATTACTCAAGGAAAAATAGACAAAGAAATAATCCTTCATAGATCGAGAAGACGATCTTCCTCCAAAAAGTATTAAAGCAGATAAAAACAAACTCCACCGCATTTGAGAAGAACCCCTTCAAAAGTGAGAGGACAATAATAATATAATCAATAGATGCACAGATAAGAAAAGAACTGCTACACGACACACCTTACTGACACAGCAATTTAGAATGAATACCAGATTCAAATCTATCTTGTTCAACCCTTTATGATACAGTTGATCGAAACTCCTACAGAAGTCATGTACAATCCTGTCATCAATAAAGGAGAGGAAAATAGTTATGGACCAGAAAACTCAAATTCTCAGTCTGATTTCTTGTAGATTTAACGCACAATTATTAGCATTTATATCAATTAATAGAAATATATACATGGTTTTCTGAAGAAAAGGAAAAAAAAAAAAATCTATTTAGTGGGCACATAACATGAGATTTTTTTCACCTTTTTCTTCTTCTTCAGGATGACTTTTACTCCATCCACGGATACCATGATATTCACCTTTTTCTTCTTTATGTTCTTGGCTTTGAATTCATACTGGGAGGGAGAAGAAACAGGGTGTGAGAGATTCAAAACAACTTAAAGTAGACAAAAAAAAAGTCAAAAAGAACAATTCAAAGCATAGTGAGAGGCACTGGGAGAGAAGGGGGTTCGAAAAATATCAGTAACATTAAAGAGACACTATAATCACCAGAACAACTACAGCTTATTGCATTTGTTCTGGTGAGAAAAATAATTACCTTCAGGCTTTTTGCTGTAAACACTGTCTTTTCAGAGAAAATGCGCTGTTTACATTACAGCCTAGTGATCACTTCACTGGCCACACCTCAGATCGCTGTTAGAGATCCTTCCTGGGTCATGGCTGCCTAAAATGCATCCAAACATTCAGTGTCTCCTCCCTCTGCATGCAGACACTGAACTTTCCTCATTGATTCAATTCATCTCATCTCTATGAGGAGATGCTGATTGGCCAGGGCTGTGTTTGAATCATGCTGGCTCTGCCCATGATCTGTCTCTGTCATTCTCAGCCCATCCTGTGGGGAAGCACTGTAATTGGATCAGGCTACCACTTCTGATGATGTCAGCAGACTGCTTGTTTTTTTTAGGCAAACAGCATGCAGAGTTACAGCTTCTGGCTTGATTACAGTAAGATTTTGCTAATTTATAGAGGCTTGAGAGGCCCAGAGGGGGCTAGCTGGTGGTTTTAACACTATAGGGTCAGGAATATATGTTTGTGTTCCTGACCCTATAGTGAACCTTTAAAGAGGTCTTAAAAGTAAAACAACATTTTAAAAATGAAAGCAGGCTAGTGCTACTATATGTTAAAGGAGAGATCAATTTGGAGAGGTAAAGAGACAGTTCTAACAAAGGACAATGGAAGTTTTATAAAGAAGACATAATTCATAGATTAGAGGGAGAGTGCTATGGCATAGAGGTACCTCAGAAAACATTTCATGTACCCAGTATGACAAATAGATAATATGTTCATGTTTTATTAAGTCTTATGTTATATAAATAGCAACTATAGATGCCACTGTGAGTTTACACTGCCACATGTAGAATCTCTGGATTTATAGTACACACATGTAGGAGCAGCTCAGAGCAGGAACCAAAATCCAAACATCAGAAAACGTAATAATCTATACATTCTGTCTTGAACAGAGAATGAGTGAGCGAGCTTCATTCAGAAGAACAGTAATCCATATATATTCTAAAACATTTCACAGAGTGTCAAAGTACATTCTTTTTCCATAGAATATCTTTCCAAGTCAAGAATATGTACAGAATTCCCCAAGCTATGCCCAACTTTCGGCACAAAGTTAACTGAAATATACCGGAATTTGAACAAATATGTGAATTGAATGTGCCTTTCTCCCAGGTATTGCCAAACCATGTTCAGTAAACACTGCCAAGCATAATCAAACCATGCCATAAGATCCACAGACACGCCTCAGCCAATATTACTTGATCCTAACCATAGCATGCTTAAAGACTCCTTCAAGTCAAACAGTCTTGATTTAAAAGCATGTACTGATGCATTAGCAGGCATTCTGAGTTAAAAGTACTAAACTGTAATTTATAGTAAAGAAAAGGAGTTATCTCCCTTCAGAGAGCAGACTGCAGCATGCCATGATTAACAAACTCAGCACTGACCTGGTAATTATCCAAAGGGTTAATGTTCCACGAGAGCTCAAGGAAGAAAAAGGAATCAGGTGCATATAATTAAGTCTAATTTACTATGTGCTCTGCATTCTGCTCCCATCATTCAAACATTCGCTCACAGATGTAGCCAGGCATCCACTGCACCTGTACAGCCATTGGATCACTTACACACAAAGAGTATACAAACATATGGTACATGTTACATACAGTGCTTATATTGCTAAATCTAAACACGGGAACAGAAACACACAAAAGGGTCACTTGCCACTGGTTCATTTGTCAATTGTTCTGGATTCCAGGAGATAAGACCAAAAAAAAAGAAAAAGTAAATTAAATGTGCCAAAATTAAATATTAAAAAATAAAAATAAAAACACCATAGGGCCATGCAGAACTGAAACCAAATAAATCTCAATAAGCAATAACAATATGCATATTCATGTATGATGTGCTTTGATGTATATTCATCCTGATTATTTCCTATCCTTTTCTCTTCCTCCTTTCCGCTTTTATAAAATATAAAATAAATAAATTAAAAAAACACAAAAAAAACGACAAGATACCACAAGACAACACAAATATTATACAATATAATTTCATACACAAGGCTAGCTAAAAAGATACTTAACGGAACTGAAATTCAGGCTAATACCAGTGAGTTTTCAACTTGCATAATATCATAGAAGGGTTAATTGAACCCTGCATGTCCTGTCCAGATTATTTAATGTGACACTAATTTCTTTGTAAGCATTATTGAAATGTCTGAGACATATGCTCTGTGTAAGACATACCTGATAAATCTACAGTTATTTATATTCTTACGACGTTGCACTGTAAACTATGGAAATAAGTATTACAACATTTGGCACAGACCCGTAGGACACATTGATGGTAAATAAACTCCCACAATTACAAGGAAATTGTATCCATGTAATAACCACACCTTCTTACTAAACTAGATCAGGCACTTAAAACGGTCTACACTTTATTTACCTTCAATATAACTTAAGTGATTTACAAAACGGTGTTAGTCACTTTAGTACCAACTAAGGCACAAACTTGTTTTCATAACTATGACTAGAAATAAAGCGATTGTTTATAATTGTATTTGCTTCCTAATGCTTTCTTAGTCTATATCTTACATTTTTAGGAAAGAGCACTGATCAGTGAAGCTATTTTGCCAAAAAGGGTTGTAGAGGATGGATGCATGGGTACCATAGAATATATTATATATATATATATATATATATATATATATATATATATATATATATATATATATATATATATATATATATATATATATATATATATATATACACACACACACACACACACACACACAGAGACACAGCAAATAACAGAAAATCAATGTATAATTAGATGTACAGAAATTTGTTTTGCCCAAAAGTGCAGCTGTTATTCCAAGCACAGCATGTTATTTTGCCATTACAGTACATTCATAGATTGTGCCTGCCACATTGCTATCAAATGCATAGTTGAAAAAAACAACAACAAAGAATATATACACACACACACACAATACATTGTTAAACACAGATCTGCACACACCAGTCAAGCCATAAGACTTGCTTTTCCCACAGAAATCTCAAATTTGCAGTGATGTTACTAATGCAAGGAATCTGGGTGGACATTTGCAAATTAGTTCAACAAAGAAACACCTTTTTGCCTTATTTCTATTTTAAACATGGATTTTTGTTAAAAAAAGAAAGATTTGTGGCTTGACTGGCGTGTAGATCTGCGTTTAACAATGTATTGATTTCAGGTGAAAGGGGTTTTCAATCACATTTTTCTCCACCATAACTTTCTTGAGATATAGATATAGACACACACACGAGTCAGAATTGGCAGGATATGCAGATCAACATTCCCCAACCTTTAACATGCACTGGGAAGATGTAATTTTAACGTGTTTTGTACATTTGCTGCTAATATTGCCAGCACACTGTATAGATTTAAAATCGATAATATAGAACAAAACTTGCGATCCACATGGCAGTATGGTCTATTTACTAGAATAATAGTGTTAAAAAAAAAAAAAAGTTAGAGGGAATTTTACTAGTCACAAATGTTCTTGTGTACACCAACATAACCTTATAAAGTCGAATGTGCCACACTATACACATTTTTACAGTTGGGTTTATTGCAATTACAGTTCTTCATAAAATGCCAACATATTCTGTAGCTCTGTACAATAGGTAAACCAGACAAACACCAAATTCTAAGAAACATGTATGACATTCTGGAGCAATAGATGAAGGGGGCCCTGCCAAAATGAGCTTAAAATCTAAAAGGATGAAGAAGAAATACAAAGGGAATTTAAGCAGGGCCAGACTGGGACAGGAATTCAGCCTAGGCAATTAAAGGCAGAGCAGCCCACCATGAGGGGCGGAGCCAGAAAGGAGGAGTGTATGTTAATGTTATGCCCCTTTTTGTTCAATGTAAACATGTGCTGCGTTTGCTAGTGATTTGTCTCTGGTGTGGGATACCAAAGAATAACTGTGGAACAGGACTGTTAAAGTGTGTTGTATGTGTTTGGAGATTGCTTGTGCTATTGCATGTGTGTATAGGAGACTATTTGTGTTGTAGTTTGTGTGTAATGGGGTCTGTTTGTGGCATGCTATGTGTGGCTAGGGTAGTGTGTGTGCGTGTTTATAGGGCCTGTAGAGTGTGTAGAACTAGGGGGTGTTGTGTATGCACATGTGAGGACTATATTGTGTGTAGCTAGGGGATGCAGGGGATTGTGTGTATCTTGGAGCTTTAGTGTGTGTATACGTATAGGGGTTGTAGTGCACATGTATGTATAGTTGCGACGATGAATGTGTGTATAGGGGTGTAGTGTGTGTATAGGGGTGTAGTGTGTGCATAAGGGAATAGAATGTGTATTTATAGTGAAAATAGAGTACTGTGTGTATAGTGTGTGCCTGGGGGTGTGGTGTGTGTACCATGGGTATCGCGTGTCTTTATAGGGGGTAAAAAGTGTGTGAGTGCAAAAGTGTAGTGTATGTTTAGGGGGTATAGAGTTTGTGTACTTTGTGTATATATGGGGGTATAGAGTGTAGTGTGAGTATATACGTGGATGTACTGTGTCTATACAAGTGGGTGTAGGTTATAGTATAGTGGTTTCTTTAATTAATTTAACAATAAAATATAAATTAATTTATAAGTATATCACATTTACTCCCCCTCACCCTTACTACCTTGCAGAGGGGAGTGAACATGTTGATCCCTGGTGGTCCAGTGAGAGCGGGGGCAAGCTGACACACGGGAGGGGGGACTATGATTAAAAGAAGAAAAACTACCACAACAAGAGGACATAGTCTTAAATTAGAGAAGCAAAGGTTTAAAAATATCAGGAAGTATTCCTTGGAATAGCCCTTACGTTTAAGTGATAGAGGTTAACGCAGTGAGGGAGGTTAAGCATGTGTGGGATAGGCACAGGGGCGTTTTAGCCGCGAGGCAAACAAGGCATTTGCTTTGGGCGGCATTTTTCAGGGGCGCCAAAAAACGCCGCCCCCAAATGCCCAGGGCAAATGCCTTGTTAGCCTCGCGGCTAACAGATATGCTGGGCGGTCGGGGGGCGCTGGCGGGCGGCTGGCGAGGGAGCTCTTCCTCTGAGCGCTCTGCTCAGCTCCCTCGCATGCCGCAGAGTGAGTCTGGGAGCCGGAATATGACGTCATCTTCCGGCTCCCAGCCTCACTCTGCGGCGCGCGAGGGAGCTGAGCGGACAGCTCAGAGGAAGAGCTCCCTCGCCAGCCGCCCGCCCAGCCCAGCGCCGCCCGCAGCCAAAAGGGCAGCACAAAACCAGGATACACCACTGGATAGGCATAAGGCTTTCCTAAATAGAAGAGACTAATGAAAGTATTTAGAAAACTTGGCAGGCTAGATGGGCCGAATGGCTCTTATCTGCAGTCACATTCTACATATTTAAAGCAGAGGTTAGAATTTCATGTCCTGCTCTACTGGACAGTTATTTGCCACTGTAAGCCAGAAGGGTCCACTTCAAACTCAACAAGAGTGAGTTTCTATTCACCACAGCTATATTTTCACCCACCAAAAGCTAAAGGAGAGTGAAGATTTTAAACGCTGTTTAAAGGAAAATGCTCAATAAACTTTTCTTTCTGTTCAAAACACATTTGTGTTTAACCCCTTAAGGATGGTGGGCGTTCTATGCCGTCCTTGGGGACACGGCTCTAACCGCCGGCGGGCAGCATAGAATGCCCAAGCCGTCCTATGTACTTACCCAGTCGCTGGCGATCGCGGTGTGGGGACTCACCTGGCAGTCCAGGGAGTCCCCCCTCCTTCCTTTCCGGCCCACCTGACCATGACGTCATATTACAGCTCCGGCATCAGTACGTGGCGCGCGAGAGAGCTGGGCAGAGAGCGCGCTCCCTCGCGCGCCGGCCATCCTGCCCGGTGACACCAGGGCCAGCCTTGGGGGCCCTGAGGTGGCCAGCACCTGGGCCCCCAGGAGAAGAGGCTGGCACACTGGCGTACATACTGGGGCCCCTTATTATTTATATAGCACGATCACATTCTGTAGCGCTGTACATTACGCCACTGATAGTGGGTACTGTTTTACAAATATAAATATGTGTATTTTATTGCAGTAAAAGCAAACAGTATTATGACATTCACAGTTAGAATGTCACATAGAACTAAAACTTTTTTTAATTCTTATTTTCTCCCTTTTTTTTTATATTTTATTCATATTAAATTATGTTTCATAGCTAAATATTTGGTGTTAAATGAAAACCCTGTTTCCCCTAAATAAAATGATATATAATAAATGTGGGCGCACATAATATGAAAGAGGCTAATTACACCTGAACAGACATATAGCGCAAATTCAAGGTTTTGTTTACGTTTTGTTTTGATCACAACGTGTACATTTGGCTCAGTCCTTAAGGGGTTAAACCTTTCTATGTAAATAATGGTTGAAATAAACACATTTTATTAGAGAGGGGAAAAAAGAAAACTGTAGTTCGTTCTCCTTTAAGACCTATGCTATTTTGCGTCTGTGTCAATCAGGCACACGGTTGTTTTGTTGTATGAGTCAGAAGCACATTTCTCTCCCTTTATACTTGCTACAGGTTGCCAAGTAACTGCAAGGGGAAGTAAAGTGATTAAGGGAGAACTTGCATATTTGACAGTTTGCACACCTCGGTACTTACATCCAGCATATCAGGTCTTGTTTCACCACTACAATAGAACGGAGTGTTGACTTAACCAAGTTCATTAGAATACTAATTTGTCATTGAATCACAGGAGAATGTAGAAGCATTTTTATAGATATATAATGCATTCTTGGACTTGTGTAGCACTAATTCAGATGAAAACACTATAAAACGATGATTCACACATACCGGTCTATTCATATGATCTCATAGAAAGGATATCCTTAAGCACAGATATTAAAGAATGGGATTGGTTTAAGCAGCCTCTGCTGATAAACATTTCTTTCTAATATGTATATTGGCAAAGACTATTTTACAGCAAAAATAAATGACACAATGTCTGTAGGCTGTCCTCATGCACCTCTAGATTAATACTAAATCTATTAGGTGAAAAACCCCTCTTACCTACTAACCCCCATCCTGGCATTAAAGGACCACTCTAGCCACCTAGACCACTTCAGCTTAATGAAGTGGTCTGGGTGCCAGGTCCTTCTAGGGTTAACCCATTGTTTTATAAACAGCAGTTTCAGAGAAACTGCTATGTTTATCAATGGGTTAAGCCTTCCCCCAAAGCCTCTAGCGGCTGTCTCATTGACAGCCGCTAGAGGCGCTTGCGTGCTTCTCACTGTGAAAATCACAGTGAGAGCACGCAAGCGTCCATAGGAAAGCATTATGAATGCTTTCCTATGCGACTGGCTGAATGCGCACGCAGCTCTTGCCGCGCGTGCGCATTCAGCCGACGGGGAGGATCGGAGGAGGAGAGCTCCCCGCCCAGCGCTGGAAAAAGGTAAGTTTTAACCCCTTTCCTCTCCCCAGAGCCGGGCGGGAGAGGGACCCTGAGGGTGGGGGCACCCTCAGGGCACTATAGTGGTCCTTTAAGTTACAAAGCATTAAGTATACTTATTCACAAAATCAGAGTGTTCATTTTAACGATTAGGTTTAGGTTTTCCACTTTGTAAATTAAAAAAAGAAATAACACTCACCTTGATAATGATGATCACAGACCAAACCATTGCTCCACATAGAGAAGCACTTGTGGACTATGATTCTTGCATGGCTGTGCCATCGCCAAACTAATGTTGCTTATAGACAACATTATCTTACTACTTTGATGTTAAGATATATAAAAGGCGCTTAAAAATAATTTATATCCGTGTATCTTAAATCTCTGAGCTGCCAACCACTATCAAATGTCAACCTCAAAAACACTGTAAACACATAAAAAAAACGTACGTTTAAAAACCCAACAAGTGATTTGAGAAATGTCACTGAGCAATTAATGTGCAATACAATCTCATAACCGTGTTAACAGTAAAAATATTACAATTTATAGAGTAGAAAAATACTTAGCGATTTTACTTCTCTGGATGAAATATATTTCAGAGGAAAATATATTAAAAAAACAGTAATAGTGAAAACTGTTTACTTTAAAAAAACAAAAAAAAAAAAAAAACAATTCCCGCTGGATCCCTTTAGACTTCCACTCACATTGCTTAGAGTCTATATGCCAAATAGAGCCTATTGGAAGGCTCTGGAACACGCGAGTGGTTCATTTTTAAGTATCTATACTACCACACTGTTTATACATATTGCACTAGATCTCGCTGTATATCTTTTTGTTCTTGGAGGTATAAGACTACCAGTGACAAGAGGGAAGGAGTCCTCCCAAAAAGAGGCTCCAAGGAGCATAACCTAGAGCCAGGCATGTAGGCTCTAAGCAATATGAGTGGAACCCAAACCAGAATCTCTAATTTCTGATCATAAGTAGTTATTGTCTAGGAAAAGGGGTGCAGCTTCTTGGGGTGTCCTCAAATCCAGGTCAATGTGGGCCAATATGTAACGAGAAGAGGGCAAAATGCAAAATATAGTTTAGTAAGTTGGTGTCATCTTCTGTTTACATACCTCTGGAACACCCTCCATTGGACCAAGACATCAAGTACATATTAAATTCCTTTAGCTTCTTTTTATAACGTTACCAACTTCCTATATTATATTTTGCGCTTTATTCTCTTTCTCCGTACATATTGGCTAATGCTGACCTGTATTTGAGGACACGCCAAGACGCTGATCCCCTCTTCCAATACAATATTTATATTATGCAGATATTTAGTTTTGTCTCATTTTCTTACATCTTTCCTCATTAACAAAATTCAACCAAGCTGAACTGCCATATAGCCAACATTATGCTGCCCCCAAAAATAAATAATACATTATTTTGGGCAGAAATGATCAAGATACCATTTTTTATTTGTATAGTATACTTATATAGCATAAGGCAGTAATTTTACGATGATTGCCACAGATGCTTGTATTACCCAAGGTTCTAGCATACATCTTTTACCTTGACAGCTAGCGTATATAAAATCTACAGAGAATGTTTTCTAACAACCAGAAACATTTATCTCAGTGTACTATCATCCCATGCATACTTTAAAATCTGTATACGAAAACAAGCACATTTACATAGTAATTGACAACAATAACACCATTTCCCTGAGCAGGTGAAACCTCAGAGCAAGTCTGCTGTGATAAGATCTGTGTGTGTCAGGAGACGCTATCAAACTTACTTTAACATGTCAGCTGAAAAAAAAAAAATGAAGATAAAAAAATAAAATAAAATGTTATATACACATACACACACCATATCGACATTACTGCTATAATGAATGTTTTGCTGTTAATACTGAAACATTGACGATCTTATTTGAGCATATCAAAGCTAAGTTTTAAATTACTTTTGTTGATAAAGGCCCAAGCACCAGGCAGGTACTGTTGTGTATTTCTAGAGTTTAGGACTACTGGGTATTCTTTATATATTTATTCTTTTAGTATTTTGATGATGGCTTGGACACAGGGATTAAATGGATTTCTCTTAATTCCTTTAAAGTTGAGACTGGTGTGAATAAGAACAATGATCTGTAAGCAATCATAATTGCATATATAATGTGATAGCCATGCACAATGCTATGGAAAATGTTGGTGATAATAGAAATAATATTAGTGGATTAGTTAGTAATTATAAGCAATCTACACTGATCTCTTGTTGGATGCAATAGTATTTATAAATAATCTACATGTTCTCTTCTACAGTGAGGTGCAAAAAGGTACAATGAGCATATTATGTTTAAGATGTATTAAACTCTTCAAGAGTTAAGCATATGTCATTAGTCTGTCAATCCTGAGATGTTGGCTTTGAAGGGGTTAAAAGAAGGTCAGGGGGAGTTACCGTATAAATTATAGAGAAGAGATCTACTATAGGCAGGGCCGGCCCGTCCATAGGTCCCGGTGGGGCCACGGCTCCAGGCAGCACTTTAACAGGGGCGTCATTTTGCCGCTCCTGTCACAGCATGTTCCTATGCCGCTTATCACACTCCTCCCATGGAGGCCACTAAAGGGAGGCAGGTGCCCCCTAACTTATTCCCTACCTCCCCTCCACACATTTCCCCATGCTTAATTTGCAATTGCCTGCAACCACTAAGATCTGGGGGTGCTCTCAGTAAGTTTGCTGGATGTCTGGAGCACCCCCACGTGAACACACATCAGTGGGAAAGTGCTGCCAGGTGAAAGCAGTAACTACATTGCTCATCTACCGCCCGCGCAGCAAGACGTGAACAGCCAGCTTCAGGCAAGATATGGACAGCCGGCTACTTAACAGCAGGGTACCGAGAGGGCTCAGCATCCAGGAACTGCCACCCCAGCCTGGGAGAGGTACTTCTAATGGGCTACTTGGAGTTCTTCCAACTCCCACTGGTGTATGTAAGGGAGTGCTGTGTGTGTGTGTGTGTGTGTGTGTGTGTGTGTGTGTGTGTGTGTGTGTGTGTGTGTGTGTGTGTGTGTGTTAGGCAGAGTATGTATGTTTTAGGCAGTGTCTGTGTCTATTAGGCAGTGTGTGTATGTATGTATGTATTAGGCAGTGTGTGTGTCTATTACGCAGTGTATGTGTCTCTATATACAGACAGCACTATTTGTTTTTATTTCTCTCTCCATACCAAGGACCTGTACCTACCAACACCTATATCCTACCAGTGGGGGATCAACGCCACTGAATGCTACACACTCCTGAGCTGGCCAAAGCTCTGAAATAGGTGAGTAAGAAGGACTGATATTACCACCATTGTCATCTTCCCATTACAGTTTCACACTATTGGAATTTCTCTCTTCTATCTGCATGCCTCCATATCATCTGGATACCTAACTTCCTTGGATCTTACAAGGTCTATTGATTCTACTAATCTCTTCAATCAAACTTGGACTATTATCTTTTACACTTTTTATCAGGACATTATTCCTTTTTTATTCATTTTAGGTAAGTACGCATTGTTTTTACTGTTTTATTACAGTTTTGGCGCGACCTATATTCCGGTTTGTACATTTGTAGGTACATGTATTGGTGCTTATGTGTGGATGTATGTATAGGTGTGCATATACATATATTTTTGCAATCGGTTGTATTTATATGTATATTTTTGTATGTACTTATGTATATTGTTTATGTGCTTGTGTATACTTGTACATATACGTGCGTGTGTACGTGTGTGTGTCTATCTGCGTATGCTGGATATAGGCCTTCATGTATATCCTGTAGCTCTTGGATCAGAATTTATGCATTCTTAACGTAAGTATTTATTTTGTTTTTACTCTCCCCTTCAAGTAACATCTTCTGCACAGTTTGCTTGGTTTTTTTCTCCCTCCACCCCCCTCACTCTGTGATATTCACACAAGATATTTACGACCCTCTGTGAGAACAGTGTCTATTTTCTATGTAACCTGTGTTTTATCTGCACATGTCGCTTTAACCCCTGTATCACAACTCAACTTTAAATTCTATGTGTTGTGTTACTCAGAAATGCTTTAGTTTTGAGAAAGGGAGTTTCTCCTGAAAGCTTGTCATTAAAAAATTCTGTTAGTCCAATATATATATATATATATATATATATATATATATATATATATATATATATATATTTTTTTTTATTATTTACTAAAATCTGGGGCCGTTGCATTTCAGACAGCAGCAGGCCTGTTATCGTGGTAATGCTTGCACTGCCCCAAGACTGCTCTCACAACCAGGCCTGACAGCAGCTGGTACCCACCGAATGGTCCCAGAGCAGCCCAAGCCTCAGGTAATAGCAGGGTTATTGGGGACAGTCATGGCTGGCACTACCATAAGGTGACACAATATCTGGGCTCCGGGTGACCATCAGGAGGAGAGAGCCCAGTGCTCAGCCTCCTGCTGGTCACTCCATGTAGTGTGGTCAAGCGAACAGCGTCGCAATAGAGGATCTAATTCCTCTACCTGGTCTGACAGGACATGCTCAGTGAGAAAATGTAACTGCTTCCTGTCAGTCTTGTAGAGGCAACAGAAACTCCTCTACCGCGGTCCACTCGGCCACACTACATGAAGGGAGGTAAGTAGGGGCACAATGGGGGAAGAGAGAAGGGCACACAAAAGAGCCTAACATAATGGATGTGGGCATGGTTTGGTGGGTGTGGTTTTAGTAAGTTGGCAGCATTTCATTTGGTCCCAGGCAGCACAATGTCTTGGGCCAGCCCTGACTATAGGATAGAAGGGTATCAGCAATTTGAGCCAAAATGGAATATTGAGTAGGCAGAGGAACACAGTATTGCCCATCACCCAAAGAATAGAGCAATGCCCAGCCGGCTCAGTTACCAGCTCCTCTGCCTCTAAGCAAAGCCACACATTTTCCCAGGCACAGCTATTTGCAACTTCCATGATTCATGTTTTGGTATCAAGGGAACTGTAACTGAATAACAACTTGAACTCAGCATGCGGCCCAGCTCTGCTGTGTAGCCCGTTTCATTGATGGATGCTCATAGACAAACCTGTTACTTTCCAACTCTCATCCAAACTAACGACTGCTAATAATGAACTAAAGAAAAAGAAAAACCTAATTTTTTGCACTTTCATTTTCCAAGGAGACCTACTAAAATGCACCTGCCCTTAAAACACCAACAGATTACAGCCACTGTATTAAAAAGAAAGAGATGGACAAGTAATGATCAAGACCATCACTTAATAAAAAAAAAAAAAACACACACACACAGAATAGAATAAAGAACAATACAACTGAAAATAGAGGTAACACAAACTAGGAAGTGTACTGAACATTCTTATACAACATAAAGCTTAACAATTTAACACACTGCATATAGTGTTAGACAAACGAAAAAAGTTCTCAGCAAGGCAGACCTAAAGAACAAACAATGTGGAAGTCATGCACATCTTTACCGCCAGCATTACATGTGGTGATGCAGCCTTCAAACACCGCAGTTTACATTTTTAATTTTACACGTAAACCGACTATTGGAAAGTCACGAGGATAACACCAATAAGGTGGTTTTACCCAACGATTCTCTTAAGTTTACTGCTTCATTGTTTGTCATTACAAACTACTGTCTGAAAATCTAATCCTTGACAGGACTATACATTATTCATAAAATATTTTACCAGGAAAGATACATTGAGATTTCTCTCGTTTTCAAGTATGTCCTGGTTCCACAAAACATTGCATTGATACATTAGGGTACAATAAAATATAAAAACAATATTGATACACAATATATACATAGAATGCAAGGTCACACAGTTAGTCTGGAAGAAAAGAGATTTAGTCTAAGGCAAAAGGAAGGGTTGTTTAAAGTAAGAATAATTAGAATGTGGAATTCTCTGCCTGAAAATATGGTTTCATCAGAGTTTGTATAGATTTTTAAACAGCAACTGGATGAATACTTGCAAAAACATAATATTCAGGGATATAATTTTTTAATATGTGGGTAACAGCTCTTGGTCCAAGGAGAGACCTGACTGCCATTCTAGAGTCCAGAAGTATTTTTTTTTTGTCTAAATAAACCTCAGATTTGCCCTCTATTTGCCCACTCTGTGAGATCTGACAATGCAACACTTTGACATTTTTGGAACTTAATGCTTCCAAATGTTCTAATCCTTGATTATGTTCAATAACTATTTTGGGTGTTTGCACTTTTAGTGATATACCATATAATATGAACTGTTATGTACCAGTTGTTCAGGGTTTTGTTTCCATTTATAGCTAGAGGCATTGCAAGATTCAAGAAACAACAGGGACCTGAGCCTAATTTATATGTTAATGACTCTTACTCTAAAAAGAGGTGGGGATATAAGTATTAACATATCCCTACCTATCTTTGTAATTTCTCCTCCTCCTTACCCATGATCAGTATGTTGCTCATACAGAAACAAACACATGCAACACAACCAGGTATTAAATAAATTACCTAATTCGGGTGTACAGCACCCCTTATGACATTCACCTAGGCCTAGGGAACTCGACTCTCCCTCACCATCACACACTAAGAAAGTTGGCAGAGCTCTATACTATTTATATTTTCTTTTACTTTGAAAAGCAGCTGCCCGAGAAACAAAATAAAAATAAAAAGCACTATTATCCTCCTGCTCCTCCACCAACTATTGAATCTTAGTGTTAAAGGAACATTATATGGTCAGGAATGCAAGCATGTATTCCTGACCCTATAGTGTTAAAACACCATCAAGCCCCCATGGCTCCACTAAATATAGTAAAATGTTATGTTTATTACAGTCTGCTGCTGATCTACCTCTGATTTGACTCTTTATCTGACATCATCAGAAGTGATGGTCTGCCAAGGGAGTGGGCATAGAGATGGACTGAACCAATGCATCTCTATGAGGAAAGTTCAGGGTCTCCATGCAGCACTGCCCCAGGAAGCACCTCTAGTAGCCATCTGAGGAATGGCCACAGGAGGTATCCCTAGGCTGTAATGTAAACACTGCATTTTCTCTAAAAAAAAAACCCCAACAAATTACTGTAATGATTATACTCACTCACTAGAACAAATACAATACGCTGTAGTTGTTCTGATGACTATAGTGTCCCTTTAAAAAGTCAGACTCTGTTACCCCATGATCTGCTGGCTGTCAATTTACAGTTTGTGTAATAGAGCTAATGTAAAGTATCACCTGATACTCTTAAATCACTACAATTTACCCCCACTTAATAAAGATTATGGTTACATTTACACGGCTAATTTTTTTAAAGTATTGAATTCATTCCAGTTGTTTCAATGTTTGCATGCCTACTCAAGAACTGCACAGAAAGGAAAATGAAACAAATGATATGACCAAACACAAGACACTACGTTAAAATAAAACCAATCGCACAGCAGTGATTTACAGTGTCTATAAAATCTAATCATTAACCTTTCATGGTGAATGTTAGTCATGGCTGCCTCTTGACGTAACTCTATGGGGTAATGGTGGTGTAAAAGGTGGGTTCCTCCATGTATGAATGTGCTCATGACTCACTTGTTGCTGGAGCAACTCATTCCTCACAGAGTGAGCGCCACTTGTCCATTCCTATATAATTCTACCTCTGCACAGAGACTTTTAAAGCAGATGGATTCTTATTCTGTAGGTTATTGCTATGCCAGTGTATGTATCAGAGGAAGAAAAAAAGAAAAGAAATTAAAACCTTGAGATCACCTAGCACAGGCAGCAAGTATTTAAAGGGTTAATGGAAAGGAAGAGGAAATTAACAGCTTTTCATTCGGACACCGTGTGAAGCGCTTTGGGCTGCATGGTAGACAGTGCTGGTTGCCATAGAAACCACTGAATTCATATGTATGGAAAATACCAGCTCTGTACACAGTACCAGAGCCCCCTCCAGTAGATCACAGTATACAGGAACTCTCCAGCGGTAAACCTCAAAAAACTGTCATTTTCACCCCGGCTTAGTACAGTTCTCCCTCCAATTCTCAGATCAATTATATCTCCCAACTCAGAGTACTAAAATAAGCAGACACACATATATACACATTTACAAAAGTAAAAACACAAATAAATGAGGACTGACCAGCTTGTTGATAGGAGTGAAAATCTTTTTTTTTTTAAATCATGCAGTGCCGCAATGGTGAGAAAAAATAAAAATAAAAAAGTAAAATTGTTTTAAGATTTACTAATAGTACAAGTTTCTAAAAAGGACACTTCAAACACTATGCGTTCCTTGAAAAGGTTATGGTTCTGACCCAGTCTTCCTGCACCGATTGTCCTATAAGGAGTCTTAACATTGAACACAATTTTGGTTTATAATATTGTATAAATTATATATATTTACAGCTTTAGCTTTTTTCCCCTCACATACTTTTGAAAAAGTTAATTATTTGGGGAAAGGGACTCCTGATTTTTAATGCATTATTTCGGTGGTTCCCAAACCAGTGGTCATGATACAGCAACAGTCCAAATTTTGTCAGTATCTCCTCTGAACTAAAAAATGGAGATACACTTAAATCCTGGACTTTGGTGGGACATGAGGAATGGTTTGGGAACCATTATATTATGTAAACAAATAGAATTGGAAAAAAAAATAAAAAATAATAATTGCCAAGGGCTTTTTCAACTATTAATGCACCTTATGCTGTAGCCCTAGCAGTGTTTGGATTAATAATATTAGTGTTACGCAGGAAGTAGGACGAGCAAGGATAGTGATCTTTATATAGTTCAGGGTGTAATGTTTAGAACCTTTACTACCAATCACTTTTTGATTGAAAAAAAAAATATTAGAACAACATTTATTTGAAGCAAGGAATGCATTGCTGGCATTTAAAGTATCATAAAGCAGCAGTTGTGTGTATGAATAACATTGTAGACAAATGTAAAAGTAACCTTTTGGAAATTAAAAGCTTTAGACAGTATACGGTTTCCTTATTCTTAAATCATTTCACACAAATTCTGAAATGTTTGTATAAAAGCAAAAATGCTATTTAATCAATTTATTTTATGTGGCAAAAACAGATAAATAAAAATGGCCAAATACCTTGCTAGCAGTGTAGCTTACTAAACATTGCAAAAATATGTAAAGAAATGTCTGCATTCGAGTAGAATGCCCACGTACATTAAATACAGCTAAAGGGACACTATAGGCACATTATCAACTTCATCTTATTGAAGTTGTTATAGTGCCTGCAAACATTATGTATGGATAAAGCACTCATGACAGCATCTTCACATTATTTTACCTGAAAGAAAAGATGTTGTAACAAGTACTTTTCTCCCCAGCATGTGCATTCACACCAGGCTGACCTGCCAAAAATGTGGGTAAACAGTCCCCCTTTCCAGGCGGGTCTGCCTCTTTTTGTGCTGGTCCGACTCCTTGTGGGCAGAGCCAGTGACATAATCACATTGCTGGTTCAGCCCCTTTACCTCCCTCCCACCAGCAACCCAATTCTGGGACTTCTGATGTTGGGAGGTATGTATTGTGGTCTGCAGCTTAGCTATCTGAGTAGCTGGCTTAGAGGTGAAGATGTGCCAAAAATCGATTCAATTCAGCTAATAAAAGAATCAAGGTTCTCTATTCACTATTAAATTGTTTTGCTTGAAGCAAGATGTGTAAGAAAATGCCGCTTTACAGGTTATAAAAAAAAAAACTTACATTATGCTACCAAATAACTAGAACATGTTTTTATAAGACTATCCTACTATAAGATAAGGCCAGGGACTAATGAAAGTATTAAAAAAATAAATAAAAATTGGGCAGACTACGTGGGCTGAATGGTTCTTATCTGCCCTCACATTCTATGGTTCTTATCTGCCCTCACATTCTATGGTTCTATCTTATTAAATCAGTCTACTCCAGTTTAAGCAAACCGTACTTTGATTTATATGTGTGTCCTGCTTTGACTTCTAGATGCTACTTCTGTGCTAATACAACTCTGCTAAATCTCACAAGTGTCAGGAGGCAGCGGCAGAACTACTGACGGTGCAGCCTCTGTATCTGCACCAGGGTCCCAGAGGTTTTGTGGGTCCAGCTACTGCTCTTTAGAGCGAGAATAAAAAGAGTAGTATGCTGCATTGCTGGGGACTCACTGGTGGTTTCTACCACACAGAGTCAAGGCCACACAAGAAGGACAATTTGGAGAATCAGTGGGGGGAGAATCTAACTAGTGACTAGGGTACTATAGAGTTAGCAATACAGGTTTTTATTACTAATGCTATTGTGCTATTCTAAATACATAGCTTTTATCTGAGCAAACCCTAGTAAGTACATAGTGTCTTATCTAAAACAATAGCCCAGCCACTAGATGTTAAGATATGCAGTTTATATTAAAGGGAATCCTTGATAAGTCCAAATGAGATGTATTTCAAGTAGAAATTAAAATGTATAACAAACAAGAACATTTGATCCACCTGCACTCAAGCAGAAAAAAAAGCACAACAAACAAAAAACAAACAAACACACACACCCCTGCTACGTAAGAAATGTACTAGAAATATGACCTTTTTAAGCTGCCAAGGACATTTATTCATTGCCTACATTTGTTATTTGGTTCTATCAGCATCATTTTCCGCTCTCCTGGCATGTGGCCCTCAGCAGACCCTGTCGTCTGACCCTTTCCATACAAGCAAATAAATGAACTGGAGGAGTAGGACCCAGTATTAATACAATTCTTACACTGCCTCCTCTCAGAGTGACCCACTCCCCCCTAATCAACCCTGCTAAATGAATTCCACAGAACTCCTACACTAAAGAATTCTTAGGATTCCTTAACAATACTGAGGGCTGGTCCAAGATCCATGACCCCTCACCTCTGTTAATAACCTCCCCTCCTTGTCCTCATTCTCCCCCACTTTTTGTCTCTTTAAATACAATTTGCCTAACTGCAGCTGTGGTGTCAGGAAAATGTGATTCAGTAACAAAGGTCTCTGCAATGTTTTTATCTGTATGTTCCAGCGAGCAGAGATCACATCCAGCACCATGCTATGTTTATTAGGGTAACTAGCCATCCGTCTTCGATAGACCGAAGGGTTAAGGGATAAGCAGTGCTTATTGCATTGTACTGCTCTATGCTCACATTGCCAAAAGGGGAACACAGGATTTGAAGAAGCAATAAACTTGTACAACAAGCTTCATAATCCCATGACACCTAGAGGAAAGGCGTATTTCCCGACATTATTGAAGCTCAAAGATTCTGCTTTTGAAAACGGTCAAATGGCAGGAGATCATTTTCATGCTCTCTTCTGATGCTCTACGTGGTTGGGAAAAAAAACAAACTGTGTATTAAACCGACATTACTTTAATCCGGGAATAAATGCAACATCTGGCACATCTGTCTCAGTGAATTTGTGAGGTTAGCAAAAATCCCAGTGTTTAGAATTAACCATTCTGGAAATGTATTTCTGATCAACTCCTTTAGAACCAAGAGTTATAAAAATTCCCATATGACATGCCTAGCAAGTCTGAAGTCCTTAAGGGGTTAACCCTCCAAACTCTGGGAGCTGCTCTCATGGACATATGAAAGACGATAACACTATGAGCTCTATTCTCATATTCAGCAAGTTAGCAAATGACTACAATCAGGCACATATAGCCATACTGGAAAATAATCTCCCACTGAGTCGATAAGGATTATTTTTTCTTTTCTTTCATCTTGGCATCTGCAAAATACATTTTGGAATTTTATTGTCAATCCACTATAACAAACATAGAATGTGACGGCAGATAACAACCATTCGGCCCATCTAGTATGCCCAATTTTCTAAATACTTTCATTAGTCTCTAGCCTTATCTTATAGTTAGGATAGCCTTATGCCTATCCCACGCATGCTTAAACTCCTTTACTGTGTTAACCTCTACCACTTCAGCTGGAAGGCTATTCCATGCATCCACTACCCTCTCAGTAAAGTAATACTTCCTGATATTATTTTTAAACCTTTGTCCCTCTAATTTAAGACTATGTCCTCTTGTTGTGGTAGTTTTTCTTCTTTTAAATATAGTCTCCTCCTTTACTGTGTTGATATATTTAAATGTTTCTACCATATCATAACTGTCACTGTTTTATAAATAATCAAACTTCCAGAGCTACCCAAGCCCTTTGGCTTCTAAATATGTCCCTTTGCCTACTTGTCAACAACACCAGTTCAAAAGGGGCTAGAAAAGTACAATTATTATTATGTTATTATTTATATAGCGCCAACAAATTCTGCAGCGCTTTACAATGGGTGGACGAACAAACGTATTTGTAACCAGACAAGTTGGACACACAGGAACAGAGGGCTTGAGGGCCCTGCTCAATGAGCTTACATGCTAGAGGGAGTGGGGTAAAGTGACACAAAATGTAAGGATAGTATTTAGTCTAATGACAGTTGCAAGAGAGGAATCAGTCGGGAGCTATTAACAGTTTAATTGATAAGCTTTTATGAAGAAGTGGGTTTTTAATGATTTTTTTGAAGGAGTGGAGACTGGGTGAGCATCTAACAGAGGAGGGAAGGGAGTTCCACAGGAACGATGCAGCCCTCGAGAAGTCTTGAAGGGGAGCTTTAGAGGTGGGAGTATGGACAGAAGATAGACACAAGTCTTCAGCAGAGCGTAAGGGCCTAGACGGGACATACTTGTGTATTAGGGAGGCTAGATAGGTTGGAGCAGCATTATGTAAAGATTTGAAAGCAAGAGACAGAATTTTAAACTGAGCCCTGTATCTTACACGAAGCCAATGTAGGGACTGACAGAAGGGTGAGGCGTGGGCGGTGCGGGCGGAGAGGAAGATGAGCCTTGCCGCCGCATTGATTAAGGACTGTAACTGCAAATTGGGAGCACGTAAGACCACTGAGAAGCGGATTACAGTAGTCAAGGCAAGAAAGGACAGTCAACTCTAACCGTGATTTCTGAACTTGGTACCCATGATATCTGTGAACTGCATTTCCCAAGAGCCTATTCCTGGGGTTCTGACAAAAGCAGACACTCTGGATTCTAATGTATTATCTGTTTGAAGATGGTTACCAGTAAGACCCCCTTTCCAACCCCTCACCCACCCCCAACACAAACTATATTCCTTAAATACAGGATTAGCTTTTATTTGGCACTTTTAGCCTGAATTGTAATCCTTTTGCTTCCTGTACAGTGGATATATCTTATTTGCCCACTCTTGTACAGTCTCTTATAATAATGAACAGTCTATGGCAAGTTAGGATTAATCTGTGATTACCCAGCTGATGTCTGACTATAGTCTATATTTAGAGGTCAAAGAAACAGTAATCCCCAGTGCCCTCAGCCAAACCGTTGGTTAGCATCTGTTTGTCTTCACCCAAATGACATCAGTCAAAGGTTAGACTATATGTAGAAAAGTATACAACAGATTTCAAAACTGAATGCTTTCCCACCAAGAAACTCGTATCATGCACAATAAAAATATTATGGCAGTGATGATGTTTATATACATATAAGATATTTAAAAATGACCTTGTATTACTGATCTTTTCAATCATTTATATTTACTATTGAGGGACTTATAAATGCTGTACAAAAATAATTACTAAATATAGCAATCAGATTTAGGGGAAATCAGACTGGATGACATGTTAGCTACCCCTGAGAACATGTCAGCTTTTGTTTAAATTATTGGTTAATGTCCTTTTGCTGTGAACGGTAGAAGGTGGACACAGCTATCTGTATCACATGATACCTAATCTGTAAATGGCAGCTGATGAATACAACAGCCAGTCACATGATGAAACTAGAGACTTAAAAAATACTATGAAAATAGTGATGAGATAGTCTAATGAATAGAAAAGAACTTAATTTTGCATGCTGTGCTGAGCATAATAAAAGAAAATCTGGTGTGTTTATTGTCTGGGAAACATTATATACCAAATTGCATATTATGCTCTATGCTAGTTTGCACTATGGATAATTGATATGATCTGGACTGATTAAAAATAGAAAATCCGCAGGTTGAACAGGATAGGAAAAAAGCCTTAGTACATTTTTTTTGTGTTCTGGTTGCTAATAAGTCCTGTTTGACATTTTGATTTATTTGGAGGCTGCGGTGCCCTATACCATGGTGTACCAAGTCAGACTTTGGTTTCCCATTTCTTACCCCTAGGAGCATCACATTCCATCACTATTGATAAGGACTGCTAATATGGTGTAAAATGGTGAGAATCCCAATGCAAGAACTGAACAGTATGGCTTCCACAGGGCCAGATAAACTGTAGAATGTTAGGTGTGAATTTTAGACAACTTGGCAACTTCTGTCCAAGTGTTGAATGAATGCAAGTATGTAATACAGATCAGTCACCGACAGGATCCCCTCCTTCAAAGCAGTAGCCTAATAAATAAAAGAGATAGACATGCAAGAGTTTGCGCAGCTTATTAAACTTAACCTTTTGTCACAGATGATATTCCAAGACTGGATTTGGATTTGCAGATATCAATGTAGGATGGTAATGGGAGAATGGACCTTTAATTTGAAAATTACATGTCATGAGTTTTGGCGTCAGTTCAACGGCACTCTGTATTAGGCAAGTTCAAAAGATGAAAGTAAGTGTATTCCTGGTTTGTGTCTGCTCCATTATCTTTCTACGATTAATATTCACTATCTAAAGGCAGCCACAATCTGTAGGAATATAACCTAGCATTATAGTGAGAATATACATTTGCTCTTTCGCTTGAAAATTATAATAATATATGTTAGTTACACGATAATACAAACAAAAATAAGGTGTTTATTATAGTGAGTGCTTTGTTCCTTGGTCTGTTTTTAGCGCCATTAATACTTGTGTTCTTAGCTCAACCAGTTTCTAAGACCATCAATGCTTTTTTTAGGTTCAATTTCAAAATTGCACTCTAAGCAATATGATTCCTACAATTCTGTGTAGTGAGGTTACCAACAGGCTATGGTAGCCACACACCTATTTATTACTGGTATTTATAAAGCGCCAACATATTCCACAGCGCTGTACAGTTGGGAAAAAAGACAATACAATACAGACCAATACAACACATAGAGGGCCCTGCCCGTGCACCTATGATTAAATCCTTTTGGCACCAGTTTGACAAAAAAAAAAAAAACTTTCCCAGACACCCATAATTAACCCCTTTCTCCAACTGATTTAAAGAGAAACTCTTAATGTTTATATTTCAGCCTGATATAAAATTATTTTCTTATTTTTTTAAAGCAAAATTGTGCAAACATATATACGCTTTCACAATTTATCGACACAATCCTTTCTAACCTCCATTAACACAACATACACAGGGTTCTTTGCTAGAGACATAATTGTCAGGAATTCAGAGTGTATTTCAAAGTAAGGCTAAAATAGCCACACTATAAAAAAAACAACAAAAAAACTCCAAGTCAGCAGTCGTGTTATTTTGACATAAACTTTACAAGTCACTTTGAATTCCCTGCAATGCTCAGTGACATTGCTAGCCCTCATACATTTTCATACACAGCTTACACTCAAAATACACAGACCAATGCTGTTAGAGCACAAAAACATTAAGTGGTTTGACAGAAGTGAGTAGAGTAAACCATGCATTAAAAGTTTCTTGATTCAAAGTTCTCATAAACACATGCTCTATTCTGGACAGCTTTGCGAATGATTGTGATGTATCTTTTAAAAACGTATCACAGTTCGTAAATATACCACGACAATTTAGATTTTTGTAAACATGCCCACAGGGTCTGGTTCACCTGGGTAAAATATGAGGTTTATGGAGATCAGACAGTCACTTACTCGTATCCGTCGCATGGCTGCAACAATTTCCACTCGGCTGTTGGGTCGTGGGACATCCAAGCTGCCAATATACTGAAAAAGACACATTATGTCATTAATTTATTATGCATACTGTATTGACAGACACAGAATGTTTAGACAAGTGTCATATGCAAGCAAACACACCTTCCATTGTTCTCAGAAGGGAATAAACTTGGCTCCCGCATCAGAAGAAAAAAAATAAAAAATAAAATAAATATATATCTCACAATCACACTGCTTAAAAATGTTGCAGTTAGGAAAGACAGGGCATAAAGTAAAAGTACATGACAAGGAGCATTTGTGCTGGGGAAGAAAAATTGCTCCTTAAATCCTACTGATAAATGCACAAATACATCATCATTGTACAACCGGTATTATTAGTTAAAGTCTACAAGTTCACACAAGGTTATAGCTAAAGGAACACTCCATACTCATAAAGCACTACAGCTTCCTGAACTGCTTTATGTGTCTGTTGTATGTCGTATTTGTGACTTTTCATAAATACTAAATACATACATTTTCAATGGAGTTCCTGCAATACACCCATGTCACCTTGGTCAAAATAAGAGGAAAATCCCAAAACACAAAAGTTACCAATAATGTATATAAAAATCACAAATACTATTATATAGATCTCTTCGTAACATGATTCCTACACCAGACAAAGACAACTTAAAAAAAATATATATTATGAACACAAACAGGCACAGCGCATACACTTAACATAATATATTGGAAACATATTATACCAAACATATGAAATAAAAAGGGACACTTAAAACCTGTCTATTCCCTGTCGTAGCAAACCGTATTTTCTATCCAAAGACAGCATGCGATGAATGAAGTAATAATCCAGTGTAACTCTAAATTGGATCTCAAATTAAATCGCAAAGTTCTTAGCTATTACTAGAAACTATATATGCTTTTGGTTCATCTTAGATCGCTAGCCTTGTCCTCCAGTTTTATGAGGAGCAATAAATTTATCCCATAAACAACTAAAGGGGAGACAGGAGAAAAGTCAGATTTAAGTAGAATATCCCAAACCACTTTTCAACAAGAAATTTTTTGAATGCCCTGCACTCAAGATCTAACCTAATGTTCAATTATTTTTAGATGTGGAAATTGAGGGAGCCATAGAAATTGCTTGACATCATCCTAGTGTTGGTGAAGCCACTTTTGATTTTGTTTAGCAATGTGTATAGAAGCATGAAGAGAGTCACCCTGTTTGCGTCACAGACTATACCCGGCACTGTAAAATCTACACATATCCTTAGACATTACGCAGCATGTTCAATCATCTGATCTACAGAGTTCTAAGAGATGGCTTCCCAGGCCATTAAGAACTCTCCAAGATGTTTCACAGGTGGCAAGAGGCAAAGACAGGGGAATCCCCGGATCCCTAAGCTGGTAACAGATTAAGTGCATCCTTTCCCCAAACGTAAATCTGTGAAAGATGACTCAGACCATACTGCTTTATTTCTTAGGGGTCCAAGTTTTGTCTTCTTTACATCAGTGTCTATGTCACTGTGGGTTGGCTTTGCTATAAATATAAAATGTTACAATTTTCAATATCGCTAAAACTGGGATGAGTGTAGCACCGAATCGGGGAAGTAAATCAATATATCTCAACAGTGAGCTGTTATGGTGCTTGAAATGTTCCTTTAAATAAGCATATCTTTAGTACAATCACAACATAAAACTAAAAGGTTTCAAATATTGGCATTTAAGGAAAATCTGATACTTGGAAACCACCGCAGTCTGCGCAGAACCAGAAAGTTATATCACCTGGTGTGGGGGGTGGGGAGTAGAAAAAGACCCTTGAGCAATAGAAAGAGTCATTATGATTAATAGTATGTAAAGCCATTACGTGGGAGTAATTTGTTCAAATAATAACTCTATAAGGTTGTATAATGGTCAAGGGATGTGTGGTTATTTTATGGTACCAGATCAAACCTATTGTACAAACACTGCACCTTCATAATACATGTAATATTTTTGTATTCCAAGAGGGTGATTCACTCAGATGTTAATTCTCAATGTATCAGAACACTGCCATAGTCTTATCTTCCCAACACTTTATTTATACAGAATCTTAACTCCGCCCCATAACATTACAAAAAGTATCAATAACCATTTGCTCTCCTTTTAAAGAGGAAACCGTCTCATTGGAGAGAAAGACAGTCAACTAAAAATTGGGTATTAGTTTTCCTTAAAATAAAAATATTTGGTTTAAATGTAAGACTTTTCTGATACAGCAAGAGTTACTCACAAAACCTTGAGTTGTCAGGAATTCACCTGAGAATTGCAAATTATTTAATTTAAAACAAACAAACAAAAAACTCAAAAACAAAACAACCTCATGTCGTCCCTCCCCGTGAGTCCCCATATGAAGAGCTCAGCTGAAGTGGAGACCGTGAATAATCTACTGTAATGCACTGGCCTCTCTGCACGAGAGTGATAGAAATCATATTCCGGTCTCTAACCTAACAGCACTGTGCATGCTGGAATCTCACTGAGAGTGACAGGAGTGTCATTGTTGTTAGCATGTTCAGTTAATGCTAGAATTCTGTAAAAATTGTGTTGCTTTTTCAAAACTTTTTTTTTCCTGGAAAAATTATAATGGTCAATCCCTACAATACAGCATGGTAACCTAGTGATAATATTTTCTGATTATTAGCCATTTTCATGCAACAGTTATCACATTGGTTACAGTTCAAAATTCAAAAAAAACTTTTTCAGCCTGTAATTTAGCTGGTTTTAACACTGCGCCTAATCCATGATTTCATAATTCATCTCCCCATGCTAATCTAGAAGGGCCAATATCACAAGGAAAAACAAAGCTGGTGCCTTCAAAAACAGGTTTAATTACATATGCTGAAGGTCATGGACACCCAAGAGCACTGATGATACTAATTGGTGAAAGTTGTGCCACTAAGCTATTATGCTCCATATGGGCACTGCATTGTTTGTCCCTTTATAAGTGTAAAGGACATTTCAGTTATTGTGGACGTGTATTTATGTTTTAACTTTGATATTTTCATGTTGTATTTTAACTATTACATTTATTTGTCTCTGATATTGCAAGTGTGGAACGTCTAGATTAGCATTATAGTTAAATCAATTACACCCATATCTGGATGGAATTCATTGGCCAACTGTGTCAAATTCCATCCAACAAATGAGCACATTTGATTTGAAGGGGAGACTAGACCATGGGACTCAGTTCTATTCATGAACATCCTTAAGAAACATCATATTCTCTACTAAACTATGGAATTCTATGAAAAAGAGTCAGAAGAATTTCCTGTAAGTGAATAACAAAGTTACTAGCAAGTAACATTCCAAATCCTGTAATCCCACACTTGCCCTAGAACTTCCTTTATATTTGCTTGGCAGAGTTGCTACTGTGATTCACTATGTTTATTCATTCAGGGATTTGCACTAAACAATAGATTTTCCATTTTATTTTCCTGGGAGATAGGCAGCAGACGTGCCCAGGCTGGATGGGACAGAACACGTAGGAGAGGTGCAGGTTAGTGACCAGGCAGGAGAACATGTCAATAACATCCATGTTTAAATGCAAACCTAACCAAACAACACCAACAGAATCGTTTCACTATAATTTAAAGCTTTTATTGTGTGCATATTGGGGCAGACGGAGAAGAATTTACTAGAGTGCAAAGATCCCCACCTTGGTCACAAGTTAATTTATTCAGATAAAGAAACCTATCATTCACTTATGAAACAGACCATGAAGGATTTAGAAACCTGTCGCCCACTGCCATTATAAAATGATGGGAAAATGCAGGCTGCAGACCAGCAATATAAAAATAAAAATAGAATGTAGCCCTTAGGCTCCGTTCTATTTTAATGCACAATGAATACAAAAAAAAAGGTATAAATTATACCAGTGGAATGCCAATGCACGATCAAGTCCACACATGTGAAACAATGCTTATGGACCAATTGATGAGAAACACACAATACATCTAATCAACCCCTTATACACATAAAAAAAAATAAAAAAAAACACGAACATACGCATACACAAACATTTTCATCTAGATTATACACAAATTCTACTGGCATCTGGGTTGAAGCTGTCTAATGAGAGGTCCACACAGGCTTGTCCAAGTGCCTTCATTGCCCATCAATGAATTCAACTGGATGAAAAACAGATCCACATTTGCACTGAAGGATATGCTGAAACATCAGAAATTGTTAAGGCCATGTACACTACACCTCTTTCTAACCAACTCATAAAATATAAATTTTGAAAATGACAGGAAATGAGAAGCCAATCAGGAGGTCCTATACTAGGACATAGGATATTCCAAGGAAGAAGACAGGAAATCTAACTGAAAGCTTGTACTGGGCAGCACTGGTTCTCTCAATCTGTAAGGGTCTGAGAGAGACCTTTTATTTAAAGCAAAATAAGCCTATTTGAGCTTCACTTCTTGTTTCTGTTTAATTTTATCATCAAGTATTTACAGTTTTATATCTCACTGAAACTGGTGCTGGATGTTACGGCTATATTACTAATAAAATTAATAACATACAATACCTAGCTAGTATTTATTCCATCAGAAACACACGAGGAATGTAGGGAGCGAAATAAATAAATACATTTATTTCATCATCCTTGTTTTATCAGTTTGGCTCCTAACTTGTTTCAGCAGGGCCCCTAAATTATGTGATCCCTTGTCAACCCCAATGCTGAGCAAGCTTTAGAAATCATAGGTGCGTGATAAGCCATTGTCATCCAGTTCAAGGTCCAAATGACTGCGTGGAGATATTTATGAAAAGGGAAAAAAAAAAAAACTCTGCTTAATGGAATGTGTTCACAGAGACTAGTCAGCTGTCATCTTCCTGTAATAAGAGGCAGGATTACATAGCAATGCATTAGCAGATAAGGATATCTGTCACACATTAGAATTATGGAGCCTTTGTAAAACCAGAAAGATATATGGATAGAATGTAGTCTGTCAGGTAACCTGCTACAGATAAGGCACTTTGTTCTTATGCTAACCCAGACCAGCAACAGCTGCAACATCACCAACAATCACCCCCTGCCCTACCTCCCCCCCCCTTCACACACACACACACACACACACACACACACACAAATGAAACCCCTCCTCAAGGAATGTAAGCATTTCCCTACAGATATAGCAAAGTAATCAGAAATTCAATCTGCCTCCTACAGGTTGGAGAATCTGTAAACCTTTTTATTACTGGGATATATTTATGTAATTTGACTAAAATACAAAAACTAAAATAACTTTAATTGCTAGCATGGAGGCCCAGAATTTGGTCTCAAAGTGCAGACGCCAGGGATGGTGCTGTGGTTTGATAAATTGGAGACCTTTCGTTTCAGTAAGTAAGGCCTACATTTTAACAAGTGTGTGATCTTCAACTTTACAGGTTGTGTTAACATGTAGCAGTTACAAAAGATTCAGGACATCTGGCAATGGTCCTTAACCAGCAACTGGATGAATGAAAGAGGCAACACAAAATATCTAAAGCAACCTTATACTGATGAGGAGTGTGGCAAGACATGGCAGCTTGGTGGGATACCGGATATGGGCCTAGAGCAGAGGCAAAGTACTCAGACACAATCACACACTACTGAAGAACTGAAGGTGGCAATGCAAAAATAGAAGGGCAAAAATAAATTAAATTGAACAGGTAGAAATGAAGAAATGCAGACAGTAGGAAAACTGGGCATTTGGAAATGGCAGCAGACACTGGACGGAAATGGCCATGCAGATAGTGGCAACATTGGGATCTCTGTGAAGTTACATCGGACACAAATACCGTCAACATGGCAACATTGGTCAGTTGGAGATAAATGTTAATGCTTTATAAATAATAAAGCACATTATTTAGACACAAATAAGGTCAACAAAATGCATTTGAGTTTAACTAAACAGTAACGACACAGGACAAAGGGAATACTAAGCGGCAGAAAAAATATATAAGAATCCTTCCAGCCGGACGTTGAAACAATTGTGAGCAACATTAAAATGCATCATAACCACATGCAATGTGACTTTTTGCACTGAAAGTTTTACAATCAGTACATGTAAACCTTTTAATCATAAATGACAATAATAGTGTACCCTTGTACACCTCTTTTCACTGAGAGCGGAGTTTTAACAAAACATCAGATGAAACAAGTGACTCGACTTTCCATTTGTCCAAGTACTTCTGATTTGAATCTCAGCATCCCCAAAGGAGTCTCACATTTTCATATGACTTCAAACTCAGAAGCAGAACATTTGTAACAAGCTTTTGATAGACCCTACAAATAGGTATTCAGCAGGCAATTACATGCTAAATAGGTGCTAACATATTGAATTGTTGGCTCTAGCAAGTTTATTTACTATACCAGCAACTGTTGGGTACTAACCAGGAGAATGCAAAATTTAGGTCAATAAAGTTGAGAAGAGAATATAGAAGAATTTGACTTTTTCCAGTTTGGCCTAAATTTTAAATGACCTCCTTAATTCCCAGTTTAGTGGAAAATCGGAAAGGGTTTATTCTCTAAATAGTAAAATGTGCTTTATTATTATTATTATTTATAAAGCATCAACAATTTCTGTAGCACTTTGCAAAAGGGGTACTAACAGACAAATATTTGCAGCAAGACAAGTTGGACTGAGCTTTTATTTTCTACACTGCAAACAGTTTAAAAACAGATTAACAATTTCCAAAACTTAGATCAAAATTACACAAATTGCAGACTTTTCCCAGACTTTGCCAATTATGCATTAATTCTAAAAATAAAAAATAAATAATGAAAATACGAACCTACTCTCTATGATTCACCATTTGAAGGATAAGCACCCAGGATAGTTCATTATTTATTGTCATAATTGTTGGTTTGTGTTAAAAAGCCACATTAATCATATTAATGCAGCGCTAACTCACCTGTGCATTAAATGCAGTTTATGAATGCAACTCTTACCTGGTTCCTATCAAACTGGCGTCAAGTATCTCTAAAAACTGTATTATACCAACGTCTCCCCTAGCAGGTAGGAAGTGAAGATTATCTCTGATAAAAAGATCCATAGAAGAGCCATATTCCTAAATCAATGGTAGGAATGCATTCAATGGAACAGAGATGATGTAAACTGAGCAGCGCTACAGAATGTGTTAGTGAGTTACAAGTAGGGACATTGATCCCCTAGTGCAGGCTTCCCCAAACTCCGGCCCTCCAGATGTTGCTGAACTACAACTCCCATGATTCTATGAATGAAATAGATAGGCTGAGACTCATGGGAGTTTTAGTTCAGCAACATCTGAAGGGCCAAAGTTTGGGGAAGCATGCCCTAGTGTTTTACTTCTTCAACTCCCATCATGCTTTGCTATTCTAAAGGCCAATATCCCCCCCCCCCCTTTTTTTTTTTTAAATAACTAATTCTATGTTATGTGAAAATAATAAGCTATAGTAGGAATTGCCACTCTCTAATGTAGGTCCCACTCAAGCTGCTGTCAAACTACCATTGCAATACTGCTTTTTGTTTTGCTATACTCCAATGGTGAATCAAAAAGATCTAATAGTACACACACACACACAGAGAATGCTCAGTAGAAAGCTTGTTCTGTCCTAGAATAAAGCAATATAGGTAATATTGCAGGTTTAGACACTCAAATCATACCCTCTATTGGTTAACATCTTGTAACAAACTTATAAACATTACAAGATGGGAGTCAGTGACCCCAAAATACATAGGTATGGCTCTCTCCCAGCACCTGCCTACATGTGGATTTATATTCACAGTAAAGGCTGCGTTCATTACCCCATACTAAGAATTGGAGTCCCTCCAAAAGGCAGCCTGGTGAGTTGTACCTTCTTATATTTAGAATAAAATCAAGATATGAAAGAAAAGAAAATCGCACACACACGCTTAAACATGCCCTCATCACACCCACCTACCCACCATTGGGTGTCATGCCCCCTGCCACAGACATATACAGGAGGAAATCTGTCACCTGAATACACCATGACATGGGTCTCAACTCCCTCTCACAGCAGAAATGACACCAGGAAGCCTGAGCTCTCACCTTGGCCTCAAAGCAGATGCCATGCTGGAAAGCCTCCTCATTGTGCAGGGGGATCCGCAGGTCGTGCCCATCGTCCACCAAGTTGTACCTGCTTTTAACCGGCATGCTGCAGAGCCAGAGCTTCCCTGACAGGAGCCCATTCAGGGGAGATACAATGTATCAGTGATCCAGCACTGCACAGGTCCTGCCTCAGGACACGGGGTGGATCCCAGGGAAGAGGAAGCACAATCCTGGAGCTCGCCAATGGAGCAGTGAGGGGAGTGCCCACTCATGGTGGGTGTGTGGGAGGCTGGGTCTCAGTCTAGATAGCGAAGGAGTGGAATCACAAAGGGGTTTGCTGCAATGTGTTAGACCAGCACTTCAAAAGCAGTTACACAGCAACATGCTCAATAGATTCTCCAATCAGTAGATCAATAGGGCAAGCCCTTTACATTAAATAAAAACCATGTATTCAGTCTCGGAAGACTTTGAATGAAACAGAAAGTGATGCATGTCCCTTTAATTCTATGGTTTTAGTAGAGCAGAATTACTAACTGGGAGGATATTGCCACAAGAACTCTTAATCCATTTTTATTTGCAAATAATAAAGAAAAAGTACACTAACTGGTTTAGACACCAATGCTTCCATCTTATTGTGAACAAAGCATATAGGAATCCCATTAAATAGGGAGGCTGCAGCCTCAATTCAACTTAGCAAAACAACTCCCACATTAACCCTTTACCGTGCAGAAAAAAGACATACACTGAAGCAGAATTGTTAAACAAAGTGTAAATGGGATTTGAATGTCACATTCTTAATGATACATAGTATAAATAAAACACAAAACACCTTCTTCCTTTAATCTGTTTATTTTGATAAATTGAAAAACATTTGGCAAATGACTGTGACTTATTATGGATTCACAATTCCAATTTAAACATCAATAATAATAATAATAAACCATAACTTTAAACCAAATCACTAAATCATTTACAGGCTCTGACCCTTAAAGCCAGGAGGAAATAAATATTTCTTACCAAATAAACCAAATGCACCCTCCTGTGATGCCCAGGAGGATGACTTATATCCCATAATAAAAGTCACAACAGGACTCCTGAAAGAAAAAGTGGAGTGTGAGTGTGCCTTACAGGCAGCCAACATTTATTTTACTGACACAAGCTGAGGTGAATTAATTGTGTTGCCTTTAAATTTATACCCCAGCGGTTCCTGCCACTGGGTGGCTCATGTCGCAATTAACCAATCAGGGAACCAACCCTGAGTGCGAGCTTCAGCCGAACAAGCCGCATGCGCTACCCTGCGCCTAACACCTCGCATGCGCTACCTCTGCAAAACCCGACCTGATACCCACAAACTTCCGCTCCTTCAAACCCTATGAGGCTGCTCCTTATTTGTCCGCCGGCCTGACAATACGATCAATATGTTAAGGCTAACATTATTTTATGCTCCAGTCTCAAGAAACCAGTTTAATTATTGTAGATGATTTTATAAGTATTACCACCTATTCTGGGTGGTGGAACATGTTTGATTCCAAAAAGCCATTTTCCTGTTTGTGTCTTTTTTTGTGTGACTCCTTTTTTGTTGATGTTTTAATCAGCCAAAAATAGCAGTACTGTTGAGATATATATATATATATATATATATATATATATATATATATATATACACACACACACACACACACACACACACACACACATGATACTCTAAAAATTAGAATACCCAGCAAAAGTTAATTTATTTCAATAATGCAACGTAAAAGGGGAAGCAAATATATGAGATAGACACTTTACATGCAAAGCAAGATAGTTCAAGCCATGATTTGTCATAAGTGCGATGATTATGGCTTACAGCTCATGAAAGCCCCAAATCCACAATCTCCGTAAATTAGAATATTACATGCAATCAATAAAACAAGGAGTGTATATAGAGCAATATCAGACCTCTAATAAGTGGACTCAGTACTTTGTTTGAGTACTTTGTTTGCATTCTAATTTTTCGAGTATCACCTGTATATATTAGGGATGTGCCAGGGCAAAACATTTGGTTCGGTTTGGACTTTGGCAATTCGGGAATTCGTTTTGGCTCGGCACTTCCGAAATTCGGGACTTCGGAAATTCGGTAGTTCCCTAACCCTGCCCCTAACCGTAACTTTACCCCTACATCTAACCCCACTCCTAACCGCTAACCCTACGCCAACCCTAACCCCACCCCTAACCATACCCCTACCCTTAACACTAACCCCACCCCTAACCCTACTCCAACCTTAACCTTAACACAACCCTAACCCATACCCTAACCTTACCCCAACCCTAACCCTTCCTACCCTCAACCCTTACCCTACTATGGCAACAATCTGTGCAGAGAAGGAAGATCTTCCTACTGCACATATATTATCTCAGAGAGTATCCAAATAAAAAATAAAAATAAAGCTTAGTTTTTGGGTCCTCAGCGTTATGGTTTACGTACTATGTTAACTGCGGGCCAATGATCACTTATCTAATAGCTTGGATTTAAGAATATCATGCAAACCGTATTGCCTAGCATTAGATAAAGGGCTACTTAGGTGCTTGGCATTTTTTGTATAGCTGTATATTATTAATTTTATTTTGTTGTAGTTTCTTTAATATCTGTGGTGTCGGTTTCTGGTGTTGCAAAACATTATTGCTTATAATTTACCATATGTAATATTTGACATTACTGAGCTTTTCCAACATCTGCAGTATTCCTACTATCCCTACTTTCTGCTGGTCACTACATTGATATTTGCTATGTTGGCTCCAATTTCTGTAAGTTGGAGTGATTTTTGCCATTGTTGGTGGTTATAGTCACTATAAGGATATTCATGTATGCATCTTGCATTTGTTTTACCTTCCATACACAATTTTCCTTATTGGATGCTATGATTTGGTATTCAATACGTAGAAATCCATATTTGTAACCTTAGTTTGGCAATGTAGACGTTCACTACTGGCGCCGGACTCTGAAGCCAGTCTGCATATATATTTTGTTCAATTTTTTTTTAAGATTTTGTTTGGACCTTTCTACAGCCCATGTAATATACACATGACATTATGTTTCCCCTTTGTGGCAAATAGAGTAATAATTGTTTCATATTTTTGTTTTTTTTGAGAAAATGGTTTGCTGTATTGTTTATTGTTCATTGTAGATTGTGCTAGGAACAGGCACCTATTCAACTAAGCTCTTCGGTATCAGGTTTTCACTTCCTTATAGGGGTATATTTCATTATAGTTTTGCCTCTCTGCATGTATTTATATATATATTTCTTCTGGCATTCAGCTGGATTAAGGATTAATATACAAAATAAAAAATAATCCAGGCACTCCAATGAATTCCAAAGTGAAGGCAATTTATTTAGAACCCAGGACCAAAAGGCAACGTTTCAACCCCTTAGGGCCTTTGTCAAGTAGCTTGACAAATACATTGCCTTCACTTTGGAATTCATTGGAGTGCCTGGATTATTTTTTTATTTTTAAATTCTGTATTTGGTCCTATTTGGTACTTGTCCATTGGAGCACCCTGGATTCCAAGATAAAGGGCTGAGTGCACTTCCACTATCTATCTACGGATTAAAGATTAATGACATATTCTTTTATTCTAGTCTCTGCATATCAAGCATACTCAGCTTTAGTTTTATTTTTAATTTGGATACTCTCTGGGATAATAAATGTGCAGTAGGAAGATCTCCCTTCTCTGCACAGATTGTTGCCATAGTAAACATAGTCTGTTTGGTGTTTGGATATACAGATCGGACTTGGCGTCCGGTTTCCATGGTGACGACCTCTGATGATGTCATGATGCCAGACGTAACGTGATGACATAATCAGGGTCAATCAATCATCCATTCTGGCTCTGACCAAGTTTGTCTCAGACAGTATTCCTTCACTTATTGGGTAAGTGTATGTTGATGGTGGGTATATGTGATTGTCTTTTAAGATGTTATTTTATCCTGATGAATCTTTGGGTGACAAACTGAAACGTTGATCTCTTAATTGAAGAAAATAAAAGTTAAGTTTTACTTTTAATACCTTTGGAGTCCAGGGAGTGTTATCTCTCTGCTACTTGGTTACAATATACAAATGTATACCTCCCAATGGTCTATATTTAGGAGGGACAGTCCCAAGTGCCTGTCCCCCTTTTTCAGGAGCTCCACATTGTTGGTGTGCCTGAGTGCATAACAAAGCTTCACGACAATAATACTCCCAATACTGTGTCTTTAAATAACAATAAATGTCTTTAGAAATGAGATTGTATAAATAATTGTATGATACGTTCTTCTTGGTCTAAATTATATTTTAGTTGCAAAAATTATTTTTAGTAAGTCACCCCACAGCCCACCCTCAGTTACACCTCCATTCACACTACTAAAATTAAAGTGCCCCTCTTTGTCCATTTCAAATGTTGGGAGGTATGCAAAATCCTTTAAATTGTGAGTACATCTTTTTTTTTTCTTAGCAATATTTTTCTCATTTGTCTAATTGTGTGGATTACAATAAATTGTAAAATGATCAGGAAAAAAGGAGGTATAAGATTAATACAAATTGTCAGAAAGACAATGGTTAATGTAATTCTTTCGAAAACAATTAATGAGGGATGAGTAAACATTAAACAATAATTATTGGTGAAAATACCTCTTGGCCACCCTCAAATTTGTGTGAGTGAATCTGCTCTCTGACTTGGAGTGTAATTAACCCCTTAAGGACCAAACTTCTGGAATAAAAGGGAATTATGACATGTCACACATGTCATGTGTCCTTAAGGGGTTAAACCTTATATCTTAGATAGTGTTTTTGCAGACTGCTTTTCTTAGTTGTGTGTGAGGGAACTTTCCCTTGTACACTGCTTTTTCTGTTGTGAGTGAGGGGTCCAAATTGACTAGAATGCTTGTCTCAGAATTGTATGATGAAATCTGTTGTCTTCAAATGTGGAATGTGATAGAGGAAAACAGAAGATCAGTGCATCTATGTTAAGGTACCTATTATATTATTTTTCTATGTAGATGAAAAAGCTCACCTATGCAGGGTCACCCGTCCATTGGTCCAGAGGGTTCATGGCTCCAGATGGCATTTTTCACACTTTAAGTTGCCTGCTGCCTATTTGCGTGTGTGTGTATATTTGTATCAATAATAAAGTATTTACCCGGAAAGGTACATTCAGATTACTCTGGTTTCCAAGTAGGTCCTGGGTATGTTACTTGACAAACATCCAGGGGTTGTT